ATGAGTAGGTAGGTAGCCAACTGACCGAGTAACCGACCCCCTCCCTCTCATCCATTCATTGACCAGTTAGTTAATCAACCACTCAATCAGTCAGTATAATCAGTCAGCCAGTGAGGCAGTCAATTGGTGCATGTATCAATTCATCAGTCAACTAATCAATATCAATCACTATCAATCCCACTAAACTTCTTTCCCTTCCTATCTCATCTCATCTCATCGCAACGCATCGCTGCGCAGGCTTGGTCGAAAGAGAGCAAGCAAGAAAGCGAGCCAGCCCAGCCATGGTCCTCCTCTATCCGTCCTCTATCTGTCTCGATCCATCGTCTAGACCTCCCCCTCAACGTCATCATGCCACTCACGCCACCCTACTCTGCAGAGCATCTCTACTCCCAGCAACCCTTCCAGCGTACCGGCCCAGCCCTATAATAAAACCATGTATCCGGCCTCAAAAAGTCAATTCAAGAATCTTCAAAACAAGGCACAATCAAAGAGAAAAGAGACTAATCATAGAAAACCCCATTCATTAAAGGATATTTCCTAGGGTACCATTCGAGTCTCGGTGCTTTTTCCGTTAGAGGAGGATTGAGTGTATCGAGTGTAAAGTAATATTCATGCCAATCAATCTCGGAGTAGTAAGTCATCAAAGTCGTGATGAAAGGAGCGGCTGAGTCTTCCAAGAGAACTCAAATGATGCTGTAAAAGAAAGGGGCACCGCCCTCATTGCGCCTTGTCCATTCACATGACGACGCTCTTGCGTTTCTCAGCGCTACTAAGAACCATCAATGGCGTGTTGCGTCTGGCCGGCTCAATCTCGACAATAGATCCTCCAACAGAGTTGCCTTCATCGCTACTCAAGCTCTTAGCACTGATCGCTCCAACGCTGTCAACAGAAGACCGTTCACGAGACTTCTCCTTGATCTCAGACCCAATCACCCCGCTAGCAGCAGCCCGGAGACTACCCAGGCTCGGCTTGCTCGAGAGGCTACTGCTCCCAGCAAGAACAGAGTCATCAGATGACACTGAGAAGTTGAACTCGTTCTCGCTACCAGGTGTTCCTGCCCCGGAGCCGGGTTGACGACCACCATCACTGCGGCGCTCACGCCCTGCACGAACCAAGTCGTGAACAGCTCTACGGCGTTGTCGAGTAGCGAAATTCTTGCTCCCCTCGTGCTTGGAGGTTGGCTTCTCCTCGAGCTCTTGCAGAAGGGGCGGCCCCTTGGGCTGTCTGACAGGATGCTCTCCGGCTCTTCCGTGGCCCGGCCCAAAAGTGGCCGTCATTGGAGTCTGCGGAAACCCGGCTGGTCTAGCGGCCGAGCCCTTGGTCCAGTCACCAGCAGTCTTGATGTTGGCAGAAGACATGTTCTTCCGGTGACCCCGTCGAAAAGCGTTCGCCGACGGAGGCGGGAGAGGCTCAACCTCTTGCGGTGGAGATGGGGTGGACTTAGGGGGGGTCTTTGAACGAGCCTCAGTCAGAGGGAAAGACGGCTCAGGATACTGGCGCTGGTAGGCTGGCGTAGCAGGAGGGGGGGAAACAGAATTGTTCTGACGGACGGGAGAAACCTCTTTCTGCTGGCGCTGTTGCTGCTGCTGCTGATAGGAATTGTCGACCAGATAACTTGACTGCCCGGTCATCGGATTGTAGACAGTAAAGACACCAGGACTACCAGGGACTGGGTGAACCACGGGTTGCAGGCCTTGCTGGAATTGTTGATTGTACAGACCCATGGGAGAGCTGATGGGAGACTGAAACTGTGGCTGGCCCAGGTTGTTCACAAAGCCTGTGTTCAGGTTGAGTCCAGAAAGTTGATGGGCCGCAGCAGTGACATTCAACAGCTGCTGTTGAAGAGCCCGTTGCTGTTGCGCAAGATAATTATTCGTGGCTACCAGTTCATCGTACAGATTCTGATCCATATTCTCCGCTCCGTCAACGAAGTCAAGAGATGGAGGAGCAAGCACATGCTCAGGACGCGAGTAAGGTTGCAGCAAGTTGCTCTGCAAATTGTTCCTGCCTCCCGGAAAGTACGTGCCAGTAGCCGTCTGCGGTACCTGGTTGGCGTACCCCGCAGAGGCGTACCTGCTACCTTCCAGACCTATGCCATGGGTAGCAGGAGGTACCGTTGCAGATTTGGGAGCTGTGCGTAGACCAGCCAGAAGGTGGCCCCGACTAGTGCGGGGTGTAGAAACGGTATTCGCCTGTTGAGTTTCGTCGATGGTCGAGATCTTAGAGGGAGGCGCAACGCTGAGACGCTTGATATGGGATCCTTTCCCTCGAGAAGCAAAACCAGGGCCGGAAACGCCAATAGAATTGTTGAAGGGAGACTGGTAAGTCATTTGAGCAACACCGCCAGCGTCGATGCTCATTGTACTCTAAATGAAATATACAAAGGATGTTATACTGTAAGTTTGACGAGACTGAAACTGTGGGTGGACGGGACAAGCCGAAGTGTCCGGTGCCGGATTCAAAAAGATCGGGAAGAAAATAAGTCCGTGCACTGCCGACGCGAGAACTGAATGTGACCAAGGAGTGTGATTTCCCTTTTGTCTGGTGAATTAAGAAAATTAGGACAAGTCGTGACTAGGTAGAGACGATTTCGTGATGCGGTATGTTCCAAAGGTCGGTAGTACTAGAAAAAGGCGGACAGCGTGACCGGAAAGGAAATGCCTGCCTGTTTCTGTCAGTACGCAGACTCGATCAATGAGGACGACTAAACTAACCAAATGTTCAGCCAGCTGTTGGCAGAACCCTTTTGAAACCGAGGGTGCAGGTACTAATGTGCTGATACTGCGAGTTCAAGGGCCAGATGAGGGATTGTACAAAGCTGTCTTGAATCTTTTGGGGGTCCAGATAAGGGAGATTTAGAACAATGAAGGTGGTTCGGCAATCAGATCGAGGTTTAAGAGAGTAGGATATTGCGCGGCAATGATCGAGCGATTGAAAAGCTTGTTGTGTACGTGTATGGACGATTATCAGGTATGTTGCAAGTCACTCTCCACGACTGAGGGAGTTCGAAAGGGCAGTATGGTATATCGGTTAGAGAGAGGGGACAGGATCGAGCGGGTCGGATTTTGGGGACCTGGATATTGGCGCGTGATGGCGAGGAGGATTTGAAGAAAGCGATTAGAGCGAAAACGGTCGAGGTTGAAAGGAAAGGCGAGCGATGCGAGACCGAGAGTACTAGGTAGCCACAGTCGATGCCGGAGTCGACAGGGAAGCTGAAGGGAACGGAGGGTAATAAGGTCAGGAAGAGTGAAGAGTGACAGCAAAGGACGGTGAGGAGGGAAAAAGAAGTTCGAGGAAAAACGATGATAGAGGATGTGGATGGATGGGAAAAAGACCCAAGCCTGGAGAAAGACGCAGGGAGGAAGGGGAGCGGGTTTTGGGAAAAGACCAGCAAAGGGAGAGGAGAGAGAGGAGAAGCCGAGCGAAGGGGAAAAAAAGGGCTGTCAGACCAAAGCGCACCTGAGAGAGATCCGCCTTCGATATCTACGGGAATCTCATGTCAGACGGCGGCCTCTTTTTCCAGGCCATCTGACGTCCCCACTTACTGACCATCAGGGGATCCGGGCCAGCCAACGGGAACCCGCGGCGAACGGTCAAGGGGGGTTTGTTGGATCCCAGGCGATTGGCGTACGGGGGTTTGTTCGGGTGCCACCAGTGATGTTGGGCTTGGCGGGATATTGGGAACAGGCGCCACCTAGGCCACTCAGGGTTCCAGAGCGCTTGACGCTTGTTGCTTTCTGGTTAAAAGGGGTCACCAGGACTGCTTAGTCTGCGTCCTTCACCTGTGCTGTCACCACCACCCTAGCCGGAGCGAACGAAGAAGCTCTTCTCACCCAAACACCCTCTGCCTTTCACACTCAAACACACACACCCTCTCTCTCTGCCCAACTGGCATCATTGTCCATTCTTTCTTTTTCCCCTCAAGGGTGGGCGTATTCAAGCATGCCAAACCCGATAGTCCAATCACGCGAGCAAGACCCTGTGTGTTAGAAGCTGCTATTAATACGCCCGCCCCTACTGGCGTTCCCAAGTTCATTTGCTGATCTGCTTACCATTGAGTGCCACTAGTGCGTAGCTAGTCCCGAATCCCACGAGGGTTTATAGGCTGAGGCGCTCCCCAAACCACTGTTTCATCCTCCTCCCGAATTGGTCGGCTCGAGTTTCGGGGTGGAGATGCGGGTGGGTTGAACCGCTTCCCAACGCGTATACGGGGGTCCTGTAAGGGACAAACAAGGGGAGCAAACTTGAAAAAAAGAGAAGACAGTAGTAAAAGCCACACCCACGCTGCTGGGTCAGCACTCGTATTGACCTTCAACCGCGCGCAAAGCGTCAATAATGACAGACGATCTAGATTGAAAGGAACGATTGGGACTTTTGTGAGCTCATCTACATACGTACCTACAAGCACTTGCACATAGCTGAGTCGGCTATCTCGCCCACACCCACTTTTGACCTCGATCGCGCCTCCGTCTCAAATTTGCCTCGTGGCACGCGAAGCCTAAGCGGAGATTGCTTGTTTATCAAAACCTCCATACCTACAGGTCGTAGCGAGTCCACCTACCAGAGCTGGACGACCGAAAACTGTATCTCCGTCATACTCGTCCTCTACTCGCACGGGACGCGCTACCTCTTCAACAGCTCTTGCCACATGGTATATACCTCCATGCTGCTTCAAAGTAAATATGTGAAGTCCCGTGTTCCGCTTCGGCTATAAGTGAACAAAAAGATTGACAGGAGATGAGGTCTTTTAATTTTGGGCTGCTACGAGTACTTCTACATTTGTACATGAGGATGTCACCGCCGCATTTGTATCGAACTCTTGCCCAAAACCATCTGTCGATTCCAATATTGTACAAAGTCGAGCCTCGCGTTTGAAATGATGATGTACAATACCTTTTTTGTCTTTCCGTGGTCTTGTAAATAAAGAATGGACTCGGCCACACACAGCTTTTCTGTCATGCAACACACATCATGTCTCTCCTCCAGCTGTCTAGAAAACTCATTTTTCTGCCCTCCCCGTAGTATTGTCCGTAGCATCGTGCGCCGCCTTGGGCACGATATCTGCTTCGGGATTGTACGTCTCTTCTGTCGCGGCGGAAGATGACAGCTTCGGTTCTTTTGTCACTCTTGATTTTTGTCCCTCTGTGATGTTCTCTCGCTCGGGTGACATAGTTGAAGAGTGAGAAGGGTCGTCACTCACTTTGACCTTGCCCTCTGGCGCCGGGGGTTGTTGGCTTTGGAGGTGTTGTCGCTCAGACTGTGACTGCGGCTGCGGTTGCTCATGCGATTCCAATCCCGATTCCACTTTCTTCGTCGTTCGTGCGGGCCTAGGCGCTGGATCAGGCTCCTCGAGCAACCTGCGCTGCTGTGCCCCGGAGGATCCCTCGTGTTGCTTTTTCCTCTCGGCGATCTCGTTGACCAACTCCTGCTTCTCCACCTCGAGGCTAGCATCCAGCTCTTCATCGTCCTCCAGTTCGCCCTTGTAGATTTCCGGGTATCTCTGGAAACACTGCTGCATGTTCTGGAATTTGTCTATGCAGTCCATCCCCTTGGGTTCCTCTTTTGAAAACACGAAACACGAAAAGGCCTCGCGGAACTCGGGTCCGCAGGGCCCATGCGCCATGCCGCCCAGGCACGGGCAGTCCCAGTTGATCTCGCCCGTCTCGGGGTTAAAAGCGCCTTCGCCGGCCGCCTCTTCTTCTAGACCTTCGGCGGTGCCAGGTGTAAATGGCCCGTCGTCGGTAACGACAGTCGTGGACGCATTTTCGGACGATATCGAGTCGATAGCGGAATGGAGGGCGGCGGCGTTCTCGTCGGCTTCTGGGGCGCGCCGGGACGTGAGAGCTTCCAGTGTCGAATGATCCCTTCGTTCATCTTCAACGGCATCCAAGTTTGGGTTTAATAGATCTGTAAGGTGCACGCGCCAATCACACGATTAGTATCTCGGAATCTCCCAGGTAGAAAAGTTGCAATCTACGGAACGAAGAGACGCGTCTCCCCTCGGACAACTATCGAAGCAGTAGTTGACTTACTATGTTGCGGCTGCTCCGCGAAGACCGGGCTCGTGTTATAATAGTAAATGCCCGCAATGGCAATCCCCCATCTCAACGCCGTGCTCTTCCAACTCCGTCGCGCTTTCGCGGGTGATGTACTGGCGAACCGTACTCCATACGTACTTCTGGGCACGGGAGCGAAGGTAACGGAGGACGAGCGAGCTACGGAGCGCAGCGTTGACCGGGCTACCGCGGGTCGAAACATGGCTTTTAAGAGGAGGAGGATGGAGGGGGTTAGGGAGGGAGGGAGTTTATTCTCGTCTTCGGTCTTGCTTCAGAGATACAATAGAGAGTGGACCATGTCAAAAGCCAGAAAGAGAAAAAGAGAGCAGTAACCCTGGGAAATAGAAAACGCCAGGACTTGTAAACCGGTTGTGGTTTTGAAAACGGAAAGAAAATGCGGCCCTTTTTTGTGATAATTTATGTAGTGATGCAATGGGGCTCCGAATTAATAATAATACTTTTTGCAGCTCAAAGATTTCATTTCCCATATGAAGCTGCGGTTCGGTAACTCAAGGTTCCTCCGTATACGAAGCGAGAAGGCAAGGGATAGTGAGGCGGAGCAAACACGCAACAGACGCTGCGAGGCTCTCCCCTGATATACGCACGTGATATAATGCCGTCGGACGGCCTCATATCACGTGAATAGGGTCGTCGCTGAGATCTTCGAGTGGATGAGAATAGACAGAACATTTAGAGCTTCAGGAAGCTCTATACGATTTATTTGAATTTGACTTCATGTAAATGTGTCATGAAACCCATCCCCCAAACTCCGAGCGCCGTGTCTGACCCTCATCTGAAAATCTTGAACAAGTCGACCCTCGTATAGATAGATAGCAATGGTATTCACACCTTAAGTCCATGAACGTTTGCACGATACTCCTTTTCCGCCCTCAATCGCAGGTTGTCTTGAAGATGGAGTGACCAAGGGTCGAGCAGGAACTGTACTTCCGGCTCCTTTTCTGCATTGAAGACACGTACTAGGAAATACACATCTGTTGGAATGCTGGTATCCATCGAATCGGGGATGGTATATGTGCGAGCCTGTTGCAAATGTTAGACTCGAATGTTAGGGACAATGCTCTCAACCACTCACCATCTTCCACTGGGCATTACTGTAGGAGAACTCAGAGGCCAAGTCACCCTGGGTAGTTTTTACGTCAAGATGATACACAGGTGGACGCTTGATCCATCTCCTGGCCTCTGGATAACACTCTGCGACATAGCGACTGAACGTTCCACTGGTGTCGGCTAACGTGAAGCTGGCATATATCTTGGACTTTCCATCACTGTTTTGTTCCCGGATGAAAGCTTTGTGTCCATTTCTTGTCCTCAGACTGCTCGTCCAGTGAACGTCTGGTTTGTAGGCGTCGTTAAGCATCCGTCGGAGTTCTTCCGACACCTGCAACACTCGTCAGCATCGACGCCCCGTTGTTAGTAAGACAGGTTCAGGCATAGCCATCACACCTTCTTCTGACCAAGAAACTCTAGATTGTCATCAGCTTCTCGACGCAGATTATCAGAGAACCCAGAGCTCCGCCGCAGCAATCTCGCGGGGACAGCTGCAAAAAGTCTCATCCTACTGCCACCCAGCGTAGAACCGGAAAATGTCGATGAGGCGCGCGATGTGATGGATTTGGTATCACCCTCATCATCCTCGTAGTCTTCCAGATATAACTCGCCGGCGCTGAGGCCCCCGGATCCGCCGTCTATCAACAAAGTGTCGATATCGCTGGGGCCATTGCCTGAGTAGGCGCCCCCAGGGCCAGTATCGATTGCAAAGATATTGGCAAAGGTGAACATACGCACCAGTTCTCCATTGAGCAAGCTCTTTCGACCATTTTTGTGTGTTGCACTACTTGTACCTGCGCCCCAACCCTGAGATCTTCGCGGGTCGAAGTCGTCAATATCTTCAAACTCCGCTGTGTCGTCATCATCAAGGTTGAGTGCTGGAACACCATGCTCTTGGAAGCATTTCTGTGTATTCTGAATGTCGTCTTGCAAAGCAACAGTGAGGAGAAATAAGCCTTTATCTTCGATACCGCAGAAGCTAGCGACCGCTTCGATCAGATCCCTGGGAATCCTGGTCGATTCGAAGTACCCATTTTTCATGTAGATTTCGAGACGGTTATGCTCAGTGGACAGGACAACGTTACCATCCTTAGAACGCCCCGATCTGCTTTCCGAGACAACCTTCACGGACCACTTTTGAATGACCCGTGTGGTAGAGAATGCTTGTAGTGACTTGAGCTTAGCCACCTTGTCCCTCTTGCCGTGTTCTTTTTTTGGGATGAGTCTGAGAACAATCTTTAGTAAGGAGAGTCTTTCACGATCCATGGGTGACGCAGCCAACTCCTCGTTGGACGGCAGAGCAGTACTTACCTGGCTATGAACTCGGCTCTGGACCGCAGGTCATCCTGCCGAACCGGATCGGGTCGCAACAGTCCAACAGTCTCTGCAATGCTCGTGACCGCTCGTGTCAGTCGCCGTTTGTCCCCACCCAGTTTGCGAATCAGGAGTGGTATTTTGAGTATATCCTCGACTTGGAAAGCGAGCAAGGGCACGATTCCATAGAAACTCTCCAGCAAATGTGATCTGTCAGCAATGAACCACACGTCCGGCCTGTTGGCGCATCCAAGCATATCCCACTGGTCCTCGTTGCTTGACTTATAGACTGGCCATATGCAATGTGTCTGAAGTGAGTCGATAGATGTCGTCACCTCGTCCTTCTCTAGATGCTTCTCAATTTCAAGAAACAGGGCTTTGATGTAAGAGAGAGGGTCGCCGACAGTGAGCAACTTGGTCTCACGTACCAGGTCCGCAATGCCAGCGTCGGGAAGCAGGAAGAAATCACGGAACAGCCGCTGGCAAGATGGGTATACGTTCTTCAGAGCAACAAATCGTCGAAGGCATTCGGGGCCACTCCACAAGCAATCTTGCACCTTCACCCAACGGGGTTCTCCTTCAACTCTTTTATTCGGAATGCAGACAAGCGGCTTCTGGTCGAACGATTGCCTCACAACGTCAGGCAGTTCTGAGCATCGGGCTTGGATTTGTTCAAGCAGCAGGGCAGCACGGTCGATGACGGCTGCATCTTTGTCACCACTCAATGTTTCGAGGCATCGGAGATAGAAACAAACGTCACCCTCGACACCAAGGCCCAGGATCTTGAGTCTCTGCCAACGTGGGTCGAGAGGATCATCGACATCAACGAATGGCACCTGACCGTTGGCTTGCTGAACAAGTTCTGAGATGGGTAGGAAGACCTCCCGCAGAGGTTTCTTCCCACCTCCCAGGCACTGCACTTGTGCTTCTTGCAGCGATTTTCTGACTCGTTCTCGACATACTTGTCTTTCCTTTCTTGAATCATCTCGGGGACCGCCCGCGTCGTCTTCGAGCCACCGCGAATAGTAACCCCAGTTGTCTCTCAAGAGGACCAGAAAATCCTTGGACTTCAAATCCTGCATGATCAAGGCAAAGTGGCGAGATAGTCCAAAGGAGTGTGGCGATTGTCCGTCAGCCTGTGTGAGACGTGGCAGAATGGAGATTTTGGCAGCGTTCTCCAACCACTCCAGCCAGCTCGCTTGATCGTCCTTTACAGCGTCCAAATAGCGTGGATGTATAAATCCGATATCGTTCCGACCTGCGAAGTACTGGCTCGCAGCAAACGGAGCCGCCCACGGCAGATATGCGCTTTCCGCACGGCAGCGGCCAGACCCATCCGTTGTGGCAAACCAAAGATATCTGACTTCATAGTCATGCACCCTGGCGCGGTAGAGGAACACTGCTTGAGATAACAGATGCTCAAGGGACATATTTTTTGCGTTGAATGAAGGCTGGGTATGCACATGAAGGATAAAATCGGCGATGGCATCTTGACCAAAGACCTTGAGTCCGAGCTGAAGATATAGTGATCTAGCTGTGGAGTTGTTGGCAGCATCTTCGCGGACCAGTCGAAATGCGAGACCCTCAGGCGCCATGCAATTTTCGGCTTCTTGAGGAAGGAAGATGGACTTTTCCTCGGCGGACACCCATCGTCCGTCATTGAGAGGAATGATCGCTAGCTTACGAAGCTGCTCGTGATGTTCAGTATCGAAAGAGAGCTTCAACAGGATTTCGGCGAGTCGTGTATGCCAATCGACGGTTTCGGTCGTCTGAAACAATTCTGTGTTTTGTTTGATGTACACATCTAGATGTTTCAAAAATATGGCTGCGGTCATCTTTGTAACGCCCAGTGCTTCCAGGTTATCGTGAAGGGATTCGTCATAGTGTTGGCACAGATATATCCGATCGTTCCTCGGGGATGAAGTCATTGGAACCCCTTGTCTGTCGCAAAAGTCCACAGGGACATATGTTAAGGCGGACGGCATCATCAATTCTTGGGCTCTGGACTTCAGGACTGGCTGTCGCGAGAGTGCTTGACAGATTTCCCGCCTGGCTGGTTCGAAGAAGTGATATTGGGTCATTTTGAAAGGAATGAACCTGGGCCAGATATAACACAACTGGCCGTGACTGTAGGCTCTGGTGACAGCAACAAATGCCTTGGCAAACTGACTCCGAAGAGCCTTGTTCCAAGCGGAGTCTGACAAGACATCCTCGCGACTGGCCGAAAGGAGAAAGTCTCCCTGAAGGAGGAACTAAAGAGGATTCGTGAGATTGCAACTCCATTCACAGAAATATTCACATACCGTAAAGCCGTAGTCTCGTATCGGAAGGAATGCATACACCTTTTGAGATATCAATGTCTGGTCTGTAATGTCCGGGAAGGCAAGTAGGATCTGAGACTGGTGTGCACCAGGACGCTTGGGTTCAACTGGTAGGTTTTGAGCGATGTGTGAGCTGATAAGGTACTTGGTGACTTCCCCATCTCGAGTCAATTCAATTGCTGTTTCGCCGTGGCTCGTGCCCACGCTTTTGCCGAATGTGGTCTGCCAGCCTGGGTTGCCGTCTTGAATCGTGATTGTTACTCTTTTCAAGCGACGGAGAAACATCAGCATGCGAGGGTCAAACTCTTTCAAGTCCGAGACCAGCTGGCTCTCGTCGTACTCTGGAGATAACTGCAAGATCATGGATGTTATGGAAGGCGTGGCTGGCTCTGGGAAAGATTCCCAGATGGGCGCAATCATGCCTAAGACCTGTCTCTTGTCGAATTTAAAGCTGTAGCTGTTGGACGAGATCCAGACAACATCGGCAGCTTTAAAGACCGACTTGAAACCAATCCCTTTCTCTCCGACGTAGGCGGTAGCGCGGTTGGCGCCAGCTTTGGTACTGCTGCCCACTCTGCAGATGGCCTCAACATTCTTCTCACTGAAGCCTTTCTCATTACAGTCGATCCTCAGACGTCGATTCTGGTATGTTAGGGAGATGCTAGGTTCAGCCACGTCATACTCGTTGTCATCGGCATTCTGTATGAGCTCGAGGAGGAAATGGGTGGACTTCTGGTACAATTCATCTGCGAGACTGGGGCATGGTTAGACATGACTCAAGGTACAAGCACAGCAAGGCAATGGACTATTCACGTGTGAAGAGCATTCTGGAGGTTCTCGACATTTCGGCTCGTTGCACTGGTGTCGTCCAGTCCGGCTTCTTTCCTTATGGTGTGGATATGGTGTCGAGCCTTTTGCACAGCCTGATCTTGGTTCAGCTGTACCATTGTGGGAAGTCGCCTGAAGGTGTAGAGGTGTGCAGGTTGACGACAACTTGACGGAGAGAACGGCCTTTTGTAGCAACCGACGGACCCAAGCAAATCACACCCCACGAAGTGTGTTGACTCGGGCAAAGCAAGGCAGAATGCGAGTTAGCCATACCATGCCATACCTTAGTCTAGCCAAGACAACGGAAAGGCTGAGCAAGGCAACCCATTTTCATCAGTATCGGACAAACCATGTCGCTCCAACCCGATGCATCTTCATCGGTCGTCCAAGGACTAGCCGGTGGAGGACAACATGTATTCTTTAGGGCGCGTGGCTGCCTGGAGGCTACCGATTCCCCGTGCCAGCGAACCTCGAGTGGGACTGCATATGCCTCCACCCTGAGGCTTGTAGCGGGTACTCAGACTGGTAGCGCACACATCTCCCCCGGGAGCTGCATCCCAAGGCGAGTATACGCGAGATGACACGAAGCCAATCAGCGCAGGTGTTTCGTCTTGACCGGTTTGTTGAAAGAAGGAAGTTGGAAAGGTTTCGAAGTCGAACATCTCGGCAACATCGGACTGTACGACACGTGATGACGGAATCGTAATTATGTTTCTCCGACGTTTCTCGCCAAGCATCGGATCAAATCGAGCGTATCTTCTGCCTCGTTGACAAAAGATGATGCAGGACATAAGATCAAGATACACCCATTGTATCACCACGGAACGTGCGGCAGAGGAGCCACCAGGCAAGAATGGTGACGGAGTGGCATCCTTGCGGTCTCTTGAACAATTCCCCTACACATTCCTACGCGGTTATCATCCTCAACCAGCCCATCAACAAGCACGCCCTCAACGCCGTTATCGGGGCTGCCTCGTTGCTCGTATGTGCCGACGGCGGCGCCAACAGGCTGTATAATTACGACAAGGCCGCGCAGAATGGCATGTCTAGGCTGAAGCGCCGTGTTCCGGATGCCGTCATAGGGGATCTGGACTCCCTGACTGAGTCGGTCGGAGAGCATTATCGCTCTCTGGGGTCCCAAGTCATCAAGGACCCTGATCAGCACTCTACAGACTTCACAAAGTGCCTCAGATGGATTCGCGACTGGGCGATATCAAAGCACGAACGTGGCGCATCCGGTCATGGCGAAGAGTCACAGCCTATCATGGATGTCGTGGTACTGGGGGGACTCGGAGGTCGAGTAGATCAAGGGTTTTCACAAGTCCACCACCTTTTTATGGCCGAGAACCACCCAGCACTCCTGAGGGGCCGCATATATCTATTGTCGGAACAGAGTTTGTCATTTGTTCTAGCTGATGGCCGCAATCTCATCCACCTCGAACCGGGTTATTTTGCGGAGAATGTGGGAATCCTGCCTGTCCTCGGCCGCACATTCCTCACTACCAAGGGCCTTGAGTGGGACGTTGAACAATGGCCCACCGAGTTTGGTGGCCAAGTGAGTACCAGTAACCACATACGATCCTCTAAAATCGACATTGCCTTCGAGGGTCCCAGACCGTTGTTCACTCTGGAACTGGACCAACGTCTGGCGGCTACCTGTGAATGAGTCTTCCATCGTCGATAGGAACTGGCGCTCTTGTAACATGCCTGTCGCAGACGGGAATCGACCCTTTGTCGCCGATGGAGGCTTTCTTCAGACTGCCTAGTGACCAAAACCCGAAGGTGGCTGTCGGGTTCATGCTCGGATGCTGTTTGCATGGCAAGCTCGCCTGTCCGCCTCTGTTTCAAAACTGCAGGGTTCTTGGACTCTTTGGTAGTCTGACGAATCGGATGCAAGCTCGAAACCACCTGCCACGAGGTGGCTCTGATGCAACCAGCGCTGGAATCAGTGGCGCAATTGCTTCGCAGAGTACCCAGGCCAGGGTCGGCTGCTGAGTGACGATGCAAGGGGTAAAGGCTCATGTCCTGTGAGGCCAAGGTGGCCAATCAGCCTGGCTTCTTTGTGTGAAAGGGGGAGTGCTTGTGCGTTGATGGAAAGCTGCCAGCTGCCTCTTTCCCACACGTTACCTGCGTAGGACGTGATTTCTTGGTGCCGTACCAGTCAACATCGCTTAAGTTGAGTCTTCTTGCTCGTGGCGCGTGGCGCCCCGACCTCTCAGCACGACTGAGGGAAGGATTGTAGTGATCGGGTCCTAATTTGAGTCCTTTAGTATTGGGGTTCTTTTCCACGGGAGGTTGAATAATAGGGCCACAAGAAAATCCATTGGGAATACCATCGTGTTGATCATCTTCGCGCAGATCATAATTGAGGACCAGGTTCTTGATGCGTTGTTGTTCCTCCCTTTCGGCAGCTTGCTGCGATTTCATGGAAACGGCGAAGCTCGAGTCCGACGGTAGCTTAATTGTCTTTGTCTAAAATATTGTTAGCAACAGCGATCATCCAGATCCCGACCGATACCACTAGTCAAAAGAGGGTTAATGGGGGTTACTTGCTTGTTGTCGATTTCCCCTCTTTGTCATCAAGGAGAATGCCATTGTATTGGATTCCGCTTTTGGAGCAGGACTCGGTTCGTCCTCATTCGGCTCGATTGGCGCTCGTTGGATCTTACGGATGGGTAAAGGTACGTCGAAATGAGTCTTGCGCTCGAACTTCCGCGAGTCCAAGCTTTCGGCCATCATCTTTTCGAATGCGCGGTCAAACTCGGCCTCGACTTCTGGGTCCAAATGTTCCTCTTGACGCAAGACAACAATCTGTTCTTCTTCATCGGAGTCAATGTCTTCTTTCTCTTCACCTGTGTCCTCTTCTGCTGCTGCTGCCGCCGCCTTCTCCAAGTCAGAAGTTGATCTCAGCTCAGACCGATACAGTGCTTACCTCGCCTTCTTCATCTGATGATCGCGCGATTTCAGCGTCAAGTTCAACATCACCTTCACCAAGTCCATCTTCGGAAGCAGTGTCTTCAATGTCTTCTGGTTGCTCCACACTTTTTTCCGCCCCTTGCTGCCTGTAGTTCGCGCTTACAGCTTCAGCAAATAGTTTGGCCGCCTCGCCGAGCTCAGTGACTAGCTTCCAGTTCGGGCGGACAAGGGAGTAAGTGTCCTGCACTAGAAACTCAATTTCCATGGGCAGGGGATCCTTTGTGGCCATGTAGTACTGAAAGAAAGTCAAAAAGAAATCGAGCTTTTTGCGGGAGCTACCTCTGTCAAAACAGATGCCACAAGTGTCGAGGAGAGTGCATATCAGTCGGATCCGGAAGAACTCATCGGGGGGATCAAAGGGTGTGAAGTTCCCAGGCTGAGGTGTTCCACCTTCATGGCCAAATGTCACGATCCGATACAACGTGTCGAACACCACGGTGGAGTCGATCATCTTGTAGTTGTAGAGTTCGCCCAGGTATTTGACTTCAGCCACTCTTCGCTGATTGAACTTGAAATCGTTCTGCTCCAGACCCAGAGTAATTTGTTCCAAGACATTGTCTATAATGCCAACGGCAAAGTCTTGATGATATCGAAAAAGAGCCTGCAGAAGAACAGCCAAGAGATGGATGTTGCTGAACTTGACTTTTCCCGGCTTGCTGAAAATCTTCTCTAGCATCTGGACAACCTCCTTCTCTTCCCAATGGAGTTTTCGAATGGTCTTGAGCACCTTCATGTAGTTTCGCTTCGTCATGTCCACATATACCAGTTGTCGAACAAAGAGTTCCGTTGGCGTACGCTCTTTTTGTTGGATGGCAGCGCGCTGAGGAGGGTCGACATAGTACAACGCGTTTTCGATAAGCATACGCTCTTGGGTCCCCATGTGCTGTGCAGATTTCTTGCGGTTCAACGTCTCAAGGAAAGACGACATTCGAGGAGATGTCTCGGGGTTGCGCAGGAGATATCGACCGCAGTTTTCGAGCAAATGGGCAATGATCTCAATGTTCATCCTCGAAAAGTCGTCCAAACTGACTTTGAAACAGTGGAAAATGACGTGCTCCGGGACGATGCCAAACTTGGTGAGTTCCGCCAAATATCGGATGTTCGCCATGCGAATTTGTCCCAAAAAGTCTTTTGATTTTCGTCTCTGAAGGCTTCGAAATTCGTCATCAAGATGCGAGATTAGAGCCTGCACGACATCAGGCATATACTGCCCAAGAGTGGCAGCAAGTCGTGCATACAAAGGTAGTAGATCTAGTCGACCTTTGGGGACTTCCTGGATGGTCTTGACGAGACGATTTCGGGAGGCTTTGGAGTTGAGGAAGCAGAAGTCCAAAGCAACCTGGTCGACCATATCCTTGGTTTGCAGTTCTGGCAGGCGCAAAAGAATGGCATCGACTTGAGCCCCAACAGTCTTGTTCGTGATGGCGGTAGACTGCTCTTCGTTCTCTTGTGGCTTATTCGTCCCGCCTTCACCGGATGTGGCGGCAGCTTCACCACGTTCATCTGTTTCTGGCTTCTTTTTTGAATCCTCCAAAAGAATGCCTGGCACTCGACCCTTGAGGTCAACCAAGTTCTCGTAGAAACGGCGTTCTTCTTCGTCTTCCCAGATGCCAGCGCCCTCTCCTTGACCTTTGAGGTAGTCGCCTGTCTTGATCATCCCCACGCTCCCTGAAGTAGCAGTCTCGGCGCTGTCTTTCTCTTCGAGATCTGGCATTTCTTGTCCGAGGACATCACAAAGGACTTGAGCATTTGCAACTAATTTCTCTTGGGCTTTGGCCTGCTTCTCGAAATTTGCTTGTCTGTCTTCGAAAATTTCGCCACTTTTGACATAAGCCTCTGCATTTCGGCGGCTTTGATTGTTCAGAGATCTCTGGTCTCGAATGACGTGGGATTTGACTGTAGTCAAATATCGTTCTAGGACGTTAATGAATCTCTGCCGGATGGGTTGAGGGATAATGGGCACGTCTTCCTCAGAGGGGGCAGAGGAGCCCTCGCCATCTTTGGCTTGCTCGACAATCTGACCATCTGCGTCAACTGTTTTTCGGCCTTCCTCCGACGGTGGTTTGAGTCCCAGAACATCCCAGGCAAAATTCTTCACAAAAAGAACAGCAAGACTGAGGTTAACATGCTCGGGATCATGGCCTAACAAATCCTTCAGAACTTCCAGGGGAAACGGATCCTGCTCGACATTCGTGTCGGATCGAACACCATTTGTGCCCAACTTCGGTTTGGATTCGGGTTGTGAAGGCGCATCTTTGCCCCGGGTTGTAGCTTCATCTGGTCGATCCGCATCATCCAGGCTTCGAAGAATGCCACATAGCCAGAATTCGGTGACGACACGAAGGAGAACTCGGTGTCGAACTAGACGCTCTTTCTCTTCCCGTTCGCGGACTTCCTGGCTCCACAATTTCACCTGAGCCTTGTCAGGAGTTGTCAAGCCCTTGCCCAGAAGCCATGCCAGCTGCTTGGTGAATTCGTGGGGCCCAAATCTCTGGTGTAGTGCGCTGACAACCTCGACACCCGCGGCAATCTCACTCGCAGTCTTCAGTCTACCCAATCCTTCGGCTGTGGCAGCTATGATCTCGGAGAGGTATTTTTGTAGGGATAACGTGCGGATCTCGGACAGAAAGGTGTCTTGTGCAGCAGACGACAACCCAGTTCGGAGCCGTTTAATAAACGCCGTGTTTTTCTTCAGAGACGAATCGAGCGAGTTTGCTGTTTCGTAGACATCTGCGATAGCACGGCAATTAATGTCGGCGCCATTCCGTCGAGAGATGGATGCTCACCTTTTGCGCCTGCCCAGACGCGTAAATTTAAGTCACGTAGTTCTCCTGCGTTTGACTTATTAGTTTACCATCTCCCAAATCAACGACAGAGTGAGCATACTCTTGCGCTTGCGGTCCATGACGGCCCGCGGTTTTGTGAAGAGGATCCTGACGCTCGCATGACGACAGGATGAGATGCAGAGGAGCTGCAGGAATCCTGCCTTGGAGATCGAACGGTAGATGTCACTACGCGTTCGTCACTGTCGGATTGCGCATCAGACGGGTGAGTGAATGAATGACCGATTCACTTTCCAGGGATATCCAGTTGGAGGGGCAATAATATTATGTTTTCACCCAAGCCTGCATCGGGGGTAGCTAGAGCCCGCCGTGATGATGGGTGCCAAGAGCCCTCGCCAGCCCTGGCAATCCAGCGAACCAGCCAGCGACGTCCCTGCTTAATGGGGGGAATCAAGCTGAAGCAGCCTTGCAGGGGGTAACTGGGGCTGGTGTGACGCTGGACGTTGGACTGACTTTACTCGGGTACAGCTGCTGCTTGCTCATTATGATTCTATCTACTCGGTACCACTTTATGCACTTCATGATAGTCATGCACACATGGGTATCCCCTTCTATTTAGACCTGTTCCTCAAACACCTTTGCTTTTTGTGCGGCCAATTTGCTTTTTCGTGCACGTGCAGCTTCCTGATCAGCCACAGGCTTTCCATTCTTTCCATCGTCTCCCTTTGGACGCTTCCGCGAGCCAGACTGAGGGCCTTTTGTGCTAGCTGCTTTTCGCTTACGCTTCTGCCCTTGTTGGGTATCGTCTTCCAAAGATTCTGTTTCCTGTGTCGCTGCAATTATATCATCATGCTCGGTCCACAGGTCGTCCGCCAACCATATTGGCACTGCGAACGAAGATTGGCCTTTTATGTGTATTCCTCTTACATTCCTCCAACCTTTGACAACATGCTTTTCAATCAGATTGAACACGACGGTTGAGATATTTTCTGACAACTGCTCGGGCTTGAATGAGGACAGGCCAGCACGAACAGCAACGAGTGTACCAGGTCGCAGGCTGACAGGTACCGCATTGACCGCTTTTTCAATTTCTCTAGCAAGCGCTGATGGTGAGATAGGAGCAGCAGCACCGTCTTCCTTTGACTTTTTGGGCTTAGTTGTCTTGTCCCTCCTTGGGTCTGCGATTATGATTGGGATGGGCCGTTTGGAGGTTGCTTTGTAGAAGACTTTGCCTAGAATTGCTGGTAGTCGAGTGACGATGCGATCGTCGGCGAGAAAGAGGTCGTGTTCAGAGAGCAGTTCCCGTAGTTGTTCGAATGTCTTATACCTCGCTTTGAGCTTGGTGATTCCGATAATTCGAGTGATACGGGACTTGAGATGTTCGGGAAATGCAGGATCTGCCACCACGTTTTTCACTGCTCTCTGGGGATCGGTGGTGATGAGACATATCCGAAGGTCTGGAGATGTGTTGAGCGGATGCGGGACGGTAATTTTGCTAGGCTTCAGACGGTGTTTATCCACGATATGTTGTTTTGTGGTGAGGGTGAGCCAAATCGGCGCTGTCGTTTCGTCAGGCCCATCCTCTTCTGAATCCGAGCTGCTGGCAGCAAGGAGACTCTTTTTCGACGAGGCCTGCTGTAAGCGCTTGGTTTCTGCTTGAATATGCTGCAACAAGGCACGGGAGGCTTTGAGGGTCTAGAGGGGAATGCGTTAGCAAAACCGCTTCCGTACATGCGGCCAGTGCATACATACCTGGTCGGGATCGAGCTGGTAGGGAGTTTGTTGGGGCTGCTTGGAAGCGACGGTGGTCGTGACCTTCGCTACAGTAGCCATCGTACAAGTGGCGTTGTGTCAATATGTGTGTTGAATGAGAGTAGAAGTCTTTGAGTTGCGACAATGTACTCTCATTTCAAAAGGCGTGTCGAGAAAAAAAGTTTCTTGACAGCCCTCGATCCACTAGCTTTGCTCCTGGCAAGTCGCAGTGTGGGGAAAAATTCGAATCTCGCTCGGCTGACCTTCTTCGATCTGCATGCACTTTGAGCTAATATCGAAAGACGCGGTGCAGTCTGACAAGAAAATGAATGCCCGCAGCTGGTTCACTCTGACTTGTTTACTCCGAGTACTGGTTAATGAAGGTCATTTTTATTTTGTCCTTACCTCCACTAGCATCTCAATCCTCTATTGACTCTACTTAACTTTATCTAAATTAGAGGCCATATCGTAGCTGTTGAGGTACTACACCAACATTCTAAAGTGGAATCTTTATTTTTTCGCCTGACCGTTCCACTTATTTCCGAATCTAGCTTACCGACTCTAATATTAATCAATCATGATGCGTCGCCAACATTCTCCCCTTGGTCATCCCGGCACAACCGATGAGCCGGACGGGGATGGGCAATGCAGAAAAGAAAGATTCGTTGGGATCTCTCACGTAGCTGTGGTGGTCTTCTTCAGCAATGGGTACAGAGGTCTACAGTATCCTACATCGACGACAGACGGTTGATGCAGTATCACTATGAGCGGTAGAAGTCCTCTCACATCGCACGGATATGTAGTAGAGGCCGCATAGGTACATTTACATGCAGGTCGGTGTACGATGAGGGCAAACATGCAATGTAACTCTAGCGTAGAAAGTAGCCAACGACTTATCTGCCAGAATATGTAAGGCGATTTTCGCACACTTACTTTCCTTCCCACCTCAATAATACAATTGACTTGCTAGCTCCACAGTCTCGAGACGGTGGTATTGGGCCGACGGTGAGCAAATCTCTCGAGGATCGGTACCAGACGCGCTCCTCGTGCGTGTCATGAGCAGTTAGTGGCGTCTGAAAAATGCTGGCGCGCCAGAACGTCGACTCGGGCCACTCCACATCTACCATTCGGGTGTCGTTTCTCCAATCCACATCGCGTGAGTTGCCCTCGATCCATCCATTCCAGCACCTCGAGCACCACCAGCACCTTTGCAAATGTCCAACCTCTCTCGACCTTTGACCTCTTGCGTGGCCAGCTGCATTCTTGACTTGGTGTTCTTTTTCCTTGCTCTTGTTTACCCTTCAGCTGAACCTCTCATGAGCAGATACATCCCGCTGAACCCCGTGCCTCTGCCGAGGACGCGCTTTTGAGCTGGTCAATCTACCCCCGGCGACCGCGCCTCCCCAGTAGCTGGACTACGTGACGCCTGAAGACCATGGCTCCCTCGACCACTTTTGCAGAGACGGTCATGTCACCCTCTCCAGGCCCCAAGAGATCAGCAACCTCACTACTTCCTGCCTTCGAACCGCTATCTTCGTCACCAGCCTTACCGAGACCCCTCAAGCGAAACCGAGATGCACTCGACGAGAGCACGACCTACCCTACACCCGTCCCTACTTCTTCCACCGCTATTTTATCTTCCTCGCCAGTACATGTAGCCAAATCCCGGCCCAGCCTTCACAGGACTTCTTCTACCCTTGCTGAACGTACTCCTCTCGGTGCCGTACCCTCAATCCAATTACAAGCCGACGGCAAGGTAACGCGTATGGGAAGATCCAGCGCTTCTTGCGACTATCAATTCTCAGCAAATCGTCTCATATCCAGGGTTCACGTGGAGGCTTGCTACAAAGCTGCGGGTTCGCGTCTGGAGCGTGATCGTGTGGAAATCACGTGTACTGGTTGGAATGGTATTAAGATACACTGCAAGGGACAGGTGTACGAGGTTAAGAAGGGAGAGACATTTTCGTCCGATATTAGGGACTCGGAAATCATGATTGACGTTCATGACAGTCGCGTCGTGGTGGATTGGCCTCCGAAACCTCACCTCGGCGCCTTCTCGTCTGAAGACGAGGAGGATGCTTCTCCTGCGAAGCGCAAGCGCGCCATGTTGCGCCATTCAACACCGCCCAGCCCAAGTCCAATGCAAGTTCGACGACGACTTTCTTCTCCTATATCCCCGTCTCCTGCCGTACAGGCCGTAATGCCTTCTTCACCGCCACTCCCTCCAGCTACCGTCGAAATATATGAAGACCCTGAACCGACCAACGAAAGCAGTGGAACGGTGACCGGGACTGAAATGTCACAGTCAACACAGGCACTGTCGCAGAACTGTGGACTCGCGGGAACCACTCAGAACAGTGCTTCGTTGTCTGCTGAAGAATTTTCCGACAACGACGAAGAGAATGATCCCATCATTCATTCTTTCGGACCCTTTGGTGCAAACCTACTGCCACGTATGGCATCAGTCTCCGCTGGAGATTCGCACCACCCAAGTGATTCTGCAACGAGTACACGATCTTCCCACACAGAACCCCTTCCTCCCAGCGAAGCTTTGAGCTCACCGAAAAAGAAAGATCCGGAATTTGACGCGCAAGGCCACATTATTAATCAGCTCGCGTTTTCGAGATTGTCCTCGACCCCGTTGTCCACCATTTTAAGCCACCTTCCCCGCGAGGCTGGTGTTTTGTCCCTCCATGAAATCAGAAAGCTCATCCGTGAAACAGCGTGTATTGGCGAGGTTGCAAGAGAAGGCAAAGACGCCGCGGGTAAACCGCTGGAAAGCGAATTTTATTACATCCCAGATGAAGATGAAGATGAGAAGAGAAAGGAAGCTGTGGTCAATGATTTGCGAAAGCCGGGCTTACGAGCTTGTCGCAAACAGCACAAGGTAATCTCTCCCAATCCACGACCTACCGGCAGAACAGGACTGACGTGCTATAGCAATATTTCTGGCGGAAGCCCAAATAGTCGATGCCTAGACATTGTTCATGCAAAGTCGTCAGACGATGATGAAGGCGCGGAATGGCTTTGTGAGCGCGCTGCTGGTCTACCGAGTATGATTTCTTTCTTATTGTGTCGTTTTTGGTTGCATGTCTGTGCAACCGTCTCTCTGTACACGACAGGCTGTCGTCCCTTGTCTAGCGTTCAGCGTCATGCATAGCGAAAGGAAATCAGACATCATCAGCGTCTTTCATCTCTGATCGGAAAACTGGATTTTGTTGTCATTCATACCACTGTGCAGGACAAAGCCACAATCAGCTCTGATGGATGAAACTAAATGAGCACGTAGGAAGGCAAATAGGGTCGTGCCGATGCAATGCAGAATGTATCTTAAAAACATGCTTCCTTTTCGATCTTGTTGCTGTACCTGCCTGCGCTTAGACTCGGCTTCGGAGAAAGTCTCCCGACATCGGAATGCCAAATGCTTACATTCGGGAGAAACTCGCGTAAACCCTAGAGATCCCGAGGTCGAAGCTTTGAGCGGCGCAGGTCATTCGAAGACGTCAATCCCTGAATTGAAGACTGCGTCGAAGAATTCCATCAACACGACATTACTTGGTCTTCCAGCGTCAACTCAAGCTCTCCTTGATTCTGCTCCTCCAGCCGGAGAGACGCACTCTATAGACATGCTATCGACAGCTGGACAATCCGCCTTGCGGGCAGCCCGCGCCCGCTCCCCTTCCCACACCCTTCTAAACCAGTTCCAATCGTCATCCGTCGCACGACTACTCTCCACACTTGCCATTCTCGAGCAACGCGACGGCAAACTCAACAGCGGCTCATTAGGAGCAATCACCGCTGGGGCAAAGCTCGGAGGTTCTGTACATGGCTTTGTGGCCGGAAAATCAGCCAAGGCCGTCGCACAAGAAGCGTCCAAAATCAAAGGCCTGGAGAAGGTCATCGCGGTGGAGAATGAGGCATATGACAGAGGGCTGCCCGAGAACTGGGCACCACTGCTGGTGGAGAATATCAAGAAGGGCGGTTATACGCATGTGATCGCAGCGCATTCCGCGTTTGGTAAGAGTCTGCTCCCTCGGGTGGCGGCGTTGTTGGACGTGCAGCAGATTTCGGACGTGATGGGAATTGAGGGAGAAGACAGTGAGTTTTACAACACCGGAAGGAAGGCACTTTATGCTGATGCGGTACAGCGTTTGTCCGACCTATTTACGCGGGCAACGCGATCCTCACCGTCCAGAGCAGCGACCCTACCAAACTACTAACAGTGCGCCAAACATCTTTTGCTCCTGCCGAAACTGAAGGCGGCTCCGCCAGCGTCGAAGAGGGCGCAGACACCAAGGTTGAATCGTCCACGGAATGGATTTCTGAAAACCTTACAAAATCGGATCGTCCTGAACTCGCTTCGGCCGAAAAGGTTGTCTCAGGTGGCCGGGGTTTGAAATCCAAAGAAGAATTTGACCGATTGATGCCTCCTCTGGCAGATGCGTTGGGCGCAGCCATCGGGGCTTCGAGAGCTGCGGTGGACAGTGGGTTTGCAGACAACAGTTTGCAGGTGGGCCAAACCGGCAAGAATGTCGCACCTCAACTCTATTTGGCCGTGGGAATCTCGGGCGCCATCCAACATCTTGCGGGCATGAAGGATAGCAAAGTTATTGCGTGTATCAACAAGGACCCGGATGCGCCTATCTTTCAAGTGGCGGACGTAGGATTGGTCGGGGATCTGTTCGAGAGGGTTCCTGAGTTGACGGAGAAACTAAAGTCCCAATGATAGACAAGTGTTGGTATATTCGAGGCGAGGAGTCCATGACGGAATCCTTCCTACTGCTATTGGTTTGGAGGCTAGCGTACATATGTGGCGGTGGGATATACTGTGTAGGTACCACAGTACAAGCACAAGTAAAAAGCAGCCCAGCTGGGTGCCAGCATATTATTGCCCTCTTGGCTTTCCCCTGGTTTACAATATGCATAAAATCTCTCACACACCAAAATCCATGGAGCCAAGATTTAAGGCTCGAGACAATCTAACGACATTGAGAGATAATCAAACGAGCGGCAGTGCACAACACCTGAAAGGCCAAAAAAGTTTTATGCATCTGGAGCTTCTGGTGTCATTAGAAGCACGAAGTTATCAGGTGACATTGAGTGACTTTTGGTGGGTGGTATTAAATCGAGTGGTCTGACAGCTTTAGTAATGCAGGTATTACCAGACACACCAGAAACACGCACGCGGGCCATGCACCCCAAGGTTAGAATTCGGGGAATACCCCCAACTCCGTCCTTGTCACAAGTCCTGTGCAGCGATATTTTTTTTTGCGGCTTTGTTTTCGCTCTCGGTGAAGCCAAATTGGATTGTTCTAGGTAATACCCTACGTAGCGACCTGACACACGGTTTCATAGAGACGGGAAGATATCCATCCCTCGAACATAAAGAGTGAGGAGCAGGGGAGTACGGCGACCGGAGCAGCCCGCAATCACTCCCGACCTTGTCGGGGTGGCTTGCACTTAGTTGACATGAGAAACTCGGTAGAGCGCATGACTCGTGCGTCACTCGTACCCCGGACTACCTTCGCAGCCAATGGGAAGTGACAGACAAAGCTTAAAGCCAGATCTCATTATGTAATCACCCTTAGTGTCAGGCCAGCACCCAGCCAGGACTCCAGGCAGCCGAGGACCCTACGAGGCTGCGTCGGACCCTTTCGTCGTTGGAGTGCTTGCAAAATCAGCTCACCTCGTGCATGTGATCAAGCTGCGCGTCAACTCACCCTCCGGGCGGAAGGGCGAATGCGCGGTAGCGATGTATCACCTACTTTCATTCTATGTCCAGAATCGATTAATTTTTGCTGCCTGGAACCCCGCGCCACCCTTGTGTCGGTACTGGTACCGACATAACCTTGGTCACAAAACTCAGCATAACGCCAGTTGCCGAAGGACAACGAGCCGCGGGGTCAATGACAAGGTCATCCAGACCTCAGTGCTGAATGCGTGACACTCTCTACTTGTACATCTGGGCTATTGTGTTGTACCTGCACTCAAGATGTGCAGAGACTTCGAGATTCGAGATTCCCGAGCCTGCATGTCCCCAGCCAGCCAGATACCAAGAGAGCCCAACATGCGGGCGAGTATCGGAGGTCAACTCTTTTTTTGGCACGCGAAAAACACTAAAGTTACCCGTTGCAGCGGGACAGGAAATTCGGAGACTTCGCTTATTTAGAGGGACACCAAGAATGAAAAGAGGCAGAAAAAATTGGGTGGTCTTGTTGCATTTTTCGTCCTTGGGAGAAGGGAGAAGAAGCCCATCAATCAGATGCCAGCGCGGAATACGTCCGGTCACCGTTGGAATGCACATTAGGTGGAATGGGACGGAGCCTGGCGTACGAGGAAGAATTTTCCTCTCCCCGTTCAGGTATGGCACTTCAGATTGAACAATCCCATTCCGTCCATCCGCCCATGATTCAGATCCTCCAGCCTGGTCATCCTGGTCGTTCTGGTCGAATCGTTCAACTCGTGGGAGGGACCCACACCGGACTTGTTAAGTTCAGGGTCCCCAGCGAGTCTTTACACGGCATTACGAGGATCGCTTTTAGGTTTTCGGCTCCTCTCCACCACCGTTTTCCTCGGTCGGGAACAGGCTGGCAAACTCGTTGGAGTAAGTAACCAAAGGGCAAAGGGCCACGGTGTCGACATTCATACTGTTGGAGGTGCAGGTTCAGAAGAGGACAGACTATCCTGGGGAATTCCCAGTTGATGGCAAAACCAACATTGGTGAGAACCCGATAATTGGAAGGAAACGTTGGGCCGCGGGACTAGTTTTGTGGGACGAGATCCACGAACCCTACTTGTACAAGTACGAGGCGATGCAGCCGCATCCTGAACTAGGTGTACTTGTATACCAAGTAATTGTATTGTGCTGCTGTCCAACACATATCGACAGACTGCGCATCGCAAGTCACAATCCCCGCGGCCCCGAGAAAAATTACACTTCGTTGAGCAATCCCGCATTTCTAACACAGTTTGAAGCTTCAGGAAGCATCTCGGCTCCGTATTGAGTGATATTTTGGTTGTGTCTTTCGTCCACGCGCTCCCTCCCTAAGCTCCCTCCGGTCCTTCTCGCTTCCGATCAAAGGGTCTAGGCTCTCTATGATGACGAACACAAGTGATCTAGAGAGGCGCAGTGTCGAGGAACAATTCCCGTCGTGGTTCTAGGTCGTGGTATCGCAAACCGCAAGGTTGTCTGTGCCAAGGAATCGGCATGTGTCGCTTCGCACAGTGCCTGCAATGTGGGATGCCCCCAGGCTCAGCACAGCGCTGCAGATACTGCACTTCCTGAGCCGTGCAGGACGGGATACAGTCTTGTGATCATTCTAGGAGGTTCGATAGAATAATGGCTCGCAATATGTCTGGGACAAAAAAAGGTACTGTACTTGGGTCGAGGGGGCTGAGGGGAGTAAACCGGAACGTGATGTTGTGCCATTTTATTCTAGAGAGGCGGCATGTCCCGTACCCACAGCACGAGATTCTGTAGCCAGGCCTTGCCCCATGCAGCCTAGTCACTTGCCACCATCCATACCAATGGTGTCCATTTCATACAAGTAAGAGGCGCAAGGCTTGCCTGGGAGGGCAGAGAGAGAATAAAAAAGGGAGCGAAATGTTTAAGAGTCGGACATCCCACACAAAGTCCTATCGAGGCCATGACGGAGCATGGATCGTTTTCAGGACATAACACGCAAACCAGATCTATCGAGAGAGGACATTGACGAAGTCCTTCGACAGCGCCGTGACAACAGGACCCCCCGGGCCTGCTATCCCTGCCACCAACGCAAAGTCAAGTGCAACTACGTGAAGCCTTGTCAAACCTGCATTGATCGAGGCTATCCCGAGATTTGCATCTACGACGCCCCGCGGTCAAAGTCGTTTGCCGAGACCGCATCGTCTTCGGGCGCCGCCAGCACCACCCCCGCAGCTTCAGACGAACCTGTGCTGGCACAGAAAGTCACCTTGTTCGAGCAGACACTATGGAAAGTCAAAGACGAAATCGACAGGGTCTTGGGCGTATGGGGCCCGAGACCAGAGTCGTCGATGGTCGGCCAGCAATCGCGCCAGAGTCCCAGCAGAGAAGGGACATGGTCGACACCTCAGGTACCAGGGCCGAGCACGCGGGGTACTGGCCAGCCTGTACACTTGGGACCGCATCCAGTGCTGCGGCCGACTGCGGTGTCGACCAGTGCTGACCCTGCGCGGTGGGCACAAGATCCCTCAAACCAAGAGATTCTATCCATCTTCGCCGTGGAGAATCAATCCATCACCTATCCTTTCTCTGCGTTGTGGGGGCTACACAACGAGCCCGCATCGAGGTTTCAAAGCCTGTGCGAGTTGCTTCCCAGCGACGTCGAGTGCCGCAGCCTCTTCGCTTGCTACACCGAGACTGCTCACGCCGTTTTCCCGGCCATTCCCGACCTCGACCAATTTCAGAACGACCTCAGCGAATTCCTTGCACGGCAGTCAACCGCCCAAAAAGTACCCCTCTCAGAGGCGGACCCGGAGCCACATTCGGGGATTGGCGGTAGAGACCTCCATTGGCTTGGGCTGCTTTTTGCATGTTTGGCCTCTGGCTGCCAGTACTCGACTCTTCCGTGTGAGGAACGTCGGTGGAAATCGCGAGTATACGGTGCTTGACTCCTGAACCCCCTTTCCGCGCCTTGACTCGCTCCTGTTACTGACTGAATTTCTAGTCTGCTGCGCCTACGAGTGCTTGCGATCCACCAATTACCTCGGATACCCCACCCTATTTGACGTTCAAAACATGCTGGTCATTGCCGATGTCATGGCCAACAGCCTCGATGCCGGTGTGGCGTGGTGCTTTGAAGGTGAGATGTACACTTTTTGAGGAGAAAAATACTGACAGACGCAAAAGGGCTGACGATCCGGCTGGCACAAAGCCTTGGACTGCACCTTGAAGTGCCTCCATCCACGGCAGAAAGCCTGCAGTGGCTCCGAAAGGAGCTATGGTGCGTAAAAACACAACATCTTGCGTCGAATCTACGTTAACTTGGGAGCAGGTGGCGCATCGTATGGCAAGAAAGCTCACTTGCCTTGGCTTTCGACAGACCTTCGACCCTCCCGATCCAAAGAACGCCCCTAAACACCGGATCCAGCGAGTTATCTTACATTGACTGCATGAAAAAAATCTGCCAGATTGGCATTGAAATTGTCCGCGAGCGTTCGAACAGAGCAGCCGGGCAGTTCAGTTCTGAAGATATATCTCGACACCAGGATATCCTCAACGAAATGGCACAGGAGGCTGCACCGTACCTCAAGGATGTGACGCTTTGCCACACGACCAAAGCTCGGCTCGAATACTGGAGCCTGTACCTACACCGGTCCTACGTCAATGCTGAGCTCTACAGGACCCTTCTAAGCGACCGCAGCCCCAGCCCCGACGATATGGATGCCTACGTGCGATGCCTGAGTGGCACGGTTACCGGCTTCCTTCACCTGCAGGTCACCGCTCCCGCAGTCAAGCAATCCTCAATATTCGTGCAGAGAGCGCTGAGCTCTGCTCTGATGTTGTGCACCATGGACGACCTTTCGAGGACGAGGCCAGCACAGTATCTGGTCCACAATTTTATCACGGTCATGGAGAGCCCGTGCACGCACTGTGCCGAGGCACACCTGCCTACACCTTTCTCCAAATCCATTGCGAAACTACAGGACATGGCGGCGATGCGGTGGCCTTCGAATCCTCCAAGCTTTTCGAGTGGTCGGACGCCGCCAGGGACGACCACGAGTCACGAATTGATGAACTGAAAAGAACGACACGGACTGTCGGTAATAAACAGATTACGGTTATCTAGCTTTGTCATATTGACCATTTTTGGTTGACAGCCCAACAGGCCTGATTTGCTCGAGGTCTTTTGCATCCCCCAGGACGTGGAAGGGTCACACCACCCGGGGAAATTCTACGGGGTACTGAACTTAAAGGAAAGGCATGCCCAGGAATGACGGCGGCTCACAAAGGCCACAGAACCGGCGGAAAAGGTTTGCGAACACCGCTGGCCCGGAAAAGACATGCGGTGGTACTCTTTGAGAGTACTTGTGCGACAGCGAAGCGACTGGAATTTATAGAGGGGTTCTGTGGCACACGGTCCCAGAGCTTGCTATACTATATAATATCATCTCCCTCTACTGACTCACCTCACTTCCGTTCCATCACATCAATCTTCTTTCTTCAATTTTCCTTCCCCCTTTACAGACACAGTGGCTGGAATTGGCTGGTTTGAATTTGGCCTGGATCACAACAGACACTGCGCGGTACTAGCTGTACACTTCTCTATCAGTCACTAACACGAGCCACTGTTATATCTTTCCTGCGGTAACGTCCGGCCATGACGATCGTCGAGGTACAGAGATCCTGCCACTCAAAAGGGGTCGCTCCCGAACATACCCAGACTGCTATGAAGGCTGCCTTTGTGGGCTGATGCCATTACCTCGCTCGCCCCATGCACAAGGGGTTTTGCGCTTCTCTACCGAGCACACTCCGAGAGACATGCGATCGCATTCCCCTCGACACCGGCATCAAGGTCCTCGAGTTTTTGATGATGGAGATTAATTCTGGGTCGTCTGGGTCGTCCCATTGCGACTCTGGGAAAGAATCTCATTGGCCCCGTCAAACAGGGCTACAGCCTCACAGACCCTGGACCGCCGAAGCCGCCGAAGCCACCGAGCAAATCCGAGCTGGCCGCTGCTGGCCTAGCTCGACTAGGAAATGTTTCCAAGCCAGTCAGTGGAGCTAATGCATCACTGGTGGAATCAGTGGAATCGGCCAGGAATATGGTTCCATTAAATTTAGTATTGGTGGATATGCCATGCCGAACCCGAACCCAGGGCCACCAGGGCGACCTGGGCCACTACTCGCAACTACTTGGACGACGAATCCTCCACTATTAGCCATGCACATGTGCACGCCCTCTTCCCCAAGTTTGATCGTCCGATCGTTCGATCTTCCCTTGGGCCAGCCGCCTGGAAATTTGCCATGGAATCGGCACTCACCATCCAGGAGGCGACAATGGACTACCTAGGGGGTGGATTGTCGTCGGTAGAGTTTCTTGTGCGAAGCTCGGCTCTTGCGTCTGGCCAGCCCTGGCCATCTGGAAACGGAGGGGGGGCGTTTCCTTATTACCTTCTTATTAGGTACTTGAACTGTGCAACGGAACCACCCCTCGCCGGCCAAGCTTGCCAACTGACGCAAGCGGAGCTGTTGTGAAGATCTCTGGGAAATGTATTATATCAACTCTGTGTGATAACGGAGCTTCTCTCTTTCTGAGCCTTTTCTCTTCCTATCTTAACCCCCCTGAGGGAAAAAACCAATATACTCATTCGGATCATCGAGTCTGTTTACCCAAGAACTTGTCCCCGAGGACGTCGTGTCTTGGGGGGGGGAAAACATCATTCGCGGTTTTTACCTGTATGGACTATATGCCAATGTCTGCCCACTCTCTTGTGGACTTTGGCGTCAGCAATGGGGTGGGTGTATCATTGAACCCTTCGGGGTATCCCCTTTGATAGCGCTGTCTGAATATTGACCATTGGAAATTTTCTTGTCGCAGCCTTTAAATGACATTGACTTTTCGATCTTTCAGCCGTTTATACGGAACGAGTATCTTAAAGAGCAACCGGGCTTCGTACCGTCAGATCAGCAACAACAACAGCAGCACCTACACAATGTCATATTCCCCAGTCAACCACTCGGTACCGGCGCCGGTCCTCCCGCACAGTTCCCTCTGTCGCCGCCCATATCGTTTGTCGACTACGAGATGCTCCAATCCACGACCCCGGACGACTGCTACCACTCGAGCACGGGTAATTTCGAGCCTCAGGTTTCGGAGGACGACGACTCACCCCAAAGCCGCCAGGAGCAGCTAGAGGGTTCGAAGGTCAACGCGGTCGTCGCCGCACCACCACCCGTCAACTGGTCGAATGTCGTTCCTTGGGTCTCGACCAAGCCGCCCTCGTCGCGCGGACGCCCACGGGGTGGGAAACGAAGAGCCGCCGCGGCGCGAAATGTAGAGGCTGTAGCGGTCCCAACGACGGGGAAACCACCGGGCGCCAAACGAGGGAGGAAACCCCGAGCGGCGCGACAGCAAGCGACCAGGGCTCCGACGGAGGAGGACGACAAGGCGGCGCTCAAGGAAGCCAAGGCGGCGCACTCGGTCGTGGAGCGGCGGTACCGCGACAACCTCAACGGGAAGATGAGCCAGCTGTACTACGTTCTGCGGGAGGTGAACTCGCCGGGCCCGCACTCGCGGTTGTCGAGCACAAGCGGCAGTAGCGGCACCAGCGAAGTCACGACACCCCTCCCTGCGTTCCAACCGCCGAGTCGAGTCCGCAAATCCGAGATCCTCAACAGCGCCATCGACTACATCCACCAGTCTGAGGTGGAGATGCGGCACATGGCCGACGAGATCAAGCACCTGCAGGACAAGGAGCGGACGATCCGGAACCTGGTCAAGTGCGAGGAGTGGTCTGTGCTGAGGGCACTTTTAAGTTCATGATTTTTTGGTTGGGTCAGAGGTGAACGGGTCAATGAATGCATGTACGCGTGTGCATGGATTATCTGCATATACGTTTTCGCGTGCGAGTGTGGGTGGGGACGAGGTGAGGCGAGGTCAATGGGCACGAACGAGGAGGGGGAAGAGAGGTGGTCTATCAACACCACTGGGGGATAGTCTGGTGACCAGGAGAAATCCTGCACTCACACAGAGACTATGCAGTGTCGACCCAGTGTCAAAGACGTAGGTCGAGAGGAAGAACTCAACAATCGATCAACAATCAACAACAAACTATCTTCAACAAACGCGAGAAGCAAGAGACATGTCGTGAGGAGCAGTCATCTCAGCCTCGAGAGCTGATTGAGAGGGACATGGGAGACGGGTTGTCGACAGATGGAAATTACCGGGCGTAGTCACCTGTATGTCCCGACTACGGCCAGCCCTAGGGAGGAGTTCGTTCGGTTTTTTCTTGGGGACGAGGAGGGGGGATTTTCATGTATAAAGAGGCACTTGTCGTTTGGTCATGGTGGTTTTATTAACGGGTGACAAGTCGACGGCTCCATCGCAGGGGAACAGAAGGGGGGTCAAGGTCAATATAGAATATTTATCGGTTTATCATCTTGGTTGTCTGTTTGTTGTCTCTTCTCTGGTGATCTCATGTCACGTCGCAGGTCAAGTAGGTCCAGCATGTCCCAGTAATCTCGATGTACAGTACACTCTGCACTCTACAGAAGCGGACCAGCATGAAGAGAAGTCATTTTCTCGTAGAGGGGAGAAGATATGGAAAAGGCCCCGTGACCCGTATCCCGTATCCAATATGGCCAATCGCTTATTGCGTGACCACGTATCACGTATCACGTATTGCGCACCTATCGCTCATCTCTACCGAGTAACTTAAGTCAGTGTAGTGGATGAGGGAGCGAGTACCCGTTATCTACCCCCCAAAGGACCAAGTGTTGTATCAACCTATCTATCTATCAACCAACCTCTGGTACATTCCCCTCGATTTCATTACATTTATATGACAACAGCACTGGTGACACTGGGCAATTCTTGTTAGACGTCGGCGCACATTGCGATCGGCCGATCTAGGGAGCCATTTGTTACCCTTTTTTTTCGCTTCTTTAAAACCACTTGTACTTGACTACGTGATTACCCTAGGGCACTAAGGAGTCGGTGGGCACGAGGGAGGGTAGGCGACACCGACGATCTCAACGAGCCCAAGCCCGCACCAGCAGGGCACCGGTGGGAGGATCGGCGAGGGAATCAACCGCACTCTGATTATCAGGAGTAAAAACGACAAGGGGGGATTTGGGGAGAAGGAGCGAGTGAGGTGTTGATGTCGATGTCGAGAATGACGAGTCATTTCGTAGCGCGGTAGGTGTTTGGATATACTAGGTGCTGTACATACTCGTGGGTAGTTATTTGATAGGTACTAGGTAAGAGATAAGTATAGCTGTATGGATACCAGCACAAGTAACACGTCGGCTTGGTAGGTTACCCTTTTTTGGATCGTGGACAATGCACAAATGCCCAACTGCCAAATGCATAAAAACTATTCAAAATACCTGATGTTAGTGCCAGGTGGGTATGCATTGCATCATCGCCTAGTATATGCACAATTACCTACCAGTGCCTTCCTACTTAGCTTGCTAGGTACCGAATATTAGTGTCTCTCGTCCATTAACCGCTTCAGGAAGGATCTGGTCCGCAACTCAATGGCTCGTCTGCACTAGTACTTAGACGCGTAATGGAGTAGGAGTACAAGCACATGTACAAGTGAGCCAGCCCGGGTGGTTCACCCGCGAACACTCACTAACGAAGTCTCCAGTAGGTAACCCGATGGCCTTGTCATCTACAAGCATCTACTCCGTAGAACTAACTCGCTCTCGCTACTTCCGTAGCACAACGGAGCTTTTAACGGAGTAGGGAAAAAAGGGTAACAAAAGAATATGGTCAAAAAAATGGTGGTCATGACGCCAATTTCATTTGGACTATCTCCTTCAAAGCATCGCAGTCGCCTTCGCACCGCACCATGCGCTGCAGGACCGCCAGTTGATTCTGTAACCGCACAATCTCATCCGACATGTGCCTCATCTCTAGCTCCGACTCGTTGATGTACTGCAGGGCATTGCTCAAAATGTCCGATTTCCGCGGTTGCGGTTGTTCCCGTTGCTGTGACTGCGACTGCGACTGCGACTCCCCCCACTGTGGTGATGAGTCGCTGTCGTCACTGTTGTTGGCGCTGCTGCCGCTGCTGGACATGCGGCTCGTCCCCTCCAGCGTGCGGTGCAGCTGCCACATCTTTGCGTTGAGGTTGTTACGGTATTTGCGCTCGATGGCCGAGTGCGTCTGCTTGGCCAGCGCCCGCTCGAGATCATCGCTGTCACTTGAAGCGGTTCTCTTGAGCTTGGAGACTCGGTGCGAGTGCGTCTGTCTTCTTGATCCGGTGTTTGTGCGCTTCTCCCGGCTCCCTGCCCGCCGGGCCGTCGAGTTCTGCGATGCCACAGTCGTCGCAGCGCAATCTTCAACTTCGGAAGAAGCTGAGGACTCAGAAAGAGCCAGCTCGAAATCGGAGAGCTGGTAGTCTCTGGTAGAATCGCTCTTTACCACCTCATCCTCACCAGCATATACTGGGAGGTTGTTGGGGCTGTAGGACCGCATTGGGTCTGACACATACGGGAGAAATGATGTGTTTGCAGTGGTGAATGACTGGGTCGGAGTCTTCTGATACATGAGGCTTGCATCGACAGTATTCCAGGGATATTGAGATTGGTTATAGTATTGCCGTGACTGGCCAAAGTTTGTAGTATTGGACTGGTCGTACGAGGCTAGAGGGTTTGACGCGCACCCAAAGAGCCCGTCCATGTCGGCGTTGGTTAGGGTAAAGTTGTACCAGTCGTCCATGTCCACCATGGAGTCTTGTTGAGGGATGATGGTATCCATTGCTAAGGACTTGTAATATTGAGAAGGGGTAATGATTCAAAGTGTAGAGTTGGATAGGTGTTGGTGTTGAAGCTGGAGATCCATTGTGGCAAGGAGGGCACGGGCAGCGTCATATATAATTGAGGCTTTGTAGCCATCTTGGGACGATCTCGAGCGAGCGTGCCTTCGCGCTAGACTTCGGAGATGATGCAAACAGATTCTGTTGAGAGGATTGAAACTCGGAGATGACGAAAATCAGAAATCTACTGCCACCAAAGTGTAGACCGTGTAGATCGTGTAGGTCAGAGTGAGACCAGTCGAGACCTCGCGGGCCACGGAGGACAAGCGGAGCGCAGCGCTGCAATACCAGAGAGTCGGCAGTAGTGAACAGAGAGATACGCACTCAATGCAACGACGGAGTATCTACGGGTACAAGAATGCCCCTGATTATTAGGCTTATTGTCTACCTACGAGTAGCGAGCGAGATCTCGGGGCACGTTCTTGGGCGTTTATGTCCTAGGGGGGCCTAGTACAAAGTCCACGGGCACCCTGGGTATCTTTGGGTCTCTTCCCAAGGGACACGGGGCTCTCCCAAGCTTATAAGGATCCCTAAGATAGCTACACAGCCAGGCCCAGACTCGCTCCGACCATTGTGCGCCGCATGTCCGAGCAACACCTGAGCACCTGAGCCAAGCCTCATGGCCGTGCCTGGCCATCTCCTCTCTCAAGTACTTGTTCGCTACGCTTCGCTGTTCCACAACCAATCCGAGTCCACGATAACCTGCTCTCTCCCGCCCGGACTCCACGGGCCTCGTCGGTCATCAACACACCACCTCTCCGAAATACATCCGAGCCTGTCCGAGTTAATCACTTCCGAGTTGAGTCCCTGAATAACGTGTTATGCTTCAAAAAGGGGCTTGTTCCCAGCGAACCTGGTATTACTCCAAAGCTACGAGAAAAATCAAAAGGGAAAAGAGAGCGGACAAGAGACACGCAAAACTCAACTTCTATCCCAAACGCAGCCGAAATGCCACGCATTTTACACGCCACAAGGCTACACACTCAGATCTCCCCAAAATACTTCCTACGAATACCGAAACAAAAGGTCAGAGGAACGCAATCCTCAGACCGGAGATATACCCTGCGATCCCCATAGGATCTTCTCCATCAACTCATAAGGCGAGTCCTCAGACCGCCCGCCGTCGTCCCCAGATGCTTCATTCGAGGGATGCCCATAATACATCAGAGTGTCCGAGCTTGTGCCTCGCTCCCACGTTGGTATGGTATCGCCGCTCGCACTGTACTCGGTCCCAACCTCGGAGCCGTGGTGGGCATTGAGACGAGCCAGCGCCCGCACAGCTCGGGCAATGGGAGCAGAGTGCTCGTTGGGATCCAGCGACGAGTTGATGCTCGACATGACCACAATCAGCTTGTCAAGCAATGTCCGCACCCGGGGCTTACTATGAGGCTGTTTCAGAATCCCAAGCAGCAGCGCCGAGCTCAGAGACCGATGCACCGCCGCCCATGATTGTGTGGCAAACCGAGTCACGTTGGACAATCCCAGAAATGCATCCACCGTGTTGGCCATATTCTCCAAGCACGTGGCCCGAAAGTTGCCTAGTTCCGACGAGGTCTGCCTGCGTTTCAACGCGGACCGATACAGCTCCGATAAGATATATGACCGATGAAGATAGAGGTTCCAATGCTCTAGTTGGTCCCTCATTGACTGGCACGCCGTCGCGTCTTTAAGGTGGTGAAGCGCATGGTCCATCATTCTCGACAAATCCTCCTGATGACGGTTGATCCGTATCAGTTCTTGCCGGGGGTCCGTGTGTTTACTTCTCTCCCGCACAATTTCGAGCCCTGTCTCGCACAAGATCTTCATGCAGTCGGTATATGATAACCACGTGTTGTCGACGGGCTGTACGGATTTGTGATGCGAGATGGTAGGAGTCGATGACGCTCGATCGAATGTAATCGAGATGAGACTGTCCTGCCAGACGATCCGCCACCTATGAGTGTTGTCAGTAAGAACGCTCAGAGGGAACGCTCGGATGGCGCTAATTCAAAAGTCGCTTTGACTTACCAAAGCTCCTCCCGAACCGACCTCTCAGCCTCGCTGCTAGTCCGGTAGGTCTTTTGATGGAGACCAAGGCTCTGTCCGATCCGGATAGTCAGCCCTTTCGGGGCGGTCAGCAGAATAATCTCCACTCGAATATCGGCACTTACCGAGCAAGCACCAGGCGATGCCAGAGTTCATGTTATTGGAGATGACGTTCCCCAGCACCAGCAACGTCTGGATGTCCAGCAACTTGGAGTTGGACAAGTAATTGATGATGCGGAGACATTCATATGCACAGCACACTACACCACGGTAAGCTCTTGGTTTCACCGCCAACGGACTGCTTCTCACCATAGACCTGACTGGTCAGTTGGCGTTCTTTATGCGGCAATGACGAACACTGGTAGCCGGAAGCGAGAATGGCGAACAGTAACCCCACCCAGTGGAGGGTTTTCCCGTATATGTTGTCATTCGAAAGAGCCTCGTAAGGAGCATCCCTGCTCGCGGCAGCCTTGTTGATGAGGAAGTGGGTGAGTTCGCCCTCAAATTGTTTAATATCCACTACTCCAGGGAAAAGAACATGAGCCGTGTCGCGGTACTGTGCAAAGTATTGCAGGCAATCGGCGTCGGTCGGCAACAGCCTGCACATTGCCTGCAGTCTGGCATAAGATCCGTGGGGTAAACCCCAAAGGTCCACGAAAGGGTAGGTGGCACTCTCGTTATCTAGACCAAACAGAGGTAGGATGCTTTTGCCGAGTACATCCTGGGCATCATACTCGTTGGGGTCACTCTTGAGCGAAAATACCATGGCCGGGACCGAGTTGCCGCCCAGGTGGACGGTCTCGCCCGTGACTTCATTGCTGGTGTGGATGGCAAAGTTGTCCTGGTCGACACCTTCACTGCTCGAGTCTCCTCCCGTTCTCTCGACCTTGGGCCTGCCCACCAGCGTCGAGGGAGACCCATCCCTTCCCGGCAGATCTTTCAGCTCGGTACGCAGCTCTTGAATGGCCTGTTCGATCGTCTGCAATCTCTCACTGATCCTGCTCCACCCCATGGGCTGTCCTTCGATCGGAGTGCTGGGTGGGATTCCCTGGCCGGCAATTGTTATCGTCGTCGTGGTGTTCGCGTCGATATTCGCGCGCTTGGACAAGGGCTCATAGAGGCAGAGCTCAGGGTGGTTACGGTCGATGCATTTCTGACAGGGGTGTTGATAGTTGCAACCCACTTTCCTCTGGCGACAGGGATGGCAAGCCTTTTGCCCGCGGGCCTTGCGCTTGCGACGTAGACGTTCATTGATCTCTTCCTGAGTCAACGCTTCCACCTTTGGTTGTGCCTCGTCCCCTGGGGTGGTTATCTGGTAGTGGCCCCGGCTCGAATCCATTGTAAACGAGCACTTTCGGAGGACGTGCGCGGTGGGCGCTATCCGAAAACTACCGCAAGAAGAAGCTGGGCGGAGGGGAGGGGGGGCCACTACCCAGCTCTTCGCGGGTGGCCCTCGCGAACTTGGGGCTTGGGGACCTCTGGAGAAGGAGGGAAAGGAGCAAGATTAAGAGTGATTGTTTGGCATATGGTCCTGCAAAAAAAAGGCCGAGGTGAGCGACGGAGCGACAAAACTGGACAAGAGATTGGGAGGAAAATCGGGGATCGGCTGATATTGAAGGAAGAGAGAGCCGCGATAGGCTCCGTGGGCCGTGGCTTCCTTGTGTGAGTGGTGTTGTGCTTGGCTGGCAGCTGGGAGGAGGGAAATGCGATCCCGCACCTGTGCCCTGTACTGAGTAAGTAACAGGATCGGGAAGGTGAGGCGGGCACAAGTTTAGGCCAGTAGACACAGTTTTTTTTTTTCGGCGGGTTCGGCGGCCTCGGGGACCAGATCGTATGTAGACTGTACATACGGAGTAGGTGGTGGGCTGTTCTAAGGCTGTCCCTCGTGGGTTTGGCCCCCTGTCGAAATCTACTTTCCTTACTCGTAACTACCCAAAGTCGCTAAAACGGGAGCCATGGAATCTCTGTCTGGCGCCCCCCCGCCCCTTCCCTAAACTACATACAAAGTACCTACCGAGCGCGCGAGTCGTCATTCCATGGGAACTATTTAAGCATGCGTTGTGGTCCCCCCTGGGCCCCCCCTCTCCCTTTTCGCCCCGCATCGCGAAAACGGGGGACCCAGCACGCCAGAATAGGCGTTCGTCGTCGTCGTCGTGTCGGAGCTCATTTCCTTTTCGTCCAAAAACCCGCCCGCCGGTCGAGAAAGTCCACCGCGCGCGTTTGTCAATTTGTGCATGCATCCCCGTGTTCCGAGTACGAGGGTTACTTGCACAAAAGTAGTGCGGCCGGTGCTGGTTGACTGAGTCGATGCCACTGCCGTCGCCTTCGCCACTTGCCATTCACTACTGAGGAAACACCCCGTTCTGTGGCGAAAAGGGAAAGGCAAAAGGCAAGAGGCAAAAGGGCGGTTGGGTTACACAAAATGCGAGGAGAGGAGGTGAACTAAGCTGGAAAGCGTCCTGTGACGGACTACGCTAGGCTGTATCACCTCGCTTATATCAATGGTGACTTGGGGAAGTGCAAAGGGATTGCAGTTCAGGCCTACCCGGTAGAAATCACGATCGTGTCTGCAATGCTACTCGGTACTGCTGGTGGATATCAAAAGTGTCGTCAAGATCTGACATGACCCAAGATGATTGGTATTCCATCCGTACGACACGATGACGAGCCGTCCATACCGGTACACCTCGAAGGCTTGTACACTACGGAATACTTGCGCACTATTCTCCTCGACTAGGATATCAGACTGTCGCTGTTGTCGCTGTTATCCCTTCCGACAATGCACTACAAGTACAAATCGAGTATGACGATTCCGGATGACTTATCGTGATATTGGACCCCTTGAGCGACTAGAATATCAAAATAAAAAGCTCTTCGCCAACTTTACCACCTCAATCAATTGATCATCACGCCCTCCATCTGTGATGCACTCACAGACTTAATGACTGAAAGTCTCCCAGACCCAGAGATATCGCGAATTCGATCTGACCATGCTCGCGAACCCGGCCCTGATGGCCAATGAATCCATCGAGTCTTGATCCGGGATCGATTGCTGGGACCTGGGGGGCTTGGTCACCTCGGAAAAGTGGCCGACTTGGACGCATTCCAAGATCAAGGTCGCCAGTCCGGCAGCGATGGCCGTGGCGACCGAAGAACCCTCATGGACATACCCTAGCTCCTTGTCCGGGTTGCTCCCCCTCAGGGGGATCTTGTGGCCAGGAAAGAGAAAGTCGATCTTGTGTTCGTCGACGTATCGGGCGTTGTTGCCCATGGCCGTGGCGGCGCCGATGCGGATGACGTTCTCTTGATCCGCGTGTTTGGGGTAGGTTTCGTCATTGCCTATCTTGCCCTGGTCGCCTGATGCGCACAACATGATGGTTCTTTGTCGGACGGCCCTGGTTATGGCCTCGTCAAACTCTTTCAGCAGTTCCTTGTCTTCTGGCCGTCTGACGGACCAGGACATGGAGATGACCCTGGCTCCGCAGTCGACAGCGTGGTTGATAGCCTGAAAGAAAAGGTGCCATATTAACGGTTTGTCCACAATGATGATAAGCCACTAGGAAATAATGACCAATACTAACATCGACGACACTGGCTACGACGATAGTTAGCCTGTTTGGATCCTGTGTCGCTGGTCTGGTCGCTACCTTGATGATGTAGATATCCGCCGTCGGGCAGATTTTGCGGATGAACCTTGCCATGATGGTTCCATGACCGCTGTCAGAAATCCAATATGGATAGTTTCTTTGCCCTGCGTCGTCGAAGGCGAAACTTCTCCCGAGGTAATCCCTGCCCTGAAGCGAACTCTGTGTAGTGTCGACACCGTCGTCAATCAAGGCAACTCGGATCGACTTGAAGTTGTTCTCTGCGTCTCTCGCTGGGCGTTCTCGGACCTTGAGAAAGGCAGTCGTGAAGTTCTGCATGCACTGCATCCAGCGATGTTGATCCATCTCGGCCGCCGGCCTGTCGTAATCAGCCGGCTTAGATTTAAGAGACGTCTTCGCCGCAAGGTGGATTATTTGGGGGCCAGCGATTTCCCTGTCCCCGGCGACTTCACGTTTCATCGATATGTGAGAGCCTGCTGAACATGGGCGGAATAGTCCAGAATCCAGACGGAGTGATCCGGATGCCAAAGTCGCGCTGTCGTCCAGTATTGCACTCCTCTCTTGTGACGGTGGTCTTCTTTTCTCTGCCACGAGCGACCAGTTGCGTATCAGACGATCATCAAAGCCTTTCAGGTGCTCCGATATGTTCGAAGACAGGTCAGGACTGTCCTGTTATAGTGACAAGGAACTCAGCAATGAGAAGTTATCGAGGGTCGAGTATAAAGGAAAGACACAATACCTCTGGCGAGAAGATGAAAATCTTTGACAGTTTGCCATACTGAGCTAGCATGGGTAGTCCTTCAGCTTCGCTCCAAGCACCTAAGATGGCGTCGTTACCACCCCAATATAGATACAATTCCTTCAAATTCTTGCCGATCTTGAAGATGTTAGAGGGACACAAGTCCGGCCGGCGCCAGTCCAAGATCTCCACGTCGGCTCTGGCGAGGGCGCGCTCTATCGCGTCGTAGCTGTGATAGTTTCGTTTCATGTCGTCGACGATGACATGCAGGATTCGTTTCACACCTTTACTTTATAACCAGCCCAGGATACGTGTAGCATCGTTGCGGCCCTTTGAGACAACTCGGTCGTCATCCTTGTCCGGCTTGAACTTGATGTTTGCAATCGGTACGTATTTTAACGTCGTCTCAAAGTCAGGTTTGTTCCAGTGACTTTCAAACTGGGCAAAGGTCATGTCAGTCGATGGGGCGGCCATGTAATCAAACCACAACTCTTGGTCTGGGAGTTCAACTTTTAGTCTTGTATGTCCTAGTCTTGGGGACCTGAGGGTGGGTGGGCATGCTCTCTTACTCTTCTCATTTGGGATATACAAGCAGCGGTACGCAGCATCGCATGACATGTCCCTCAGACTCTCAAGCTTTAATTCGTCCTTGATTAATTTTGCTGTTTCGTCGGTGACGTCCGGACTTCCCTGTCTCCTGTTAGTGCCCCAGGATCCTGCTGACAAGTCTAGTTCGGCAGCCCTCGTATCCAAGGGGTTTGAGCCACTATGGCTTGCCGGTTTTGACTGAACAAGACACTGGTATGGGAGTGCCCAGTGAAGTCTTTCTTTTGGAGCATAGAACGGCGGCGGGAAATGAGCTCCCGAACGATCTCGAAACGTCTAGGAGTGCACTTTTAATATTAGACCGCCAGATGAAGGGGCGTACGTCCGTGGATATCTTGAGCAAGCAACATGTCATCTGGTGCTAGGGAGATGATAGCCAGGAGTAATTTATTGGCAGCGAGTAGGCTCTCCTGCTGTACATGGCGTCATGCAAAAACGTGTTTCGCATCCAAATAGCGGCCCAGGTGGCTTTGCCCTTCTCAATGATTTGACGGACGTTCTTGACGGTCAAAGGCAGACTTGGCTCTCCTGAAACAGCACAAAGAAAGTCATGATTGCCTCGTTGAATGGCTGTGTGTAGAGGCGTATTTGACTCGCCGTCCCGTTCCACCAACAGGTTCATGCCACCCGGTTGCAAGAGCATTCTTGCCACTAGCTTCTGAACAGCCAGCCTCGTTGAAGGCGATCTGTTATCCTCCTGACTCGAGGCTAGAAAATGCAGAAAATTTTCACCCCGCAACCTGCTGGTGGTCATCACAAGGCTGTCACCGCGCTCTGCAACGAGTTGCTTCGACCGCCGACGCCGGCTGGCGTTCTCGGTTTCTGGCATTTTTTCGATCTCTTTGGCGCACTCCAAAACAGTCTCAAACAGGACTAGAGCTGGATCGGGACAAGAGCTGGGCGGCGACAGCACATTCGCTATTGACGTAAGTTCTACGCGAGGTTGTGAATGATTCATTGCCAAAGCAATGACTAGAACCCTTGGTTCCACGTTGCGAGAGTAGTAGGTACGTAGGTATCGACGTAGGTGTGTAAATGGCATGTAGGTCGCCGAGAGTAATGAATGCGTCTGACCGAGTTGTGTGTACTCGGTACTGAGTAGTTTAAGTGTCATGCGTGGTGTGAGGTGCCACTGCTTTGCTGCCTCCCACCACCTCCCTAAATACGAGGAATCGATGCATTGAGCCGAGGGGAGGTCATGCAGGTGTCTCGATTGTCATTGGCACGATGATGCGTCTCGGTGCCTAAATACCAATGCCCCAGTCCATTGTCATTGTCATTGTAATTGGCACAGGAATGACGTGCGTAAAAGGCTGTCGGGCTGTGCCTTGTCAGGTCAACCCAATCCCTTTTCAGTCTCTCAAAATCCTGTCGAGTCGCTATGTTCATCTAATCCATCTTAAATAGCGTTAGCCTCAGTGATCTGCTCGCGCGGCCTCGCCGTCTCCTCAATATCACCTCATCACTCATCATGACGTTCCACGAGGCTGAGGACGACGCGTGGGGCTTGGCTGCGGATAACGACGAGAATGGTCCCATGTTATTTGAGGCTCCGCTCTTCGTCAGTGGTGATGACGACGATATATTTCATGTCAAGAACCAGTCCTTGACAGAATGGCAGCGGCGCATTGTCATGGAGCGCCTCACAAAGGCCTGTACGATTCAATGCTTCCTCGTCAGTGTTCTCCACGGGAAACTGAACAAGACTCCCGAATCGCCGTCGGCTACCCTGATGGTGTTCACGTCCCGCCTGGATCCTATCAAGCACGACCGACGGCTTATCCGCGCTCGTATAGATATCGAGTTCTTTGCCGAGGATCGCGAGGATGCTGCCCCTACAGTCTTGGCTGTTGGGTTAGACGACCGCTGGACCATTGGGCCTACCGCAGACCACGAGGATGTTGTAAAGGGAGGAAATGTCAACTTTGGCGTCGCGGGGATACCCTTTGTGAATGTTGGGGTGGAGGCATCACTCAGCAAAACTGGCGGCCGTGATATTCACGATGCCACCACCATCACTGGAGGGACGCATTTTGGCGAGGGCATCAACGCTGGTGCCCACACGGCCTGCGGATGGACTCTGCTGGAAAACCAACAACGAAAGACAGGCGTCCCTTATTCATTCACCGTGCCCGTTCTCCTTGAACGGCACCACGTCAAAAAGTTCAAGGCGTGTGTGCATTTGGCGGCCAAGGGTAACGCGCGAACGACTATCGAGTGGATGTTCAACAAGATCCCTGTGGATGATCTGGTGCTCTTCAACCCCGCTGTCGATAGACGGTGGGACATGACAGAAGTGAAATATACAAAGGATGAGCTTGGGAAATGGGAACACAAAATGGAACAACTCACCCATGTCATCTGCCGCACGGTTTATCAGGGCGCCGAGAGGGAGATCTAAACATCGCTATGCCGAGTTACAGTATAAGCTGTACTTGTTCATATCAGAAAGTCGGGGGTATTTGACTTTGTGCATGGGACGATGAACTCGGTAGAGATATCCTTGACTCGGCAATACTAAGACAAGTGGCCCGTGGGAGTAGCATCAGGGACTGGTCTTGTGTACGCAGGGACCAATCAAATCTTTCAGTCAAGTCAGTTCTTGAGTTGAATAGATGAGTAGGAAAAGGGTTCAAGGGAACTGGCTCGTATTCGTACTTGCCACAAACTTTGCAACATACCTAGGTAGCCACGTAGCTCCTGTGCCCCTTCTTTCTCCTTTCACTCTGTAATAAGGTACCTACCTGCCTTATCTTTCCTCGTTCTCATGCTCATGCTCGAACTCACTCCCTACTTTGGAGAAGATGGATATCTACCAACCTAATTACGGTAGTAAATGCTCGTAGATCTCCGTCTCGTTGCTGGCTGTCGCATCATGTGTACCCTACCTACTAACGAGTACGACGTGCTTGCGTACAGTATATAGATTATGACTCCCAAACCCTTCCAGATACGCCGTTGTCGATTCCCCAGCGAGCCAGAGCAAGTTAAACCCCACTGCCAAGGCCAGGCAACAATGGCCAAGCACCGAACTAGAGGCCACTAAGCGCCCAGGCGCCCCAGGCATTAGTCACGCGGGTTACGCCAGTCTCGATACGGTATTTCTCTACGAGCGAATTCACCTCAAACCTCATAGCAATGAGCACGAGGGGCTCGTGGTACGTACCTAAGTAGTCTGCAAAGAGTTGTATCAAGTGCGAATAATCATTTTGTCGGGTTATGGGTATAGGGACTGTGAGGGGACGAGGCACGACGAGACCAACCACTCATCACAACACTATCCACTACTCTCCCCAACGCTGGACAAGTAGGTACTGTAGAAAGACAGAGACCACAACCGACGAGTGATGCGTGCATCTCACTGTGTGGAGCGGGACTAATTCCATCAAAAGTCTGTTGCAAAAGGGCCGACGAGCGACGAGCGAAGCGAGCAGATGACTGACTAATTCCTGTCTGTATAAAGAGACCTACCTGCCTGGCTTGTTGTGTCTATTTGTCTGCTTGTCCGTCAACTTGCATACCTCCCTATATACCAACCTACCAATCTACCCACCTAGCGACTTGCCCTCCCGCCAGGAAAAGCTCGGTGTCTAACTCATCACACAAATTGCATCGTATCTTACCTCAGCCGTTCCACCTCCTCTTGAAACCATCTCCACACGACAAGAACGGTTCGTCTCTGTCAGGCCAAGCGCCCTACATATATAGGAGAGAGTAGACATCGCCCTTCATCTCAACCATACTCAACAACAAAACCACACCGCAACAATACCTCCCAGCCCCACCTCAATCAAAATGTCACCCCCAGCCAACGACAAATCCAAGTCTGCGAGCTTGAACGCCGAGACTGCCTCCATCCAGAGCACTTCGACCATGTCGAGTCTCAAGGCTCTGCTGCACCCCAAGAACAAAAAGGAGAAAACCCGCGTCCCACCCGAGACCATGGAACAGAAGACCACGAGGACGGAGGCTACTGCCACCTATATGGCGATGAGATAGATTTGCCGACACGGAAGATACACAGCAGAAACTGGGGAAACAGGGTCAGGATACAACCCACCACGCTATAATGAACGATGCCGATATAATGAGGTTGGATAGGTTGTCAGTGAGCGCCATCTAGTTTGAGATTCTGTAGAAATGAAGATTCCCATTGAGTGTTGTCTGGCGTCATTTTCCACGTGTCAAGGAGTGCCGGCTGACTTCCTTGCTGACATCCAGCCTTACCATGTGGGTGTCATCTGGCCCCTTTTTCACCCATAATATAAAAGGCACCGAGACTCTTACCACTCTGTCTGCTTCTTGGCTCATGCCCCAATCGCCACAGAAAATGCCCGTCGATAATGCCCGCGCCGGACATGTAAGGATCGAGTCACGGATGATTCTTGAAGCGTGTCCACTGTCCACCTGGCCAAAATTTTACTTAAAGAAAGACTCCGTGAGTGGCACCAAAGTGTCCATCTTTTAAGTCGCCAGGGTCGCGTCGATTGTTGGCCAAGCATCTCGGCCACAAACAAGCTCGGCTGGAGATCTGAAAATTCGGCATGGCCAACACCGCATCCCCTTATCGGAAAAGCTTCTGTTGATCAACGGCGGGACTGGTCTGTTATCTCCGCTCCCCTGGTGACAGCCGAGATGGTTACGGCCTGTCGAGATTGATCAGAAATGGAAGTCCGCTGGTTTCCACTATGCAAAGTTCTGTTAATCGAGAAGCAGAGGATTCGATGCCACGGCCTTACACTGCTCACTGCTCTAGCTGAGTGCCAACTTGCTGAGTCATTGACCGAGCTTATGAGCGAGCTAACGACCGAGCTCGTCTGCCGTTACGAGCGAGCCCGCAGCGAACCGCGTTGCTGGCAAGCTGGATCGTACAAACTCAGGCCGGCGACTTTCTGAAACGACAGGGTCTTCAACGGCTTCGTGTTGTCCCGTCCAATAAAGCAGCTCCATCTAATCTAATCATTGTTCAAAATTGCTTCCATGGCGGTGCCTCGCTCTTTCGCAAAGGCCGAAGCGTCCAATTGTATGGTCATCTCGGGTGCATTTCGATCGGGCTTCCGACTTTTCGATATATCAATGATAAATCAGGGGATCGCTTTTAGGTCCAGCTTAGCCTTTTCTCCCAGATCTGCCTCTCTTCCTCTTTCTGTTAGCCTTGAGATACAAAAAGAGAGAGCGAGCTCGCGCCTGCCACGGTTTCTTCCCACAGCCTATTCTGGTCTGTTCGAGCGGCAGAAAACAACTACCACTTAAGCCTCCCCTTGATTTGACTCGACTCTTCCGATCATTGTCGCCATGTCGCAGGACCTGGAGAAGCAGATCCCCATCCGCGAGGAGCCAGAGTCCGAACCTCAAGAAAGTCTTGTTGTCCCCATCAACAAAGATGTCTCGGCTTCACCTACCGAGAAGTCGTCGCTCGATCAGCCCGCCCAAAATGAGACACCAAAGCCTGCCAACCCGTGGATGGACCCGTCTTCGTTCCCGGACGGCGGTGCACAAGCCTGGCTCACGGTCGCTGCCGCCAGCGCCTGCTTTTTCGTTTCCTGGGGGTATGTGGTCCTCGCTGTTTATTATGGAACATGAACGCTGACATCCTTGTTTCCAGATGGATCAACTGTATCGGAGTCTTCCAAGACTACTACATGCGCGCCGAGTTGAAGCAATACTCACCCAGCACCGTTGCCTGGATTCCGTCGCTAGAAACATTCTTTATGCTCGCCACAGGACCTGTGGCCGGCTTCATTTTCGACAACTATGGCCCAACCAAGCTACTCATTGTCGGTAGCTTCCTGCATGTTTTCGGCTTGATGATGGCCTCCCTCTCCAAGGAATACTATCAGTTCCTCCTCAGCCAGGGCGTCTGCAGTGCCATTGGTGCCTGTTGCATCTTCACCCCGGCGGTCTCGTGTGTCTCGACATGGTTCTTTCACAAACGTGGTATGGCCATTGGGATCACCGCTGCAGGCAGCTCTCTCGGCGGTGTCCTGTTTCCCATCATTGTTAGTCGCATGATCGAGGAGACAGGGTTTCCGTGGGCCATGCGGACCTGCGCCTTTCTCATTCTGGGCCTCTGCACCTTTGCCGTCTTCACGCTGCGCTCTCGGTTCCCTCCGTCTCGGCGTCCTTGGAGCATCATGGCCTTCCTCCGGCCCCTCAAAGAAGTCCCCATGATCCTGCTCACTCTTGCCACTTTCTTCTTTTACTGGGGCATGTTCCCGGTATTCTCCTTCGTCACAGCCGTGGCCAACGGCAGGGGAATGTCGCTCGAGCTAGCTCAGTACCTCGTTTCCATCCTGAATGCCGGTTCTGTCTTTGGTCGGACATTACCAGGGTTGTTGGGTGATCGAGTTGGGCGCTTCAACGTCATGACCGTCTTTTGCACTCTGACGGCCATTTTAATCCTTGCTGTGTGGATCCCCGCCACGAGCAACGCAGGCCAACTCGTGTTTGCCCCATTGTTTGGTTTTGCCTCAGGTGCTGCCATTGGGCTGACGCCTGCTCTGATTGCACAAGTTTCCCCAATCAGGGAGATTGGTGTGCGGACAGGCACGGTCTTTGCCGCGGGTTCGATAGGGGCGTTGACGGGGTCGCCAATCGGAGGCGCCTTGATCACTCGCGATCACGGAGGCTTTCTGTACCTTCAACTATTTGGCGGTTGTGTCTGTCTTGTTGGTTGTTTCTTCTTCCTCATAGCTCGGATATACCTGGTTGGCACTGATCTGAGGAAGAAAGTGTAGTTGGGAATGAGGGCCATTTGGCAGGAAAAAGCCAGTTTCGCAACGACCTGTGTATACTTGTATTAGTGATAGACATAGACTCCACTTGAACAAATTTCATTGCAGACGGGATATAGCTGGATTCGCAGGGAAGAAATGAAGTTTTGCTGGTGAAGTCTGGAGCGAGAGGTTTATTTCAACTCTACCGAATTTCCGCGGACAGTTCGTATGGACATACGGAGTACCTCGTACATAGGCCATGGTAGCGGCAGTGGTGGTAGGGATCAAGGTGATGGTGGTGGCGTATGTGCCAGTCAAACTGCGGCATGTGGCACAACTTCGTCCACGGCCAACTGCGCCCACTGCGTTTGGCTGCGCAATTCTGTCACAAACATCTAGTCATCTCATCACTATCACATCCTCATCCTCGTCTTCATCCCATCTTCTACCCACCATCCACCATCATGATCGAATTAGAACAGATTTCCCTTCGAACGTCGAATTACTCCTCAACATAGTCGCTATCTTTGGGATCGTCGCAGCCATCGGCCATCTCCACATCTTCCAGTCTAGCTGGTGTCTCTTCCTCATTACCAGAAGTTTCGCCCGCGTCAACAGGCGTTTGAGTCTTGGACTTGGCTCTGCGCCTGCTGCTCCTCTTCCAATTAGACACAAGACGAGCGACCTCCTCCATATCGTACGCTTCGATGGCGTGCACAAGAGCATCCTTCGATTTAGTCAATTTGTCCACCATTTGCTCCAAACCGTGACTGCTCGCTTCAAGCTTTTTCATTCGAGTTTCCAGGTCCCCCTTCTCCTTCTGCCACACTCCCCCCAGATCATTGGCTTTCATTGCCTTTGTTTCAGCTTCCACGGCCCTCGTTCTTGCTTCCAACACCTGTCGTTGCATTTTGACATAGTTGCAACAGCCCTTCTCAATATCGAGGTCCCAGCCTGGCATCTCGAGCTTCTCCAGGTGGTTTCCCAGTATCCTGGTGGTCTCGTCGGTCCAAAAGTTGGGCAACGTGACTTGTTTCACGGCCGCCTCGTCTGCATGCCACAAGACAACTGCGATCTTGACCATGTCACCCGGTACTCGGTGGGACATATTGACAGTCAGCCACCACTTTTTGAAGGCGGCCTCTTGAAGAAAAAGCCCACGTGTGAAGCTCTTGATGGTTTCGCGTCTGAACTCGGTGGAAGGCCCGTATACCATCAATCCAGCAAATCGGGTCTTGCTTACTTCGATGTTGGTGCGCTTGAGTTCGAAAATCAAGCTGTCCTTCACAAGATCCTTGACAGCTTCGATGGAGTTCATAGTGTCAATGTCGGACTGTACCTCCCGCGTGAAGCGGCCTGCTTGGGGAGCTGCAACATGAACCAGGACTGGCAGAATTTCCGGCAGCAACCACCCCTGGAAAAAATGTCAGCATAACACCGCAGGACGAGGACGGAGTTCTGGACTAGGACATGTGCATTTCCAGCGAAGAATGCCCAGAAGACCTACTGTGATGTTCTTGTGTTTGTGAGTGATCTTTTCGGCTTCGGCTACTCCAAGCTCTTCCCAAGTCTCAAGAAGCGGGTACTTGGTGTTCGTGATGGTTGTTTCGGGATGCGCGATACCAGGGCCACTCTCTTGTGCGGCGTCATCGGCGAGTTTCCAGCCGTTTATGTTCTGATGCAATTGCCGACTCTTCTTTATGCTCACCCTCTCCTGCTTGTGCTTTGTAACCTTTGGTGTCATGTTGACCAAATTAACTTGACATAGGCAGGAGGACGCAGTTGATGGGCCGTTTCGCAACTCCCGCCAGCACCAAGTGTTGGTGGACTTTTCAAGAAGTCCAAATACGATGAGCAAACTTGAGCACGAGGAGGAACGGAGGCACAGAGCCTGGGGCACAGGCTGGCGCAAGAGGAAAGGTAAGGAAATGCAGAAAATTGACACACAAACAAGGCATGATAGTAACAGAGGCAGTGGTTCGTTCACTTCACATCACTAACTCCTATCTCTGACCTACCTCAGAGCTTTCTGCCAGACCCTTCACGACTTCACTCTGACCGAGCAGTACTAGCACTAGCAACCTCCTCCCTCCTCATCATGACTACCTTGTGGGCCAGCACTGGTATGATCAGCGCAGCGAACTGTGCACACTGCGATGATAGCAACACAAGGCTTGACGATAAAGCACAAAAACAAGAGGAGAAAAATGGTATTTCCAGAAGCACATCCGATTAAAGCATTCGATCACCATCCGTGAGGGACCTCGTTTAACCACCTCAGCCAAAACCCCAAAGACTCGCCGATGTGGAGAGGCCCGGAGAGCCTCTTTTGTCACCAAGGTATTGGACCTTTCCGCTCGACTGATATAACCTATCAGGGGAGGCTAAGGGATTTGTGTTAAAATTCTCAGCCTCAACTTGTCAGGTGACAACAACCACCACCCATATATCGCAAAGGACATGATGACAGCTTCACTTTACTGTTCTGGCTGCTTTTGAGCGCTTGCATGGTGCGACGCTCAGAGGAAGAAGCTAGTCTCTAAGTACGGGTACGTTGTCTGCGCCCTGGGGGTTGGCCGAAGCGGGATTCAAGGTGAGTCCGTCCCTGGTGCGCTGTACCAGTTACCTACGTGCTTCGGAGCGTAAATCCCTGAACTTTCGTCGACCATGGCTGCCTGGTCTTACTGACGCCTTCGGTGGTAGGCAATCGTGCGCTCCTGAAACTAGTTTGGGTCGAAACCTGGCCATCGATGCGGCCTTTGAACCCTAATCCCCCAATCACATGAATCAGCCCACTCTTCAGCGGTGAGATAGTCGCCGAGTCCCCGTATCAAGGGAGCAGCCTGGCAGTCTTTTGGTTCCGAACACTGACCGGGGTGAAAAGAAACGCGCCGAAAGAGATGGAATTGAAGGATGCCCGAGAGTTTTGTGCGAATGATCAGAACATTTCTCGTCTGATTTTGTGCGACCAATCATTCCATGGCACGCGCCAACTGCAATTGCAGGGGACGCAAGCATTAAACCTCATTGAGACAGGTTCGTTTTATTCTCTCTCGTCCCTCGTGACTGTGGAAGCAATGCTCCTTAGCCGATGCCTTCTGACAAGGAGCAAGTGTTGATATTTACAATTGCTACTATTGCTCCCCGATCATCATGGGACGGGCCGATCGATACTGGGGTCATTTTAAGCGGATTGACGAGGGGTAGTAAATGTTCTTCTTTACTAACGGGTTTTAGACAAGACTAGCCTGGGCCAGATGATGGGTACTCAGGCACCTTCAAGGAGACTCGGAGAACTACATTACGTCGGTGTGGATGATTGTTTTTGTTGGCAAAGGGTTTGCAGACGCCCGTCTGCTGCGCAAGGACGTTCTCAACTTCCCATCCACAGCTTCACCAATGTTTTGTTGCCATGTAGCCTACGAGGTTCGACGCTTTGACGACCTAAGCAACCTGAGAATTCCTTCCTGCCACCTGCATACCATTTAGCGCCACCATACCATCCTTCTTCGACGCTGCTGCAGGGCGACGAACCGAATGTTTCCATCACCCCGGACACTGGCTGCTCGTCAAGGGCACATGTAGCCCCACCCTCTTGGACGCAACACTTCCAACGTTCACAAGCGGTGCTATCTCGGAGGCAACTCCGTTCTAGCACCGTCCATTTGGCCTTGGAACTGGGCAAATCAAACCTACAGGTTGGATTGCATGGTTGCAAACTGAGATTTCAAGAGAGGTTTCACTTACGGCATTTGAGGGATACCATCTTGATTGTGGATTAATATGGGTTGATCTAGCGTGTCAATTTCGGGCATGGTCCGCAGGCGGTGAGGGCGAGAGCACATTCTAGGGTCCGAACTAACCGTTGCGGCTCAGTTCGTAGGCATCCTCTGCAGAGTTAATACGCTAAGCTTCACGCCCCTACAAGGCGCAAGCGGAGCCTGGGGTGACCCCGAAATACAATCGTCACAATGGACAATTAGGAATGACAGGGCAACACTCTTGGGTGGGCACGCATTTTGCAGCTCGAAGCCATTGACTGGATCTTGTCCAGGGCAATCATCTACTCGCAGGATTCCTCAGGAGGCCGACGGCTTGGGGTTCCGTGACTCGACATATCTGCTTGCCAGCAAACATGCGAACGTCGAAGATATTGCACCCCCTTGAACAAGGATTGCCTAAGCAAAAGAAACAACGATCCGAGAGCCTCAGCTTGACAAGACTTTCGTACACGACGTGCACGATGATGAGAGGTAGGTCATTTGAGGATGACTTGTTCGATATGTGAGATGTTGTCGCCATTGGGGATGACGCTGTGGCACGAAAGACCTTAGCATGTTCGCTGGTTTTGTGTGTCACTCACCAATACGACAATCTCCGGCAAGACCCCTGTCAACTAGCAGATATCCTCTGCAAGTCAAGCGCCTTACTTTAGTTATGGTTGCGCAAGGGAGATACAGTCCGGCCAGCAGACAGCCCGACCTTGGGAAGGGAGAAGATCCTTGGCTTTGTTGACTGGCGTCCTATAAAGGTCTGCTATCAGCCATGGTCCTCGGATACTCTCGAACTGCTGGAAGCACTCTTGAATTTTTCAAAGCTGCCCGAAGCACCTTCCGCACAGTCCCCAGATAGATCCTGCCTCCCTGACTATATTTCCCTGAAGAAGAATGACAGGCTCCCAGGAAGGGAATGGTCGGAAGCCAGGTCGCCAAAACAAACCCGGCGGCTCAGGACACAAGAAGCGCTTGAGATTCATTAGAGAAAGACCGGAGAGACATAAGCTCCGGAGTTGCGATTACTGTTTTACTGTACATCACAGGGTATGTGTTTCTTTTGTACTTCGGTCTATTAGAGCATCCGAACTAATAGCAAATTGTCAGTGCGCACGACGAATACCAGGAAGGAAGTGCAGGAGGTGTGAGCGAAGAAACAATTATTGTAGTTTTGAGTCTTTGCCGCGTCGACCAAGCGGTACGACGGCTCCTGGGAGTACTCATCCTTCACCTGGCGTCAACCCAACCCCGGTAGCACAAATTCGTCAAAGGTGTGTGTATCAAGGCGTCTTGGTCGAGACGGAAGCTGACGTCGGCTGCAGTCCTGGCAACCAACCCGATCCAGGCTTGATTCCAACCTCTTTTGACCAATATGGGACAACCTGGGACAGCTACTTCGGAATGTTCCCTTGCCAATCTTTTGCTCGCACTCTAGACACTTCCGGACAGCCAAACAGCCTGTCCGGCTTTGTTGATCCTCATGCGTACCAAGCCAGGTCAATATTGCCCTCGGCAAACGAACAGGGTCAGCAAGCGGACGGTGGTGACGAGGAGGAGACAGATGAGCAGGAAGAGGAAGAAGAAGAAGAAGAAGAAGAAGAAGAAGAAGAAGAAGAAGAAGATGATGATGATGATGATGATGATGATGACGATGATGGGTATGATGATAACAATGATGATTATGACGGAGGGGCAGGGCCAGGGCCAGAGGAGGACAAAGACGAGAGTGCAAAAGAGAGCGTATGGTCTGGGGTGCTGGTCGAGAGGCAGAGGTACTATTAGGACCCCGTACAGGGAGCACAATGTCAAAACACAAACGGAGGGGAGGGGTGGGGAGCTGCGAAACATGGGGCATGTGGTCTTCAACAGGCCTTGCGATTTTCATTAGGAGGAGAGTTGGAGTGGCACACAGGACGGACACGGTCTCTTTTTTCTTTTGTTGTGCTTCTTGCTGTTGTTGTTATCGTTTTTGAATTACTTTGATGTTGTGGAGGCTCAACGGACGACGACATGATCGAGTGCGCTTTTTTTTGTTGTCTCGTACTTTCATAGCAACCGTAATTGACCATGAATCTTGTCACCAATGGGTTTTTTCGTCTGCCTCCTTTTTCCGCCGTCAAAGCGTGACTTGAAGAATACCGGAAGTGGTGAACGGGGTTTTTATCTGGTACCCTCGCTTCGCAGCCTCGACCCCTGCCTTGGGGATGGATTCCTTGACAGGCTTCCAGACATGCACAGCAACGCTTGAACAATGGACAATGCATGGACAATGGTGCTTGTCCTGCGTACGAAGTACGGACAAGGTGTGGATTAAAGTAGCCGAAACTCACTAATTTACGAGGTACCTACCTAGGGACTAGGTATGCAAGCTATGTACCGAGTACCGAGTGCAAAGTGCATTCGGGGGGGGGGGGGGGGGGGGCAACCCACTGGTTTGTAGATCCCCCCGCCCAAAACCCAACCAAACTGTGCCCTAACATAGCCGCTACCGGTGCCTAGATCTAGCAGTTGTTAGCTGTACATATGTATTGCTGGGGTTGGTGTTGGGGTTTGAGTTTGGGGTTCAGGGGTTAATAGTTCATAGGTACGAGGTAGGGCTATAGCGCTGCCGCGCAGGGCAGGGTAGGGTAGTGGCAGGATAGGCGGTAGGGAGCACTGGGTTCACGCTTGGGACACCTATCTACGAGGTGCCTAGAGGTATGAAGTAGAGGTACGGTGTACATATGTACATGCAAGTTCAGGAACAGTAACCCACGGGCCACGGGGACATAGCGCCTGGTGGGTGATGGCCTTTATAGAGTACATAGGTACCTACAGTACCTGCGAATGAATAGGTACAAGTACCGAGTACCGAGTACCGAGTACCCGGTACTTGTACGAGGGACCAAGCACGGACGAACGATCATCAGCTGCACTCGAATAATAATATTATTCTATACCGGTTTCCTTTTCCAGAACAGCACGTTTGTTGTTCGGCGGAATGTTTCTCCATGCCCTCCATATAACGTGCTATACTCGGTACCTACCTCCCTACATATCCTAGAGGTAGTAATTTATATATATGAAAAAAAGAGCCATTCAACATGAGGGTACCGGGTAACACACACATATGTATAAAAACGACGATTCTCACTGAACTGTGTCACTGACATCAACGACCCGTTACACAAATCATTACTAAGTAAGAAAACATAGAAACCTCACAGTCTTTAAACGAAAGAAAAAAGAAGAAACTCGCTGGAAGTCATGGACCCTCGCGTCGCGGCCGTCGACGGCTTCACAAAGACCCAACACACGTCGGTCCCACCGGCGCTGGATCCTTCTTCTGTAAAGCTGGACGACGGCTTCACCGTCTGCATCATCGGCGCGTCCACGGGCATCGGCGAGCATATCGCATACAGCTTCGCGAGGGCCCAAGCGACAAGAATCATCATCGCGTCTCGCACCCTCGCCGACCTGGAGATGGTGGCCGACGAGGTCAGACGGATCAATCCCCGCGTCCAGATCGACGTGGTCGAGTGTGACGTCTCGAAAGCGCCGGAGGTGGAGGCCCTCGCAGACTATGTGAGAGGACATTGCGGCGGGCGATTGGACGTGCTCATCCTCAACGCGGGCTACGCCGGGCCCGTCGTCACGAAGATGGACCAAGGAAGGCCTGAGTGGGTGCAACAAGCCTTTGAAGTCAATGCCCTGGGCACCTACCTAACCGCACATTACTTTGTGCCATTACTCGTGCAGTCAAAAAGCAAGGCGAAGGGATTCATCGCCATTGGGTCCATCGCGGGGTGCATCAGACGAGGACCCATCGCAAACACGGGGTACACGATCAGCAAGTTTGCGCAGATTCGCCTGGTCGAATATCTTCACGAGCAATACTCTGGTACAGGGTTGGTCAGCCTGGCACTTCACCCGGGAGCGGTCATGACGAGAATGGCGAGCGGAAACACGCCGGAAGAATTCATGCCTTGTGAGTCGCCGTGGCACCAGTATCTGCCCATTGGCCATGCTTGACTAATTTATTCCCCAGACATGACGGACGAGGTCGATCTCTGTGGTGCAGTTTGTGTCTATCTCAGTAGGCAGATTGGCGATCTCGTTTGGCTGAGCGGGAGACTGATATCTGCCACTTGGGACATGGAGGAATTGAGGGCCAAAAAGGCAAAGATAACAGAGAAAGATTTGCTCAAGTTCGTCCTGGTGACCGAGTAAGGAGGAGTCGCGTACGGTAAATGCGCATCACGACTTACTCGTCTTCCACATGCCAATTCGAGGGTTTGATTCGGTTGAACAAACTCAAACTGTCTACTCCCAAAGACTAGACATGGTCCGCCGCTAAGGCCCAAGAAGCAGTTGGGCAACCTCATTCAACTGCGACAACCACGACTGGCCTTCCTGCAGGTCTGGGATGACGATGCAAGGTACCAGATGTCAAATGCCAATCCCGACCAGTCGTCTGCAGGTGTGGTGACACACATTCACATGATCTGCATGGCTTCGGGACATAAATAGAAACCAGAGGGCCAGACCTACGCCAACCGGCCAGAAAGAGTGGGAGAAGACGTGGGCTGAATGGATGTTGAAAAGGAGTTGTTCTTGAGTTGTTTCATGCAACCTTCTGGCCATAACCCTATCCAACAACAGTTACACACGTACGAGTAGATCGCCCCGGTTGTTTGTGCCGGCCTGGTCTCTTCACGGGGCCAATGCAACGTATCGAGGTTTTCATGACTTCACCTCAAATCCACATGACCAGATTCGTTCGGTCTTCCAGCAGGAAACGTCCGGTGAAACAGGGAGCTGAACGTGACGAGCGTTTCAATGTCAAGCCACTGATGCAGGAAGTAGGACGCATGACGCAGGGCATGGGAGCGTGGAGCATGGAAACGATGGATTTACTCGCAGAGTCGACGTGTCTTAAAATGCCGAATGCAGGCGATGGAACGGTCGAGGACGCCAGCGACGGCCGTGGATGGATGGGACAACGGGAAGCAGGAAGCTGATGTGGAGGACGAAAGCGAGAGGCCGGAATCTTGATTTGCTCAGTTTGAGGCAAGGTCTGGGATCGATGGGTCCGTCAAAGGAAGCTGGCCTGGCTGGTTCTTTGGCCAGGTTCCACTCAAATGCTGAAAGTGGCAAAGACGCCCAGCTTCCTTTTGAAACCTGCCGCAGGAGGTGAGAGACGAGGGCGCGCTCAGTGCTGTAAACGGAGGCCTTGCCAGCGTGTTCTGGGCCAGCTTGTCAGCTGCATGCGAAACAGGAGAAAAATCATCTTCTCCGTAGGAGTTGGACTGGGAGCGAGATGGATACTGAGAGTACCTGGGAGGCAATGGAAGGAAGAAAGGAAGACGGATTACCAGCCTTCAAGCCCAATGATAGTGGCTTGATAGTGGCTTTTAGCCTTGATGCCGACTTTCCGCTCAGCAGGCATCGTCCGGGTACCATCACCGCCTAGGGCAGCCACTCCGGCTTACCTATTGCGCGAAGTTCCAGTGGTGCCAGGTTGGTAATGGGCGTATCGCATGGGGGGGTGGGTTTAGGCTGCTCGGCTAGCCATCGCAGAGGTCTGGAGGTCCTTCTGGCATTGCCCACGTGCGACTGGTTTCTTGTCACTTTGTCCTCTCTACCAAGAACGAGGTGCTCGTATCTCGCAGTTCCATCATCTCCACAAGTGTCTCTGATTGTTTGCCTGCTTCAGCCTCTTTTGTTACCATAGTCATATCACAGCGCATAGGTATCCTATCTTCTGTCTCATCGGGTACTCAATACACGTATCGAGCTCGTCCGGACCCAGTTCCCAGAAAAATCATTCGATCCTTGCCTGCTTGTCCTCCACCACATTACCCAATACTCGCATATCCCGCCCTCGTCCGCGGCTGATCTGACAGGGTTCCCACACTGAGAAGAGGTGGAAAAGAGGAAAAAGAGAATCCACACCTCCCACAAACCTGCGGGCTCAGCGTTGGGTGGCTCAGTAGCAGCCATCGTCCGAGCCACGATATTCCCTTGCCTGCATCACTAGTGGCCCCAAAACTCTCTTAACTGGGACAAGCCGCAGCTGGCACCTTCGAATCTTCCTCAACCCAGCGTTCCCTGCATAGAAGCTTAACCAGGTCTTAGAGGCGCACTCTCTATCACCAGCCTTTTTATTTCTCTTCCATCTTCCCACACGCACCAGTTCTTATTGTCACTCACTGTTCACTACTGCACCTAGAACGAACCTACCTCTCGTTTGGTTCGTCCATTTGCTTTCCTGCCATTCCATTGACAGCGATGATCGGCCTGCGCAAAGCCTTCGTTTTCAGCACGTTGCTGCTGGGCACCTTGAGTTCGCCCGCACATGTTCCAGAAGATGACCATGCATTAATCAACTGGGAGGCATTCCAATCGTTACTCGACACCGTTGATCCTGCTGCCCTGCATTCCGTCCTCCACTCGCTCTCCCCAAAATTCCAAGACGGTGTCTTCAGCAAGGACCGCGCAGCCATTGAGCACGTCCACTCCGAGAATCCCATCATTGCAAGCAAACTAGTCCACCTCGCAAAGAAGAGACAGGACAGCAACTCGACCACCACAGCCACGACAACACCCTCCACGGATGCTCAGAGCAGCGTTGCTTCCGAATCGAGCTCTCGGGCAGCCAGCGTCTCTTCCATCCTCTCATCCGCCATCTTTGCATCCACTGTACCCGGAGCCACGACCGTGACGGTGCCTCCAACGACTCCACCGTCTGCCACACCAGTCGAAACTTCTGGTGATGCTGTGGTCTTCAGCACATTCGGGGGCGGCCTGGTGACGCTCACATCCTCTGCGTTGAGCGTCCACTTCACTCCCAGTACCTCCACCCAGCTCTTCTACGCAACTGCCGGTGACGGGTCTGTTCAGACATCGACGTCAGTGGTGGTGGTCAATGCGCCGGTGACGGATAGCGGTGATGCCACCGGTGCTGCCGGTGCCGCGACAACCACGGGAAGTCCGGGACTGCAGAATGGTGGTGTTTCGATAAAGATGGGAGGTCTCGCCTCTATATTTGCTGGTCTGGGAGGATTGCTCTTCCTTGCGCTATAGGAAGTGTAGAGGTGGACACTGGTTCAAAAGCAATTGTCGCCAATTGGGTTTTTGGCGGCTAACGTGATTTTTGTGGGATTTTCAGCGGACATAACGACGATACGGCACCGGCATTTCTCTCCTTTGATCAGCAATCTGCAACGGGCATAGCTTTGGGCGTTCAAGCACTTCCTTGTAGAAGTTGGCTTCTTTTGATGTTCGGTTTGGAGGGCAAGGCAATATACGTGTACATGAAAGGGATCTGGGTAACCAAGGAGGATGGAAGGACTTGATGAAGCCGAAGGACCGTGGGGACTGCTGCAACGGGGGCAAATCAGTGCCGCCCAGAGATTGCCCAGATGTATGGGGACATATAATCAGATTGCACGCTGTCACCAAGACATTGGCTTCCAGTCGACGACGTAATCCAGCTCCAAGTTCTTCACAACTTCTCCCTCAAATCGGTCGTAATTGATCTCACCACGCCGACGCCACGCCCACTCCTTGATCTCTGGTACACCACATTGCTAAATACCATAGGTGTTGGCATTGGAGAAAATTCTTGGCACAAAGGGAGGCTGAAACCCTTGGTGGTGCCGCGCAAGGCAATCCTCGATGCCCAGAGCACCACTTGGAGTGACGATTCAAAAGGCTTGACCTTAGACTAGACAAAGAGACAAGTGCATCTATCCTTATACCTACACATCAGCGGGCCTTCCCTAAACTATATACTTGGTCAGAGCCCCTAAAGTTGTGTGGATGTTGTTTGATTAACGGATATTGAAGTGGTCCTTATCCTCGACGCAAAAGACACCTGCAGCAACTTTTTTGTTCCTAGAGTAATGTACGTACGGGGTATACCAGGCACCCATGCCAATCATTTCATCGGTGTCGAATGACATAGGAGGGATTGACGATCTCGAGAATCAAGAACATGGACCGAAGAGAAGCGGATCGTTGACTCAAGCGCATTCTGAGACAGATCTGGAGGCCCAGGGAAGCCGTCTTGAAACAAGCCCCGGGCCATGAATGTGGCAGTGCTCGAGCGTGCAATAAAATAATCTGGGGCCCTGGAAATTTGCTACACACGCAACCCGACTCTTGTTCGGCGGCATTTCATAGCATTGACCATGTTGTCTACGCGGCATTCTCCAGTGCCTTTGTGCTTGATCGTCAAGCGACAACCCTCGGCGCAGGATCCAAGATGTCCATCACCGGTTTTGTCGAGGTTGGAAGCGGGATTACACGACCAGGCTCAAGGCTCATGTCGTTGGCAGGCCGTGGCAAGCTTGACAAACCCCCTTGTGCGCAATTCGAAACATGTGCCAATCGTGCCCCATAGCGAGACGCAAGTGGGCAGATCCAAGAAACTTCATCTGCAAGTCGTTTGCGGGTGGATAGGGAGAAGGGTGAAGGGAAAGACATGTGAGTGGCTGAGGCTGGAGGGTGGCGGCTCTAATGAGGGTTGAGAGGGTCTCTAACTGGCCCTTAGCAAGGCCCCTAACGCACATCCAGTGAACATCTAACAGGGGCTGGTGGCCATCAATGGGGAATGCCCCCCCGCCTAGAGCATGGGCGCGACAGGGGCAGCCGGACAATTCATCAACTCAATTGAACAATCCAATTGCCCGCGTCGATTGATCCCTGCCTCGAATATCTTCAACAACTGCGATCTTGCATCTTTTTTCCTCCCTTCTCTATCCTTCAACCTCTTCACCTCCCACCCCTTCTTTTTATCACAAAAAGCAAGAGCCGTCACCACTTCGTTTGGGTGTCGCTCCTCCTTCGCTACCTTCTACTCTCTTCTAATATCAGGTGTCTTCTGTTGGGAAATTCCTCACTCTCTTGGATCCCAACTCCCGTTAACTTTTCTTCACCCCCTCGCTTCGGTTGATTTCCTCTCGGACACAGACCTGAAAACAGATCACTTGATTCCAATCATGCGTACTTCGACTTTGGCCACCCTCGCTTTGGGCGCTGGTGCTACATCTGCGGCTTCTGTCAAAAGACAAAGCAGCTTGCAACCAGTCTCCGTTAAAGGAAATGGTACGTGCTCGCGTGTCTCCGTGTTCTGTTGCTATCACTGACCGTTCTAAAGCTTTTTTTGCTGGTGACGAACGATTTTACATTCGTGGTGTCGACTATCAACCTGGTGGCTCCTCAGATGTGGCAGACCCCATTGCCGATGAAGAGGGCTGCAAGAGAGACCTCGAGGAATTCAAAAAGCTGGGCATCAATGCTATCCGGGTCTACACGGTTGACAATAGCGCATCTCATGACGCATGCATGAATGCCTTGGCAGATGCTGGCATCTACCTCATCTTGGACGTAAATACCCCCAAGTATTCGTTGAACCGAGCCGACCCTGGTCCATCCTACAACGATGTATATCTTCAGAACATCTTTGCCACGATTGACATCTTCCATGCCTACGACAATACGTTGGCTTTCTTCTCTGGCAACGAGGTTATCAATGACCCTGAGACTTCCGCAGCTGCGCCGTACGTCAAGGCCGTCACTCGGGATATCAGACAATACATCCGAAGCCAAGGCTACCGAACCATTCCTGTGGGATACTCAGCCGCCGATGTTGCCGAGAACCGTCTGGAAATGGCCGAGTACATGAATTGTGGTACAGACGACGAGCGTTCAGACTTCTTCGCCTTCAACGACTACTCCTGGTGCGATCCTTCTTCCTTCACCGTCTCTGGCTGGGATCAGAAGGTCAAGAACTTTACGGGCTATGGTATCCCCATCTTTCTCTCCGAGTATGGTTGCAACATCAACACTCGTGAGTTTAACGAAGTCGAGGCACTTTACAGTGACAAAATGACCCCTGTCTATTCTGGAGGCTTGGTCTACGAGTACTCGCAAGAGCCCAGCAACTATGGCCTCGTTGAGATTGATGGCAACTCGATCTCTGAATTGCCTGATTTCGGAACCCTTCAAAAACAATTCGCAAACACCCCCAACCCTTCGGGTGATGGCGGCTATAACTCGACCGGCGGTGCATCCGGCTGCCCTTCCTACTCGTCCCCCAACTGGCTTGTCAAGGATAACTCTCTCCCTGCTATTCCTGATGGCGCGAAGAAGTATATGACTGCGGGCGCCGGACCAGGACCTGGTCTCTCCGGCCCTGGCTCCCAGAATGCAGGTGGTGCTTCTACTGGAACCGCCACCGCAGGCAGCGGATCCCCGAGTCAAACTGGCGGCTCGTCCTCTAGCGGAACCAGCAACGCAGCTGCTTCCGTCATGGATGCCAAGATGTCTGTTGCTCCTCTGGTCTGCGGTGCTGTCGTGGCCATGTTTACGCTGTTTGGTGCTACTTTGTTGTAAATCTGCCTTTTGAATGGGTACTGTTGATTTTTGCGGGGGAGGAGAAACGCAAACAGAGTCAGCCGTCTAAAGAGATGGGTAGTGAAGATGGATTGGCCTCTCTTTTGCATGTAAACATTGGGCGGATTGTGACGGACTGGTTCGGCGTATTAAACAAGCCTTGAATATGAGATTGGTATATCCATGCAATAGAGTTGCGGGGTTTTTGAGAACAGATACAGATGAAACAGCAAGATTAATTAACCAAGAATCATTCTTGTATCCGTTCCTTTTGCGCAATGGTCGTCTGTAAAGTCGTCTTGCCTTTCTGGACGTCCCAAGGACCATCGTACCATATGTCGACGCCGCCCTTGACCACCAACTTGCCCTCGTCGGTGAAGTTGACCCCTTCATCCTTGAGCAACTTTAGTTTCATGGTCTGGTTGACTCCCGAGGGTGCCTTTTCCCAGTCGCCCTTGAACCCTCCCACGTAGCCGTCACTCGCGATGACGCGGTGGCAAGGCACTTCGGGAGCGTAGGGGTTGTTTCGAAGAGCTCCGCCCACGGCGCGCGGGCTAGAGTTGAGGGAGCGCGCGAGCGCGGCGTACGTGGTCACACGGCCCGGGGGGATGAGCACGAGGTGCGCGTAGACTTTCTTTTGGGAGTCAGGACATGTGAGGAGAATCCTTGGGTGGAACTCACCTCTTGGAATTCAGTGATGGCCATTCTCACGTTGTCTCTTGAACGGGGGTTTGAACGATGATTCTGATTCTGATTCTCTCGGTCTGGGTATACGCTTTGAAGGGTTGGGTGGATGGAAGTATCCTCGTATGTTTTGTTACCTAGAGCGCGGGTAGCTAGCTTTATACCGACATATCTCTCCTCACCGCAACGTAGCTGAGATGATGGACAGGGGGCAGGAGATTTGACTCATCATTGTCAAAGAGGCTGAGCGACTACATATCAAGCAATAGTTGATGTCTGAGCACTCTGTGAAGGCCTGGCTTATGGACTTTGTCGGTTTGTGATTGGTCATATTCAGAGCAACGACTAACCTGCGCGTATCAATCAGGGTGAACAAAGTAAGCCACTTTGGTGGAGAGTAATAACTCGGTAAATTCGCGACAAGGGCGCGATGTCACGTGTCTAAAAGCAAAGATTGATCCGCAGTAGATTCTGCGCTATCACACTAGATACTTCACCCCATGCTAGTTCGCAGCTTCTCCTCCAGATCAATCGCGGGTCCAAAGAGCTCGGTGCTGCCCATCCAAACCCCCGATTCCCTATCGTCTGTGAGGTCTCGCCATTCCAAGATGGCGGTCATAGAAACGGTCAAAGAGGCCATCGGTCTCGGAGATGATACTGGTACGCTTCCCTTGGCTTTAATTCCCCTCGCCCTCGAGCAACTCGGAATGAATCAAAGCTAATGTCAGCTCCGTTGTCCCTGCTCCAGCTCCAGCGTCCAGACAAGCGATGGCCGAAGCCAGACTTCCTCTCGCCTACCGAGACAGCTGTGCGAACCTCCTGATACCTCTCAATAAATGCCGGCACCAGACGTGGTACATGCCCTGGAAGTGCGAGGTGGGTTTTTCTTGTCAAGTGTTGTGTCCAATCCCGAAATCATGAAAAATGATTCTATTTCACACGGCGGTATATGCTAACTGGCGAGTCTACCTTGTTTTGCCAACAGAACGAGCGACACAGCTATGAGAAATGCCAGTACGAGGAGTTCAAGAAGAGGGTTGCGAAGATGGACGAGATGCGGGCGGCCAAGGCGGCTGCTGCGGCGGCGGATAAATAGATGGATTGATGCGAGGCGCAATAAAAAAATGCGAGGATTTTGAGAGTTTGAAATGCACCAGGCCCTCGGTTGTATATATGGGACAAGAGTTCACTGGTGATGGTACTTTCGAAGGCGCCTGCAAGGAAGGGACAATTAACACAATCAGTCACAGCTGAGATAGAGTCTCCCCAAACTGTGGGTATGGGAGGGACATCTTTTTCGAGCTGTGGCAGGTCCAGCTAGTATGAGAACAATTCACTCCTGCCAGAGGGGAGACAGCTTGAACCTCAAGGCAAGGCTGGATCGCAGCTGTACGTCGTTTATAGTGGCCGTTTTGAAGAGTGTACGCATCACGTGATCACGATGGAATTTCCAATTCCTTTACCCACCAGTCTTCGCATCGCGATATATTTCTTGATATGGTGAAATAACATGCGCCTGCAATCCAAACACCCCCACGTTGTATCCTGCCATGTGCATGTGCATCATTTGGCCTAGGCGATACGAAGTCGACGTGTGACCGCTGACGGTGCTTGCAGGACTGCTCTCAGCCATGCCGCCATGTCGCTCTTGTCGCAGGCTCTTCCGCGGATATCACCGGCGCCCAGCGGCCTCTGGAAGAGTGATTCCATTCTAAGCACTCGATCTTTTTCCATCCCATGGCTTCCCCCAATTCCGAGCGCCATCAACCCAATAGACAGGCTGATGATGACTAATTGGAAATCTTTACAGAATCCTTGGACCGGCTCTCGGTACGACATCGTTTCTAGACCTTCGTCTCGACATCCCACTCTCAAAGTGCGCGAGACGGCTTGCTTCCTCTGTTCACTACCAGTGCCGCGCGCGATCTTCTGCCTTACGACCTTTGTCAACAGGACGCACCGTTTCTCATTTGCCGTTGGCGCCCGTTTCTTCTCCATCCTATTATAGCGGTTATTCTGTCGCCGGTTCAAACCCCACGGGTCGAGGCTCTCACTTTTCAAACCCACCGAGTACCTAGTCAAAGTTCCTCGTCCCCTCTCCCTCCCACACGGCGGCTGTTTCCGTCCGAAGTCTGCCGTCTAGTGAGACGAAAAAAAAAATCGCATAAGAAAACGTCACAACCAGTCCAAGGGGGTGTTGGCCCGTTCGTTTTTGTAATTCGGCAATTTCGGGGCTTTCTTTCCATTATCAAGAAAAGAGACCATCGACTACTCACATTCCACTGGACAACGCAGAAACGGTCGACAAGTCAGTCCCCCGATAGCCTTTCCTCCCTTTTTTCCATTAAGACGTACATGCGCCATGCGTTCCCCCTAGATGGCTTCAGCATTGGCACCCTCGTTCAGGCTCGTCACCAACAAGTCGGAACCTTTTGGTTGATCGTTCCCGTTATTCTAAATCATCTTTTTTCTTTGACCATTTCTGGCCCTCTCTGGCGGTCATTGCGGCGAAATTTCCAAAAGTAGCCATTCTTACGGTTGAAGAAATTATACTTGACTATCTTTTTTTTCAATATGGGTCTTTTGTAGGTACCAAAGAACCTCTCACCAAGTCCCTTCCTCCTTCTGGCCCGACTTTTTATTTACCAGGATCTAGAGCGTTAGGGACGGCCTTGGATTGGCCAGATGCGAAAAAGGCCGCGAATCAGGTTCGGGAATGGGGTATCGAGGTAAGAGAGGCAGAACGCTCTCTCACGACGGTCTACTTCAATCCTACTGACACACATCCAAGCAATTGCTCGCAATATGGCGCAAGGCCAAGGGTAAAGAGCGTGATGCCCTTCTTTGGGGGGACGAGGTATGCTTTCCCCCTCTTCGGCCGGTTATCCGTCCGTATTACTAAACTGTCCCGCCGTCCGGTCCAGGTCGAGTACCTCGTTGTCGCGATCGATGAAGAACATCAAAAGGTTCGGCTGTCGCTGTGCCAGGCCGATGTTCTTAAATCTTTAGCGGGAGACGAGACGTTGTTGAAGAAAGATGTCGTCGTCCCTGATTTACAAGATGGTGTCGTGTGAGTACTTCACCATCCGTGATTGTCCAGCGCTTGTCGTGCATCACTGACTGCTGTACCAGTCGAAGCGGTGCCCTTCCAACATTCCATCCCGAGTTCGGTCGCTTTATGCTCGAAGCTACCCCAGGGAAACCATGGGGTATCGATTTCAAGGATTTGCTCGACGTTGAGCCGGACATGAGGCTTCGGCGCGAAATCGCCAAAAACCACATGGACGCTGATGAATTCCCGATCACCTTAACGACGTTTCCACGTCTCGGACTGCCCGACTCTATTAAGCCGGATTACCCTCCCTCCGGCCCTGCCCTTCGATCACAATTTGTCCCAGACGAGATTGCTAACCCCCACATTCGCTTCCCAACATTGGCTGCCAACATTCGATCAAGAAGGGGGAGGAAAGTGCAACTCAACGTTCCCGTTTTCAAGGATAAGAATACCCCGTCTCCCTTCAACGACCCAACGGTCAACTATGACCTGCACAAATGGCCCGAAGACGACGACGTCCGTAACGGCGCTGTCAAGCCTAACTGTGTCTACATGGACGCCATGGCTTTTGGTATGGGCAGCTGCTGCTTACAGATTACGTTTCAAGCCAAGAATATCCGTGAAGGACGCACCCTTTACGACCAGCTTTCTCCACTGGGTCCAATCATGTTGGCGCTGACTGCCGCCACGCCGATATACAAAGGTTTCCTGGTGAACACGGATGTTCGGTGGAATCAAATCTCTCGCGCGGTCGACGACCGCACCGCAGAAGAACTCGGCGAAGTACCCCTAAAAAATGATCGGTGGCGGATACCGAAATCTCGATATGCCAGCAATAGCACATACATCGCGCAGGATCCCCGTCTACGGCCTGAATACATGGACCCTGACTTGGTCGTCAACGAAGAACTCAAACAGAAACTGTTAGACGGAGGAATGGACGACCTTCTTGCCACGCATTTCGCGCACCTCTTTATTCGCGACCCCATTGTCATTTTCTCCGAAGATTTGAAACAGCTTGACCCGGAAGGCTCAAACCATTTCGAAAACATCCAGAGCACGAACTGGCAGCACATGCGGTTCAAACCGCCCCCGCCAGATGCGGATATCGGCTGGCGTGTGGAATTCCGGAGCATGGAGATCCAGATCACAGATTTTGAGAATGCAGCTTTTGCCATATTCATCGTCCTTGTCACCCGTGCTATTCTAAGCTTCGACCTCAACTTGTACATACCGATTGCGCGAGTTACGGAGAATATGGAGACGGCGCACGTCCGGGATGCGGTCATGAAGGAGAAATTCTGGTTCCGAAAGGATCCATTTCCGAAGAAGAGCCCGAGGCAGTCGCCGGTGTTGAACGGAATCAGCGAGCCCGCGTCAAGCGGGGAATCAACGCCTTCACAGCTGCAGCAGGATCTGACAAACCAGTCAGGCCATACGCCAGCCTCGTCAGAGACCATCAAGTCATCATTTGGCCCCGTCGAGGACGAGTATACGCTCATGACGATCAACGAGGTCATTAACGGTGGTGGCGGTGCGTGCGACGGGTTTCCTGGACTGATCCCTCTGGTTGAGTCCTATTTGGACAGCGTCAACATCGACGTCGACACGCGCTGCCACCTGGCCGTGTATCTGGATTTGATCCGCAAGCGAGCCAACGGAACGCTGTGGACGGCCGCCAAATGGATCCGCGAGTTCACCCGCAGCCACCCGGCGTACAAGGGCGACAGCGCCGTCGACGAGAAGATTGTCTACGACCTGTTTGCGGCGGTGCGCGACATTGAAGAGAGCCAAGAGATGGGCAACCAGCGCAAGAAGGGCCGGGGCAAGTTTGGCACTGGCTGGGAGATGTTGTCTGCGAGGGAGCGGGCCAAAGGGTTGGACGATTGATTGATTGACGTGTTGACGACGGTTGCATTCACATGTATTGGCGCCTATGGTTGCATTTTACGAGGAGACGTATATGGACTGATGTTCATTGATGATGATGAGGTGAGGTGATTGCGGTGGTGATGGTGATTATGATTGTTATGGAGGTTATTTACTCCGTAATTATCCGTGGACATGAACCATCGCATATAGTTACATTAGTAGTCGGTTATACGTTTTATAGAGAGAGAGAGGCCAATGATTGACGCACAGATTTTCACGATTTGGACGACTCTCTGGCCCAGAGGTGGTTTCTGACCTGTGTTACGCACGCAGCCGATTTCATGGTATCATCGTGAGGACGTGTACGTGGGTGCATGGTGTCGACACCTCTCTGTACGACGGTATACACTCACACATTTACTGTACGAGTTAAGTGCAATATATCCATACAGACACCATCCATACTACCAGGGTATCCCTCCTATATAGTGCCAGAGACATCTCTCTCATCCGAATAAAAACCCGGTTGTCTCTCCTCCTCTCGGATTTCACAACGTCGACCACGCTGAAAACCTAGGTGGTTTTGTCCGACAAGTCTTTGTCGCCGTTTCCCTTTCACCACGACATCGCCCTCGGTCGCATCCGTCGCGGGGACAGGCCTGATCCGACACAGGAGGTAATATACCGCGAAGGCGACCAGGAAGCCGACGAGGAAGTTGACTCGGTAGATATAGGTCGTTCCCTTGGGGACCTTCTCTCGGGAGAGAGAACAAGGAAGAGGGGAGGTAAGTTGGGTCTGGCTCTCATGTTTCACTTTTCTTCGGGAATGGGAAGGGGTAGGCGAAGGAGAGTGTGATGGTGGTTGCTGGATGGGTCGGAAGCAAGGAGACAAGCGACGACGAATAGGCTGGAAGATCAAGGTATAGATGGATAAGTGTTCAAAACGTACCTTGGCCCCAACCGCGCCGGCAAAGCCAACGATATTCACGAGAACACCACATGTATACGAGGTATATGCCCGCCACGATATGCCGCAGTGGTAGTAGTATGGCGATGCACGTCGAGCCGAGTAGAGATCTCGCACGGAGTAATAACCTCGGCGCACGATGTAGTAGTCGCAGATGATGACGGCCGCAATCGACGACAGGAAGACGCTGTAGGCTGAGAGATATGTCGTGAAGTTGTTCGACGTCTTTAACAAATTCCACGGACTGCTCTGCCGTTAGTACCTCTTGAAGGAAGTGTCTTGGTTCGAAGAATGGAGGGATAGGAAATAATGTTTCGACTTCACGAGAGAGCGTCGGGTCTTACCACAAGCACAGTCCAACAAGGGCGCAGATGTAGCCTCCTCGGCGGATGTCGAGGTATCGGGGTAGCAGGGCCGCCATGTCCGTACCCGCCGAGACACTGTTGGCTGCGATGTTCGTTCCGAGCTGGGCAAGCGCAAAAGCCAACGCGATGACAAAGACGCCGAATCTCTCAGCCGATGTTGCTTCGTCTAGGAGGAATTGAGACAGAAGGTCCAGGGGATTCCAAATGGCTGTGCCGTAGATGACCTTGGATGACGAAGACACCACGATTCCCACGAAAGAGGTCACGACGAACCCGACAGGGATGGTGAAAAGCTGCGTCCAGAGAGCGTCGCGTGGCTTGCTGGCGAAACGCGAGAAGTCAGGATTGTTGACGATCAGAGTCGCAAAGTTGCCGATCGAACTCATGACGCCAGTCACCCACCCCCACGCAAGCGCAGAACCTGTCGCCGTCGCCGACTCCTTTACTATCGGACCCATGCCACGTGCACGGCTGGTTGCCCATAGAAAGAGAGAGAGTCCAGCCACCGGGACGATGTAAGACTTGACCATGAAGAGGTAGCGAATCTTGTGGACGGGAAACCAGATGGCAGGAAGAGATGCGATCCAGGAAATGAAGAAGCCCATAAAGTCCCTTGTGTTGGTGCCTGAATTGGGGATGCCGTTGTGCAATGTGTAGAAGGAGGGCCAGATGGACCGGATCATCAACGTGATACACTGGCCACCAATCCAAGCTTGCACGCCGTACCAGACACAAGCCATGGCGGCTCGATTGAAGACTGGCCACAACGATCCCCAGATGCCAAATGACGCACGACAAACGACAGGGAAGGAGGTGTGGTAGGTGGCGCCTATTCGCCCGGTCAGGCAGACCAATACAGCAGAGATCGAGTAGCCGATCAAGATACAAATCAATGCGTGCCACCACGCGAGGCCCGAGGTGAGCATAGTGGAGGCAATCATCCAGGTGTTGATGTTGAACGAATCGGCAATCCAAAAGGCTGGCCGCGTGAGTTAGTGAGACGTACATGACCGCCTACGAGATTCCATACCGACAAAACTCCATGCCGTCCACTGGCGTCGTTGGGGTTCCACCGGCTTCAAGTCATGGTTGGTGAGCATCAGTTGAGCATTTGAGAGGCCAGGCTCTGATTCCGTCTGCACCCTCGTGAGGACACGAGCAGCCCAGGACTTCTTCACCCCAGGTATGATCGATCTTTTAGCTGGGGTCTCGACAAGATCGTTTGTCTGTGAGAGCAACGGTTCGGCGGCGTCCCAGCGCGAGGGCCCCTCAGAGGAGAAGGGCGCAAAGTCATCGAGCTCGATATCAGCATGTCGGGACAAAGGGGAGCGCATTCCGAAGACTATGGGGAGTGGATTATGAAAAAGCCGTGCAGTTACCGTCCTCAAACAGGCACATGAGCTAGATTGTCATCATGTTTGAGTGTGGTTCACCCTCTTATGGCAATGCCCACGAGATTAAGCGTACTTGCGCAGCAAGAAACTGCGAGGCCATGTAGTCGTCACTGTCTAACCGAGGCGCGGTCTTCAGGTAGAGGAGTTGTCTTGACAGACGACACTTCAAGCCCGTGACAAAACATAAAAGCCGTATCTCTGAAGGGTCCTCTGATCCTTTTAGCTAGAGCGGGAAAAGAATCTGACTGAAGAATTGAGCGATGCAAATGAGCAGAGCTGTAGACTTTGAAATGGAGAGGAGTTGCAACGAGGGTGCCCAGCTGCAAACGCTGCAAATGTGCCAAACATCCGAAACTTGCAAACAAACCGAGACAGACAAAAACCAGGCTGACAACCCCTGGATACCGTGGTACTCGTATGCGCACACGCGGATCGATCAAGCCCATTAAGCATTCAAACTATTACGGTATAGCCTGATCCATCGAACACACAAATATAGCAAGACAAGGCACCGTCTATACTCGGGTATCTGCAGGCAGGAGGTCTCATGTTCCATGACCGGGATTCGAGAGCATGAAGAGATCCTCTCAATTACATTTCGGGTTTATCGTCCTTTGGTGGATAGATGCCCGAGTTAGGTGAACGTGTAGATTCAGCTTCGTCGAGAACATTATGATTTTAGTGACGACTGCCTCGGATACGCTATCATTCACATCTGAACCAAATCGATGCGCAAACTTTGAAAGCAGCATTCAAGCAAGCAGGATAAAACCGACGAACATGATGAACCCCAGCTTGGAAAGCCTCAAACCAGCTGACCTGCGGTAGGTATGTCTCTTCAAAATTGCATCGCTCCTGTGGAGTAAATGCGAACGAGCAACAAAAGCGCTCAGAAGACATCTGTGTAAATTCTCGTTCCAGGAGAAGACAAGATGACTGGAGCAGGATCGAGTGCTGGTAATTCCGCTAACATGGACAAGTCTTGGAGAAATGCTGAACAGCCAACAGGTTGACCAAGTACACTCGCGTTTACCATTAGAAAAACAGGAAAGCCGAGAGACTTGACTCCAGGGCTCTCGGCCAAGCTTCCGACAAATGTGTGATTCCCCTGTCCGTACCCAAGGCACCAGGGTGTATATCCATCCCGCAGAGGGCTCTAGTCCGTCAAAAGAACCGATTAGCCAGAGATCGAGCCGCTTGGCGCAGAGCAACGACTGCGCTTTAAATGAGCGTATTGTTTCTTTAGGGGCGTTTCTGGCTCGACAGGTGTAGGTGCCAAGTTCTAACAGAGTCAGCTCGTCATGGAAAATACAACGGTGGACGAAACATATACGGTGGGAGCCAGGGGAAATAGCTCTTCCGTTCTGTCCCCATTGCATCTGACATACTGAACCTGGGTAGCCTCATACTGATAGAGATCTATCAAACGTGCAAATAATGATGAGCGTCAATAATCTTCGAACGTAATGACGTCGCCCAGGAAACGATAATGCAGAATCCAAGACGGCTGGTGAGTGGAATTGCGAAGAGAGCTTAGTGTAACTCGTAGAAAGTTGTGCATCGGCAGGTTTGAAGATCCGCCATGGTTGAATAGGAATTACCACATGACCCTTAGCAGCCTTTTAGTCTGTGGCCAAATTGCCAAAACTTCTGCTCTAAACAAAGAAGAGCATATGGCGGACATGTTGTATATCGCGAGCCGAAATGATGATCATGCCATCAACCACACAACATGCGCAAGAGTTTGTTGATGAGCCGGGCCAGCAGTCCCCCACCATGCTTCACTTCTCCACCATATTGTGGTTGGTGTTGTTGTTGCTGAGTGTGTTGAGGTTGCCAAGCTTGCTGCTGCTGACCTGGATACGTCTGGTAGCCCTGCCAATCGCTCACATGTTGCATGTCCACGGGACTGCCATCCAGCTTGATGTATATCCTGCCGTCGTTGGACTCGGTGTGATATTGCAAGCCGAGATCCCGGCAAGTCTGTTCGACTCGAGGCTTGAGTTTTTGGACGTGATCGCGGGAATGGTTGCCCCGCCCGACCACGACGTGGAGATGTGTCTGGCCGTGACTCTGAGCAAAGCGGATCCTCTGTTCCAAGATCTCTTCCGCCTCTTCGACAAACAGCCCGTGCAAGTCGATCGTGTCCGCGGCGACTCGTCCATCGGCGTTGTTTTCGCGAAAGATGAAGTCGGCCGCCTGTTTATTGTACATCTCCATTTTGGCGCCGTGTTCCTTGCCCTCTTGCGAGAGCGCATGCGCAGCCGCGCCGTCGCCATTCGCATATGCTTCTTGGGATCGCTGGAAGCACGTGGCACGTTTGGCGGCCTCCTGACGTGCGAGATTTCGTAGCCGGTCGTACTCTGCTTCGGCCGCTTGGGATTGACTATGATTGAATGCTACACGACGACATCGTGTCAGCCAGGAACTCAGGTTCGGCGCATAGGCCAAAAGCGACATTCAGTCAAGCCGGAGATCACATACGCTTGGCTCCTACTCGGGTAGCATGCTGTGTTGACATTTCATACGACATCTTCTCGGCAATTGCGGGTTGGTCAACCACCTAAGATTGATGATGTACAGGTTAGAAACGTGTACTGCGCGAGTAAAATTGGGCAAGAGACAGGAAGAAACGATAGGCGGAATGATGCGCGACCCTGAAACCGCACAAGGCTTGCAGCAGCGATGCCAATGGGGAAGATCTGGTCTTTCACGATGCGCTCGGTTCGCTTACAGACGCGAATCGCTGAAGCGACGATGAAAATCGCGGAGTCGGAGAAACCAAAAAAGGCGGGAGGCTTAGTCATCGCTGCTTAGTCATTTGGAAGACCCGATTTGACATTTGTCTACCAGGTGCCAGTGTAGTAATATCGGATACTCAGTACAAATAGGAAGAAACCAGCCCAACGACTTGGTTGATATTATGTTGCTTCCCTCTTGCTCCCCTCTGGATCTTGGTCCGGTAAAAGCGCCTCATATCCTTTGAGATCTGTCATCAACAAGCCCCCAACTTGCTCTCATAGCAATTGGCCAATTCGCGTAGAATATATCCCATCCGGGGTGTCAAACCCCATACCCAGGTATCATCGTAGAAGCCCGCCCAGTATCGTGCCAGCTTGGCTGCCAGTGAGGGTCCGGCTCCATTGTCCAGAACATCCTCCAAGTCCAACAGCAGATTTCTGATGGATTGCATCGTCTGAGTCTCGAGCTCGCTGATCGATGCAGAGTCACGACTTGATCGTATCTCAACTTCGATCGCATGCACCCATTTCGTGACCAACAGCGCTGTGACCAGGAGTCAGTTCTGTGATCGAGAAGTAGGCCAGTCGTTTGTTGTATGGACTTACCTGCCTCCCACCCTGCTAACGCGTGCCCGATCGCCCAGGTCAAGGCGGCTGTCTTCTTGATCAGCAGGGTTCCCGCCTTGTACGGTATCAGCATTCCTTCGAATGCCCGACCGACAGCTCTTGCCACGAGATTGCCTCGATTCTGCGGTAGCGCGATAAAGTCCTCAATTGAAGTCATAAATTCTTCCTGGCTTTCCTTGAGCAACACCATTGAATCGGCCGCGCTATGTCCTGTGAATGCCCGGCAATAGCTGACCCGCAACAGCGCTAGACAATTGAACAACAAAGGGGTTTCGGCTTCAGTCCACGGATAGTCGGCATCGGAGCTGGCTTGGGTGATCAGGGCCCGGCACCTCGAAAGCGCGGCCTCTGTTTGGGCGAGGGTCTGGGATTTCTGGGTTTCATTGGACGGTCCAGGACTAGAGAGGTCGCCAAAAAAGTAGGAGCCTTGGGTGATATGCCAGATGTGAATGGAAATAACGTTTATCACCACGCTGATTGCAAAGGGTGACCACTCCCAGCACTCTTGCGGCACCGTCTTGACTGAATTCCCGTTCATGACCATCGACACTGCCTCTCTGACATTGAGTCGTGAGCTCTGGCCTTTTCGCATTGCCGCTTCGTGCCACTGCTCTTCGGTGAGTGCATCCCACAGGGACTGGTCGCAGGCCATTTCGATGAAACCATCAGAAACCAAGGAATATCCGGGGGGAATCCCGTAAGTCATGGTGACCAAATTGCCAAACATTATCTGACCGTACAGTAACCTATGCATTGTGTTAGTGAGGGCGATGCAATCCTCGAGCTCCCTCCGCTTACCTCTTAACACTCTCCCTTTCGACCCATTCCTGCCAGCTCAGCCACCTATCTGTGCTTTTGCGCGGTTTTACGGTAGGAGCCAAGTCACGAAAATCCTAACCAGTCATCAAAACGGTGCTCCTCCAACTAACTCAATGTGCTTACCACGAGGAAGTCGCCGAGACGAATAATAGCCTTCGAAATGACTTCCGGGTCGCCGCTGAAGCAGCTGAGCATTGCAAGCAGCAACCGAGTTTGACTCCTCCACAATGATTCCGGCGTCGATTTCGGTGATTGAGATTGTGGCCGAACCCAATCTTCCAGCAACCGTGGCTTCTTGTCGAGATGTTCACCCCGGTCATCAACTGCGGCAGCGAGGGCTTGGTCTGCTTTCAAATACAATGAAGCCGCAATCTTTCTTTCTAATCGATAAAGAGCGCCAACTGCACATATAGCAAGAACAAGTGGCGAAGGTGTGGTTTCGAAGTCCATAGTCTGAAGGTGGAAGATGGGCAGGTGAACGTGGAAGGCATCGACGTAGGTTCGAATGCATTTTTGGAGTGCGGCTGCGCTGGGCAGTCGGAATTTGTTCAATTTTTCGGCAGGGAGTCTATTCGACAGGTCCCTTAGGAGATGAATTCGCATTGCTTCTGAAAAAGTAAGTGTTGGAAGTCTCGGGTACTTCTTCGTCTGTGGAATTTGATAGCCCGAATAGCCCTCGGAATCGGGACGATTCATGGTGAAAACCTGGGCTGGAGTCTCGTCCCATGGCCCGGTGGGCTCTTTAGCACGCGAATTTTCACGACTGGCCGTTTCCCACGATTGATTTGAATCGTCAACTGACGGAGTCTCGTTCGCAGTCGAAATACGACTCTGCTGGAAACCGTAATCCTGCATGGAAGCCTGGCTCGAACCTGAGAAATTCTCTAGAGGGGACCAGCCATCAGTATTGCCGCCGAGCGGTGGTACTGCAAAAGCTTCAAGTTGCTTTGGAGGTAAGCCCAAGAAGGGGTCGAAGAAGTCGAGGAATTCCAGGTCGCCATCAAGGTCTGGGAGAGGCACTGAGCTTGGAAATGTCCGCATCTTCTCCAGGTCGGAAACATCGACACTAAAATCTGCCAGGTGAAGCCCCATAGAAGGCTGAGATTCTGCAACAAGAGCAGATCCTCCACCGAAACTTGAAGATAGCATTGGTTCAGATGCGCTATCGACTTGAGTTGCCAGCCTCTGACCTGGACTCATAGAGGATTTTGGCGGCTGAACAGCACTCGATCTTGTGCATGGTTTGGCAGCTGGTCTAGGAGATGTACATACAGAACCTCTGGGTTGGCGCCGGCGTGAATCCGAGAGATCTGGAGGCAAGTCTTTTGGCAGCACGACAGCTTCGTCCTTTCCTTTGCCTCGAGATATGGATGACTTTGCTGTGGCATTCTCTGCTAACCGTGGAGTCAGAATTATTCAACCAAGATCGGGGGTTTCCGACCGGAAGGAAGGTCCGGAGTTGTCGGTCCATCCGTATGTTGCTTCTCGATGGCCTTTGCTACTTGTTCCGGAGTGTGCAGGGTTCTCTCATGGCGAACCAGGAGATCTCTAAAGGGACGTAGTTAATAGACGCCGTCGTCGATGAGCGTTTCCAAATACCTTCGACTATACCTTCTTCGACAGACCCTGCAACCGAAAGGTTTCTCTTGAGTATCTGAAGACTTGTAAGCGTTTTCGCACCGGGTGCGGACGCGATGAGTCGAGGGACCTGGCTTACGGCCTCGTTGATGTCGGATGCAGTGCTCGCTTCGCTTAAAAGCCCTCGAGCAAACGCTGCACACATGTTTTCTCTTCGCAGCCGCATTCTCTTTGTCGAGCTTGGGAAATATAATGGTCGAAGTGCCGATTAGTGCCATGATGGGAACGATCCGGCGCTTCTCCGATCACCAGGTGAGATGTGGGAAGAATTGGTGTTCGAAAGCTAGAATCCCAAGATTGAGGAGTTGTAATGGGCCAAATGCCACCTGATCGTTAGAACCATGGTCTTCCTACAGTCTGTCTGGGATAGCGTCCCAGAAGTTTTGAGGGTGATATCGTGGGGCTAATTGCGGAGGGGGGGGGGGCCTGAAGTAAAACTTGGGGAAAGGAGGGATGGATTGACAAAAGATGGGTTAATTGGGGGAAGCTGATGGGTTGGAGGTTGTCCATCCACCATGTCCACCATTATCTTGACCTCGTAAACCTCGTGCGGAGAAATGAGAAATGCCCAAGGCGTCTTGTGAGGTTTGGCTGCGAGATACTCGACTTTGCAAAGACGGCATCCTGGAGGTCGGTATCCTACCTGGAGTCTTATATCCTGTGAGAACTCGTATTTGTGCTTGTCAAAACCAGACACAGAAAGGCAACAGATATCTCGAAAAGAGCCGTGGCAAACCCGGAGCAGGGATTCACGCAATGCCTCGACCACGGAAGGTTTCTTCCAGCCGAACAAGTGGCTGTGAAAAGATGACTCTGCTGGAATGTGCAGCCTCAATCTATGAAGATCCAGACACAGAATAAATGAAAGCAGGTAATGAAAATATCCGTGGATTCTCTTGTCTTTCAGGCCCTTGTAACGGCTTGAGGCAGAACAATGATAGAAGTGCAACCATGAAGTGGCAGATCAGCCCTTGACATAGACCGTCTTCGATGACAAGAGCAATGCCGCATACCAGACATGTCGTTCCAAGATGCAATTCCCATCAAGTGATGCCCTTCGTCAAGCTCACCTCAATTTGGCAATACTTTCTACCCCACATGAGGCAACAGCCTCGCGAGGCTGAAGTGGGGTATGTTGCCTCCCGAAAGGGAATTGTGTACAAGAAAGGTGATTCCGACAATATTTTATGAAAGAGTTTGCCCTGCTACATCGGGGGCATGAACTTTTAGATATGTATGGGTGTACTCATTGCTATCCAGGTTCGCGCGGTGCAGAAAGTTTGAGTGGCGCAGGGATTTGTTTCTCTGGATGCGTCACCTCTCGACAGGAATCGACTAAGCCATCGTCGCCAGCAATAATGCCAGGGAACGGGTTGAAAGGATCCTCTCTAAGTTGACATTTGCCAACGGCCCGCCTGCAGTTGGTGGGCAGATTCCAGAAGCTGAGTTCGGGGAGCTGGCGAAAATAGAGGAGGAGCTTTGAAACGTGACCCATTCAGAGCATCAATCCTACCTATTCTGTCTTATTGACTCGGTATCTAAGTTTGTTCCCAAACTCATTGATCGTCGCGTTTGACGGAGGTTCCCTGGCGGAGCGCAAAATGCGAGTAAATACCCACTTTATTATATGGAGAAAACGAAAGCCTGTCGCTGGTCTCGACTTGAAGCCCGTGAAACTTGTACGTGATACTTTTGGGGTTTCGAAGTCCGAATGACAACGCACAGATTGCTAGCATCAAGTAGCAACAGTCGGTTCCAGTCGACCATGTCACAGGCCACAATGCCGGTAGACATTTTCGGGGAGTGGTTGGCAACAGGTTCATTCGGGCTTTCGAGATCAGAAGCGATCACATACCTGGTACTCCTAGTGCAACTGGTGGGCGCCAAGATGCAGATCCTCGAGTGCCTGTTCTGGCCGAGGTGGGTTCCTCTCTGCCTCAATTGAGTCACGCCGGTCTCTCATTCTCCGTTGTGATGGTCCAAGATGGAAGGTTTTGACGGAAAAAGCAAGGGCAAAGGGTGGTTGGGCAGTGCAGAGGCTGAATGTGACGGACAAAAAGGACGCCGAGTCCGGAGGCTGCGGGAGCGCCTCTGAACATGATTTGATGGTACTCTCGGGCAAATGCGTTGTGGCACTTGATCGGCAATGCAGAGCACAAAGCAACACTAAGGAGGTGGACGAATAATCGTGCTCAAAGTGGTGGAAATCGGGGAGGCAAGAGTTGACTTGCCTTCCTTAGAAAGCAAGAGTAAGGGTCCACAGTGACTGTCAAAGTCTGTACGAGCAGCATCCCCGTTCCGTAAAGCTGTCACTTTGCAAGTGCTTGATGTTTTGGTACGTAGTATTCACTGTGAGGGGAAAACGTCTGACGCGCCAATAGGAGCGCTGCAGCTGACATGTGAAACAAGGACGCAGGATGTCGCTTGATTTGTGCATGCAGGTTATGGGCGCAGAATCCGAAGACAGGTCCAGATCGACCTCTCCGCTGGGGGTGGCCTGGTTGCTTTCCGTAAATCTGGGACTTGGGCTTGCAGACGCAGGTTTTAGCTTCGACACCCTGGCCTGATCGTCTGGCGAGCTGGCTGCAAGATTCGAGGAGAATCAACTCCATTGCGTTGGAAGCAATAGTAGCAAAACGAACCTCCAAGGGAAATCAAGTTTTCTGGATGAACTTTATGTGCTGGAAGAATCATCCAAGTACCGGCTGGCTTGAGTTGGTGCTATTTAGCAGTTGTAGCGGCACAACCCCGTTCCCCGTACCTGAATTCTGAGAGATCTGTGTCAAGATAAAGTTTCAGCAAGCTCGGGAACAATCCTCCCAGTGCCTGAAGGGGGCCATCACCTGATAGAGGGAGCATCTGGCTTGAGACACAGAATCACTCGTACCCAGTCGTGCCAGTCTTGCCGTCAATTGACTTGCGAGAGCGGATATTTGGTTGAGCAAAGACCAGGAAGTCGCAATTTCCAGGGCTTTCATGGAACGCACTAGATTTCTTGAGAAGGGCGCTATGACCCGAAGCGACGAACAAAGGGGTGACCTAGCGACGATGATTACAACTCCTCGGTAGGGCAGACGTTATATCAGGCCAAGTTGCGCAGCGGAATGTCCCAGCACCAACAAGGGTAGTCCTTTGTGCCCACTCTTCGTGCGTTGGGAGGTCATCCTCGCGATACAATTCTTCATCTGCAGATACGAGTAAGTGTGCTCCTCCTCGTAAACAACCCGGAAGCTCGGACGCGGCCCCTGCGCCATCAAGACGACGGATATCCGAAAGTGGTCTGGGCGGGTGTAACCAAGTGGGCGATCCCAGTCTCGGTCGAAAGCCAACTTGAGTGAAGATACCAGGGTGACGGAGGTAGAAGAGGGATGCCAGCCAGTGAGAACGGAGGTGACAAGCGGTGGGTGAGTGTGGGAGACCCCGGTTGTAGTTGGCCTCAGTGGGTTAGAGCCGAGGGCTTGAGACAACAGCGCCGCGATCCAAGGGCGATCTAGTGAAGGCATTAGAAGAGACATTGCTTGGAGCGAGATGAAGAAATACAGTACCTCCTGAGTAGGTAAGCCATTTGGCTGATGATCGCTCGATGCTGGGAGGACCCGTCTTGTTCCTAGGTACAAGTACTGCTGCTGGAGGACGCGCACCCAGCATCTTGGACCATCGAACTTTGCTGGACGCGGGCTGTGGAATCCAAATGTTAATATTTGGCAAAGCCTTTGGTTCCGTGGCAGTAGTACACAGTAGTCAGACACTGGCACTGGGGAGTTGACTAGTTGAATTTTGTGCATTGCAAAAAGCCACCCACATCAAGACTCCGTCTGTTGTAAAGAAAAACTCTTTTCCCCTTTCTCGTCTGGGACTGTCAATGGGGACTGGAGATGGACAAGCCACTAGTGGGCACCCAATGGAGACAGTGTGGGTAAGCTTGGACAGCTAAGGGGCGCGCGATGCCGGGCGCCACTAAACATTAACTCAAGCCCGGCCGACATCCACTACGAGTACCTATTCGTTGCAGCCCTTTATACTTGGGAAGGCCCCGTAGTCCCAATAACCAACCAGCTCTTAGGCGGCAAAAACAGCTGCACAGGTCAAACAACCCGCCCAAAAAGAGTCCCTGGTTAAGCCAAAGGATTGCGCCTTCGCTGTTGTGGGTGGTGCAGCTGTCCGATTATTATCTGACGAGCCTGGCATTTCCTCCTGCTGCTCCCTCACTGGCGGCTGTTCCTCCCCCTCTCAAAACACCCCCAATTCTCGACCCTTACCCACTCAACCACTCCCCTAGTTCAAGTAATAACCCTAGCTGCTGCTTCTTTCCCCTACCTACGGTTTCCCTGCTTCGCTTGTCCATCCATCCTCATTGATTGCAGTCAAAACTGCGCTAACCCTCTCACCTCCTTGCACCTGATTGATCATTCTCCATTTTATCCCCGTTTTTCCAAACCATCCACTTCGATTCATCTTCACCCCCGACCACCATCATTTTTCCTCAATCCGACTTCCCCTTTGTACAATATTGTCATTTATTCTTTGTCTCGTCTGCGCGCCCTGGAGGAGTAACCTGAATCCACAGGGAGAAGGCTCCTTTCGTTCGAGATTGAGTCTCGAAGCGCATATACTTTCCCTGCCCAGCTTCGCCCAGCGAGATCGATGTGCCTGACTTCCACCCGCCGCCTCCCAACTCAGTGATCGACGTCCATTCTTCCTTGTCCTATCTTCGCCTTGCGCGCCGATCGCCTTCGGCTCTCTACCTTAGCACTCTCAGATTCCTCACTTCACAGCCTCCGTCACGTTCGTGTCACCAGCCTTCATTTTTGACAAACCTCTCATAAGCTTGAAGCGGAGGTGAGTGGTCCGAGGACGTGACGCGCATGTACGCCTCTCTACAATTTTTGGAGGACGTTCTCAAATGCGCATCTTCTCTCGACGTTTTTGAGCACAGACGTTTACTAACTGAGTTGAACTTCAGTTGTCCCCCCAAGACCCCCGGATTCGACCTTATCACTTCGAGACTCTTTTTGGAGATAGCTAAACATGGGGTGCGGTGCAAGCAAGGAAGATACCGCCGGAAAGGCGAGAAATGATGAGATCGATAATCAGCTGAAGAGGGACAAAATGGCCCAGCGCAATGAGATCAAAATGCTTCTACTTGGTATGCGGACTCCCTGTTCTGTTGGGTTCAGCTTTGGTCTAACCACACTTCAGGTGCCGGTGAATCTGGGAAGTCAACAATTCTGAAGCAGATGAAACTCATTCATGAGGGTGGTTATTCGCGCGACGAACGCGAATCGTTCAAGGAAATCATCTACTCCAATACCGTCCAGTCCATGCGTGTCATTTTGGAGGCCATGGAGTCTCTCGAGCTACCTCTGGACGACCAGCGCGCCGAATATCACGTCCAGACAATCTTCATGCAGCCACCACAGATAGAAGGTGACAGCCTGCCACCCGAGGTGGGCGCAGCTATCAAGGCCCTGTGGCAGGATGCTGGAGTCCAGGAATGCTTTAAACGATCAAGAGAGTATCAATTGAACGATTCGGCACGATAGTGAGTCCTTGGTCCCCTCAAATCCTCTTGCCACTACCTCCACTGACTTTTTTTCGCTAGTTATTTCGATTCTATTGACCGCATCGCCGCTCACGACTACCTTCCCAATGACCAAGACGTCCTGCGATCACGAGTCAAAACAACCGGTATCACCGAGACCACCTTCATCATCCAGGACCTTACGTATCGCATGTTTGACGTGGGTGGGCAACGATCTGAGCGAAAGAAGTGGATTCACTGCTTCGAAAACGTCACCACAATTCTTTTCTTGGTGGCCATATCAGAATATGACCAGTTGCTCTTTGAAGATGAGACTGTCAACAGAATGCAAGAGGCCCTCACACTGTTCGACAGCATATGTAACTCCCGGTGGTTCATCAAGACCAGCATCATTCTGTTCTTGAATAAAATCGACAGATTCAAGGAGAAGTTGCCCGTAAGCCCGATGCAAAACTACTTCCCTGACTACGAAGGTGCGTTACAATTTCGTCAACTGAAGCATGCATCTGCTGACATTTTACACCCAGGTGGTCCTGATTACGCCGCTGCTTGTGACTATATCCTGAACCGATTCGTGTCGCTCAACCAGGCAGAGACCAAGCAGATCTACACGCACTTTACCTGCGCCACAGATACCACACAGATAAGATTCGTGATGGGCGCAGTCAACGGTCAGCACTTTTTGATAATCCCAGATTTTGCCTTTTCTGACAGTTTCTAGATATCATCATCCAAGAGAACCTTCGAATGTGTGGTCTCATATGATGATCATCGGCATCGCTATGGCGTTTTCTCGTTACTGCTTCGATTTGCCCACGACTTGCATATACCACCGGCGTTACTAGGGGGGAAACGGCTCTACCAGTTCTTTTGATCAAAGTATGGCAAAGAATCGCCACTTCGACACTTACCGCCAAAAGTGCAATTAACTTCGAATTCCACATTCCTTTTCTTCGGAGATGAGCAAATCCCCTTGCCCCATCCGGCGCCAGCCAAAGATGACGGAGTTCTCGGCGATCGAGCTACTTGGTTCTTCTTTCGCTGTCTTTCAGCAGAGCGGCCTCCTCGCAGGTCGCATGCATCATATTCCTGTACTCATGAACAATGTACGGAGGACCTTTCAAGGCGCCAAAGCAAGCGACTCTTTTTCCCCTTTTCCAAGTTGAAGATTTTCTTTTTCTCTTTTTTTCGGGGCTAGCGACGGACGGACGACGAAAGGATACTGAGATTAAAGTGGAGTGGCTATGAAGAGGCAGGTGATGCAGGAGTTGCTTGAACTAGACCTTCGGACCCAAGAGTCCGGTCATTGTATATCACTCCGTTCCGAAAGAAGACATAGGCAAGCAGACGTGAATGACTGTAAATCTCTCAGAAATGGATTGGATTGGATATGCTTTGAATCTTGCAGACATTGTTACAGGCCATCAGCTCCTTTCGACGGTTCATTGCGGTGGGCGATTGACTGCTCATTTTCACTTTTTTGGTTCGACGTGGACACGGACGGGGAGAAACTTATGGTATTGACGAGCGGCAGCACTTGCGGGTCTCTACGATCCTTACATCTCCTTCACCAACAGAGAGCCTGGTGGCATCGGAAAAAACAATCAGCATCCCAATATCAAGCACAGTTCCGTTCACCGAAAGTGCCCGGATGATTCTCACAGGGTAGCCTTGTAAGGCCCAGGTAGGAGGCACTCGCTTGAACAAACGAAGAAAAGGGCCTTATCACAGGATGTATCATTAGGCGGAGTACGGAGAGTGTCGGACACTAATCTATGTACGTGCTATACATGGATATTGATGCCTGTCCCATACTTGTGTCTCCCGTGATGAGGGGGGAAAAGCAAGTCTGTCTGCCAGCCTGTCAGTTCCCGTGCGGCACAACGCTCTCTTCTATCGCTCTCAACGCGGCCCTTTGCCTGTCTCGGCGTGCGATGAGGAACCACGACGTGAGGATCGAGAGGATGGACACGACGAGAATGCACAGGCAGATGACATAGGATCTGTGGTACGTCGGCCCAAACACGGTCGAGTACACGTGCGGGCCGACGATGCCACTCCACTGGGCGCAGGCGTTGGTCAACCCGATCCCGATCCCGGCGGCGACGGTGCCTTCGAGCGCCCGGATACGCTCGGGCCAGATGACCGGGTAGGCCGAGCCAGCACACGAGACGGCCACGATCAGCGCAATGTACTTGACAACCGGGCTGTGGACGGTGACTAGGATGATGTAGCAGACGATGGTGGTGCTTTCGACTGTGGGAAAAGCGACAGGTTAGTGCTCGAACGGAAACTAGGGAGGGAGGGAAAGGAGAGAGAGCTCATCTCTGTCTGCACGTACTTGCAACGGCGCAGGTCCATGGCCGGATGTATTTCCGATGGATCAGGTTGCCGGCGGTGTTGAGGAACAAGAAGCAGCAGACGTAGGGTGGCTGTTTGGAAGGGCTGGTCAGCAACTTGTATATACCTTCAGCAGGAAAAGGGGGAAAGGGGACATTTCTCCTTACAATGTTCATCAGCTGCGAGTTTGCCGTCCCAGTGAAGCCGAGCTGGTAGATCACGGTCGGCAGGGCGTACGAGATACCAAAGCCACCGATACCGTGAGCAATCCAGTACAGCCCAAAGGTGTAGACGGTAGGGTCTTTGAAGAGCTGTTTCAGCGTCTCCCAATCCCAGTTGTGGCGTTTGCCCGACGGCGCCGTGTCAGCCAGACGACGCTCGATGAACAGCCGCTCCTTCTCGTTCAGCATGCGTGCCGTGTGGGGATAGTCGGGCAGTCCCCACAGAGCGACAAAGGCGAGGATGATGGCCGGGAGGCCTTCGAGCAAGAAGAGCCATCTCCAGCCCGGTAGGCCTCCGAGGCCGTCCATGAAGCTGATGGCGTAGGCCAACAGGCCGCTCAACGCGCTGGAGAGCTGGCCCACCGAGTAGAAGAAGGCGATGCGCCACGGCATCTCTGTCGGCCGGTACCAGAAGTCCATGTGGTACAGCACGGCCGGGTAGAACCCTGCCTCAGCCATGCCGATGGCGAAGCGGGCACACATCATGCCCGGGAAGTTTTGCACGGCAGCCACCGAACAGGCACAGATGCCCCAGCTCAGGATCAGCACGAACATCCATATCCGCGGACGGAAGGTCTTGAGGAGCACGGTGTTGGTCGGCTCAAAGATCATGTAGCTGTAGGAGAAGATGGACAGCGTCCATGCCCACTGAGAGGGGTCGAAGCCGAGCTGCTTCTTGATGCCCGTGCCATGTTCGAGGTTGATGATGGCCGCGTTGGAGTAGTTGGACGAGTCGATGACTCGGAAGATGTAGACCAGCGAGTAGAACCCGACGAGCCAGAAGTCGACCTTGCGCAGGACCTTCTTCTCGAAAGCCTCGTCGCCTTCTTCGAACACAACGTCCCTCTCACTCGGAGCGGGTGATTCGGCAACGATGTGGGTGAACGTGTCACCCAGGGTTTTCTCCGCTGCCATTCTCCCGAATTCGAGCGATGAAAAAAGAGATAGAGACAAAACTGTTCGTCTGGCCCTGTATATTCCGCAGGTCATACACCCAAGGACGACCTTATAAATAAGGAGCTCGGGGCGAACCTTACCAAAGCTTTTCGCGTAGACCCGTCTTGTTTGCTGTCCATCATCACGACATGAACATCTCGGAAGACGTCAACAATCCGCCGGGCCTCGTCCCATAACAGCTGTAACGTTGTCCACTGCGGTACCTCAGGCGTCCTATACGCGCTTTTGACACAGCGATTGGCGGTGTATTTCACCACGATAAGGGGTATGGCGACATTCCTCTTGGATATAAGTCGCCGGAAGCTTAGGCGTTGCTTGGGATAGTCAAGGCGGACATTCCCTTGTGGGTACAGCGGAAGAGAAAGCTTCCCCTCACACCTTTAGCAAAATCAATGTGTAGTTGTTCATCTGTTTGATGGGGATACACAGGGTATCATGAGGTTGATGTCGGAGAAGGGAGACAGCACGTCGCCTTAGTACAAAAGCACGCCATCTGCATATATCCATAGTTAGTAATTGGGTGTAGAGTAATACATCAGGACTTCATACCGAAGAGGCATGGGAGAAAACACAACGACAAACCCCGCAATCCTCCAGCCAGGTATATGTCTGGTGACATTCCCTGTCCTTTCGGTCAAGCACTCCGTAGAGGACATCAGTATCTGTTGCTTCGCTTGACCAATCCCTGCATATTGTCCTAGAAATTAGCACATCAGGCTGAATATTGAGTGAGATGGCTCCGTCAGCAATTGCAGAACCGGCCACTCAAGCCGATGTTTCTAAACATGTCCTTGTGAAACCATGGGTCCGACCGTCAGAGACGACGGAGAAGCTCGATTGGGCTCCACTGACGACCATTGACCTGTCGCGCTTCGATGAGCCCGGTGGCAAGCAAGAACTTGCGAAGCAGCTCTATGACGCCCTCACCAGAGTCGGGTTCTGGGTCGTGACCAACACTGGCATCGACGACAAGAAGGTCCTTCGCCAGTTCAGCATTGGTAATACGTTCTTCAAGCAGCCGTTGGAGGAGAAACGTTTCTTTCCCTGCAACTTTGCCGAAGGCGAGTACTTTGGATATCGCGAGAACTCGCGATGGATTGGTGACACTGGTGTAAAAGATAACATTGAAATGGTAAGTAATCCAACCCAGGTGCGGGATCGAACCTGAACTTACTGTGTGACAGCTCAATATTCCCAAGGACATCCCGGCCCTGGCTGATGTCCCCAAGCACCCAATCACGCAGGAATATTGGGAGGAGATCCGCAGTTTCCATCGTGAACTCTGGGATAAAGTTGCCCGCAAGCTTTTTGTCCTGATGTCGATCATCCTTGAACTGCCAGAAAACTACCTGGTAGACGCTCACGCTTATGATGAGCTATCAGATGATCACCTCCGGTATATGATCTATAACGTTAGAACCCAGGAGGAATGGGACAAGGCCCAGGCTTACTCCAAGGGCGGCCATACCGACTTTGGCAGCTTGACGTTGCTGTTCTCGCAGCATATTGCTGGGCTGCAGATTCGAACTCCGGAAGGAGAGTGGAAATGGGTTAAGCCGGTCGAAGGAGGCATTACCTGTAACGCCGCCGATACCCTGACTTTCCTGACCAAAGGTGAGAGCCCGGTAGCAGTCGACTCTGAAAGGAACTATCAACTGACTTTATGTGACAGGCTTCATCAAGTCGACCGTCCACCGTGTTGTTACACCTCCCAAGGATCAGCTGAATACGCCTCGTCTGGGATTGCTGTATTTCAGTCGCCCAGGTGACAAGACACCCATGAGGCCGGTGCCTTCTCCTCTTCTGGATCGCCTCGGCCTTCTCACTGAAGAGGACAAGGATCCCAACAGACCTGTTCCAACGGGTACGGAGTATGTTCGAGCGCGGGTCAAGGATGTCCACGATAAAACCGTCATCCACAAGCGGGAGGGAACCGCGTTTGAATTCAAGGGCTTGAAGGTGCAGAACTATTATGAATAGTCATGCTCACATAGACCATACACCATTGCCGACTTCGGCAGATTTTGAGTGCTAATGGCATTGCATAGAACAGAGCAACCCGATTTGACAATTACGAGTCTTTCCTGTTGCCACGCAAGGCTGCATAAGTGGTGGAAACAGGCATAAGAGGCGATCAGTCAGCAAGTGCCCAGGATTAATGCAAGAAGCGAGTAGGATGTGCTCTGTGGGGTTGATCCCCGGTCAAGATGAATTATCATGTTATGTACCTGGGGAGAATGGGATACTCGGGTCGACGAGTAGCACAACGAGTGGGGGATCGTTCATTAGCGAGGCTGCTTACTCCAAACCGAGGTTACCTAAAGAGGTATAGAGTATCACGTGACTAGTGTTCACGAGCAGTGCTGGCAGTTGCCAAGACGCTAGTGACGAACCAACCGGAAAAAGAAAATTCGTTGCTCTTTGTTCTACCTCCGAGATCCGAGCTCCGGGCCCCTCGCCAACGTTGTTTATAATTTTTCCCGGTTCACTTCTCACATTCGCCTCAGCCTGCGAGCCGGGCCTGAGGTTGGTCGCTGAGTGCAGAATTTAATGATTGGGTTGGCCTTTCATCATTTATGAGATCATTCTTTCCGGTATCCTTTCCTGGCCGTTCCTCAATTGTTGTTTGTGTGCTCCCAACTTGGTCCGGTGACTCCCGCATTCTACCCGAAAGGCTGGGCTTGTCCTCTGCGCCGATATTTCCATTGCTCCAGGTTTCTTGTCTAGATTACTATTTTCTCTTAAGCGCATCTTTCCTCGTTTCTTTCATTCCATCTCGTGACCTTTTCTTTCCCTGCTGACCAATACTATCTTGGTCTCGTGTGCTACTTATCACCCAAAGCCTGCAGGATCCTCGTGGCAATCCAACCCTCACGATTTTCTATTCTCCAACTTGGACGAGTCAACAAGGCTATCCTGCAAGGCATTGACCCGCCGAGCAGCAGATCCAACAGCCTTGCGCCCTGCGAGCAATTACTCTCCGGTCATTCACCCAAGCGTCCTCCCCAGTCACCATGCTTCCTCCGATCCCTTGTGTCGAAGACTATGGCATCTCGCCAGTGCGGGGCTTCCTCCCCTCAGAGCTGCCGCTGCAGTGTCTGTCGCATCCTGTCTATGATCGCTGGGAGCGGATCATCAACAACTTCCAATCGTTGTTACTGTCAAGAAGATTAAGAGCAGTCATCGATAAATTACCAGTCATCCCCGCAGTCCACCTCGAGACCGACACCGAGTGGCGCAGAGCATACAGTGTTTTGACCTTTTTGGCACATGGATACATCTGGGGTGGGGACAAACCTTCAGAGGCAAGTCGATACCCAGCGTCGTGGAATAAGAAAACGCTGACTGGATTAAATAGCGACTGCCGCCATCTATCACCTACCCTCTTCTACAAATCTCCGAGTACCTTGAACTCCCTCCCGTCGCCACCTACGCCGGGCTGGTTCTATGGAATTGGAAGCCACTTTTCCTTTCCGACAATCTTGCGTTGGAAAATCTGTCCACTTTGATCACCTTTACAGGTTCGCTGGACGAACAATGGTTTTATTTGGTTAGCGTGGCTATGGAGGCAAAAGGTGGCCCCTCAATACCCCTCTTGCTGAAGGCGATGCAAGCCGCTCGAGACAACGATGTGGAAACAGTTACAAAGTGCCTCCAGTCCGTTGCTCAAACGCTCGATGAGCTGGGCACGCTGCTGGTGAGGATGTACGACAGCTGCGATCCACACGTTTTCTATCACCGCATAAGACCCTTTTTAGCCGGAAGTAAAAACATGAAAGATGCCGGACTACCCCGCGGCGTATATTACGATGATGGGAGCAGGCAGTCAACGTGGCGGCAGTACGGCGGGGGCTCCAACGCGCAAAGTAGCCTGATCCAATTCTTCGACATCGTACTCGGGGTCGAGCACAGGCCTACCGGGTCGAAAAAGGACGAGACCTCGGAATCAGAGGCCGAGCCAGGCGCCGCCCCGAAGCCCCGAAATAACTTTATCCACGAAATGAGACAGTATATGCCTGGCCCTCACCGAAGGTTCCTTCAAGCAGTGGAAGGAGCGGCAAATATCCGAGATTTTGTCGAGTACAACAAATCGAATCAACAGTTGACAGTGTCATATGATGCCTGTCTCGCCATGCTTCGATCTCTTCGAGACAAGCACATCCAGATGGTTTCGAGGTACATTATTGTCAAGAGCCGAGAATCGAGGAGCATGTCGAGGACGCGGAGAGAGAGCAGCCCTGATGAAATCCCTCGGGGCGGCACAGGAATAGCCTCGATTCGCTATGGCCGGCCTGAAGAAGCAGGTTCGACGCAGAAGAAGAAGAAAATGCGCGGGACTGGTGGCACGGCGTTGATCCCCTTTTTGAAGCAGGCGAGGGACGAGACGGGCGAGCCAGCAATTGATGCCTGGGCCCGCAAACTGCTCATGGGAGGTCGCCGCACGGAAGCCGACGCCGAGATTGCATTCGAGGACAGGATCACTCGTGCCGAGAATCTGGACGCTGATGAACCGCAGATTGTGGGAATGGCGGGTGCTTGGGATCTGGAGGATGCGGGAGGCGGTCTTTGCGCGTATTGATGTGCGGGTTGCACTAGTATTGCAGGGGCTGTGTATACAGATTATGGCATCCCCGTGCACCAAAGAAACGGTCCTGATTTCGGAGGCGCTTTATCGACACGACGCGAGAGAAACAGACGCATCACTGCATGAATGTCTCAAGGGATATGTATGAAAAAGGGGTTGCACACGTGATCTCAGACACGTGATGCAGTACATAGTCCGAAGATTTGCCGGATTGACTTCACTCTAAACTCCATCTCAGACTCCAGTTCATTCTCAATTGCCTCTTGATATGTGAATGTCTATGAAATGTCAGACAGCATCTTCCACAATGAACGTGAATTTTTTCAGAGTCGTTCGACGTGATTCTTGTATAACTCTCTTGTCGGACACCCGGATTCTGATGATAATCCCTCCCCCGCCATGCGTTCCTGGCGTGATACTCTTTCAAAAGCAAGACAAACAAAGGCCGATTCTTCCTGGAGAGAAAGAGAATGTGAGAAGCTTCAAGGCGGTGAAAAGCCCTCCATTTCGCGTTTCTTCGCAGTCCAGGGCCGTAGGATTTCGGAGGACTGGCAAGGTGGGTTCAAGATAACATGCCCGCGATGGCCGACTCATCAAGTCAGACTGTGGGATCGTGGTGTGTGCCTGCTTCGGTTGTCCCGGATGTGATGCAAAACAAGATGGAGATGTCTTCAAGTTGTGCTGGTTCGACATACTGCATTGATTGCAGGTCAAATCGAACGATGCTTGACAATTTACATACGACCCTTGGCTCGCTGGTCTTGGCTTAAGTCGATATCCATATTCACCCAAATCTTCACAATAAACACGGTGTGAGGAGGCTGGTTATGTCTCAATTCACTGTCGCCATTATCCCTGCTGGAAGAGGCTGGGTGTGAAAACAGGTCTGGCAGAATGGCTCAATAGATGGGTTTGTTATTGTCTTGCAGCAGATGTGATGTGATGTGATGGTTCTGCCACACCTCGCAAACCGTGACCATGGTCAGGTGAGAGCATTTTGTTCGATTCTGTTTTCAATCGTCGCTCTTCTCACCGTCCTCGACCGTTCCTCCCTCATTCTCAATCTTTTCATCTTCAAACTCTCATCCATTACCCTAGGTTTCCTCTGTATCGTTAGCCTGTACTATCCCTTGATCTCTGCGTATGGTCAGCCTACAAACAGTCTCATCCCCTGTCACGTGCACATTGCACCTTCGAAGATGGATCTCGGGCAATTTGACAACTCCGACCAGTTCAATTTTGACCCTCCAGCAACTACTCCATCGAGTACAAGGCTAGAGTCAACCTTTTATATACACTCAAACGGCATGGACACAGCAAATGGGTCAGCTGGAAATGCTGCAAACGGTCATCCATATCTCACCGACATGGCCGACCCGTTTGTAGCCGGTGATCCGTCACAGCTGTATCAATCTGCGATGGACGTTGCCCCTGACAATGTGAATGATGTGACGAACGGCACACTGGAGGATGTCTTTGGAAGCCTGGTTCCTGATGCAGATCCGGCCACCGTCTTTGGTCAGTCGGACGATGATGAGTTCGCAATGTTGTTGCAAGCGTACGTCGAAAGAGGTCCAAGCCCTACTCAAGGTGGTGACGAAGATTGGTCCAATATGGCCGCAACTTCAAACCCTATCAACGAGCCGAGCGGGAAAGCAGGAGCCAGCACAGCCTCTCCTCATGCTGTCGCTGCTGATGCAACGGACATCCTCAGCACACCCAAAAACAATGTGTCTGCCGCACCTGCTACTTCACCTGCCACACCTGGCTCCGCTTCTCAAAAGCTGATTGAGGCCATGTCCAATTCTCCGATTGAGATACCAAGGACAGCAGAGTTTGCCGATTTTCATCCTCGCAGCCCCTCTCTCAAGAAGGAATCAGAAAACGTGAAGAGGCGCAGTGGTGGAAATGCTCTTACAAACACGGAGGCAATTTCACGGTCTTCGCCCCCTCAGCAGAATACACCGGCAACCCAGAAACTGGGCAGTCCTTTCAAAATGCCTGGGTTTCCTGCTTCCGCATCAGCGAAACAGATTCCAGCCGACATTGTCTCGATGGGATCTCTTTACTCCCCGAGTCCAGCACCTGGCCAACCCCTTCCAATGGGCACCGTGTCGACTTGTATGCCCGCTCTTCCAGGTTACTCGTCACTCACAAACACCCAGATGCAGCTCATGGCTTATCAAAGAAGCCGCACGGGATCTACAAATTACACGGCTGCACCCAATACACCAAATGTGAAGAACGAGTTATTGAGCAGCGGTGGCGGTAGCAGCAGCTTCCTCGACTACGGCTCCTCGTCCGCCGAGCAACCATCAGCCAAGCGTGCCCGTATGGACATATTCGGTTCGCACCAGGCCTTCCAACACACACCACGAACAACAAAGTCAATGGGATTGACTTTGGCAGAACATTTCAACGACGATATCGTAGGGGACTTCAAATGGCTCGAGCGAGACCGTACCGATCCGTCGCCACCACCATCCACGGTAGCCCGCTATACCGGGTTCGAGTTCCCGGTCCCTTTGCCCAGTGGTACAATGGTGGCGATTGAGAATGAGGCAGAAGAAGATGTCGTGGTCGGGAAAAAGCGCAAGGCCAGGCACATGAGCCAAGATGGAATTGAAACCAACAACACTCAGGGTCCATCTACAGTTGGCAGCTTTGTTAATGCCCAGGCTGAAAGCGCATACCTTGGTATGTTTCAGTTGCCAGACCAGGATCAACCAATGCTGGGCATGCAAACTCAACATCAAATGCCTGACCAAGCCCAGCTTCAAGCTCATCTGCACACCCAAGCTTGTGGTCAATTTCAACATCACAGCAAGCCACAGCTTCACATGCATGGGCAGACCCAGTTTCATGGTCAACTCCAGCAGTCACTGTCGCACTCCCGTGCATCAAGCTCGCAACAACAGCCACCGCAACAGGCACAAGGCAGACGAGCAAGTCTGCATCGCCGAGCCGACAGACAACAGCAATTGTTAGGATACAGCCCAAATGCGGCCCGAGAGCGAGTACCAGACACTCCGACGCCCGCCTCGCGACGCCGCTCCACGCATTCGCGAGCTGGCCCGAAAGCGTCCCTCAGTTCTCCTCGCTCTGGCACCCCGCGCAAAAATACTCAGACTTCTAATAGTCGAGCCTCACAGACTCCCAAAAACAAGTCGGCACGGAAAAAGTCTTGTTCACAATCTTCGACCAAGACACCAGCACATGACACCCCAGCCGCACTGCGATCACATCTACCGACACCGCAGCAGCCTATTTCGACCGGGTCTTGTCCCAACACCATATCCGAGACTCTCGCGGAGACCAATCGTCGCACAGAAGAGGAGCTTCGTTCTCTCGGCGCACCAGTGGTGGATTATGACCCCAACATGAATTGGGACAATATGGCAGACGCACCTGCTGGCACGCTGTTTGGAGATATCGGCCTTCTTGACGCTGGTCACATGACGTTCAGTGAAATGATGGGTATAGACATGTTTCTGCCTGCGGCAATGGATACTTGTATGCCTCACGACGGGAGTGAAAATGCCGCTGGACTTGAGAGCACGCTCTTGAACACCGCCGTCAGCACGAGCGGCTACCCAGAAGGGTTCATGATGCCCGACAGTGGCAACCATGACACGGCGACAGACGCAAACATGATCACCATTGGCGACGGATCTTTTGAGATGGGAATAGCCGTGTCTGCCACTGGCACTGCCGGTCCGGGTGTTTCATGCGACTGGACAAATGGATTCGAGGAGAACAAAGACTTTGATCCTATGGATTTCGGATTCTAACGCAGTGCAACGTCAGCGCTTGCATGGAGATTATGATGTGGCAGAGATCTGTATCTCGTTGGGGCTCTCTTTTCGTGTCGCTCGTGGGACATGGTATGGAGACATTGCGTGGTATGGCGTGGTAGGATGAAGAAACAAGGGGCAGAGGACTCGGGCCGGAATGAAAAGAAATTGGGTATAAGTCCAATCGTGAGGCGAAGACAAACACGAACACGAATCAAGCAGCAGGCGACATGTGAACGTCTTGAGCGAACCACGACTCTTATCGCAAGGACGTCCACAGCTTCTGGCAGATCACAGATGGAGACAGCCTGACATGGAGGTGCAAGTCGGACAGAGGGACAGGCAGATAGACGGATGGGTTGGTCTTTCTCTCTTTCTTTCGAACCAAGAACGCATTACCGGTTGCTGCTGAATTGGAAATTACACAGTGCCAGGGGTCAGTGCGGCCGGATTGGCAGAAAGGGAGTAGTGGAGTAGTACAGTTGGTGCAGGATCTGTGGCTGGCACTGGCGATGTGATGATGACGACGACGGCGGCGGAGGTCATAGAGAAAGACAGGCTGAGCAGCCGCACACGGCAACGAGGATGGTGACTTGGTAGCAGCAAGTATTCAAGGAACAAGGCAACAACCAAGGCTGGACATGAAAGAGACCTCAATGCTGATCGCGCCACGGACATGACCTTGCCTAGGCTAAACATCCAATACGAAATGGAAATACATAAACATGACGAGCCCAAAGCATGTACATTCCCCCGTATATATGTAATCTACAGGAGAGGCCCCAGCCAAACATACCAGGTAGGTATACCAGGTAAGCTAAAGATCCCTCGTACACGGGTCCTGTGTCTGACAGCGACAGCCCGTGAGCCCTCGTCCTCGTTGACGCCACCAGGGCTTGGACATGCGGTTTTACGAGTCACCAAAAATTGCGTGGTCTTCTCGAGTTCTGCATATTTTCGGGTGCTCAGGTAGTTGGTGGTTACAAGGCAAACCGCAGCAGATTCATCTCAGCTCAACAGAGCACGATGTTGTCCCAATAGTCTGTCCCCGTCACTGTTTCTCCATTCATGATGCCATGGGCATAGCAGTCTCCGACGACCGCATATGTTTCAGTATCTCCCATGTTTTCCAAGCCAGGATCCGATGGCAGCAGCTTGGACGGTCTCAAGACAATCGGCGTGCTGCAGCCCCGCAGCACTGCAATACGATCACCTCGTTGCGCTTGACGGACGACCGCACCCAGTCTCCCGTTTCCCATGACCGCCAAGCGACGACGTTTCATGGTGTTACCCACTTGACGAAGCGCTTTCTTGATCGTTTGTGACTCTGACGTCTTGGTTTCGGCAGAAGCATTCACGAGTGGTGTGGCATGGCCGAAAAAGCTATCGAGAGCATGTCCGCAGACGTCGAAGTCTCGTCTCGCACGATGCAGCAGGCGCAGAAATGTGGTCAAATCTTGCTTTTCATCGGAGCTACACCAGCCTGCCGAGATGATGCCGGCTGCAACGTCAGGGATCTCGTCCTCGTCGGTGATCTGTGGCCAATGGAATTCCAGTATTCGAGCATATTCTTCAGGAGCGGGCGAGTCGAAGTCGCCGTTCGCACTCCCACCAACAAGAGTCTTCCAGAGTGCCGTTTTGAGCTCTGGCATGTCTCCTGGAGAGCAAGTTGACAGCGGAATCGATTCTTTGATCTCCTCAGAAGTTACTGGTACTAGTGGCCATAAAGACGGTGTCAGATGGTCGATGACATCGATGACAAGACCTTGACAGTGTAGAAATCTTCCGTCGGCAGAGAAGTTTGGCGGCGTGTCAAGGTCCCCACCTGCATTTACAATGCCTGGGGTTCCCAAAGCATGTGACATATTCTTGATGAGCAGGTCTGGAGTCCAAGTGGGATATTTGATGTGTGTGGCATCGAGCCTGGAATTTTGCAGAAGATCCAGCCGCTTCGTCCCTTGGATAGTGGCTCTCGCAAGGTCCGTGTACACTTCGTGCGCCGTCTTGTCGAGATCGGGTGCAATGAGCGATGTCACTTGTGGTGGTAGCAAACCAAGAATTCCATACACCTTGTCACGAGCATCTTGTTGGAGGGATCCTCGACATATGTCCAGCAAACGAAGGATGTTGCAATCTCTACCATTTCTCAGACAGTTGTCGATACCCCGGAGATATATTAGTCTCGAGCAGACGGAGAGGGTATTGTGTCGGAGATCGCCGTAATAGCTGTTCCCTTCATCGAGGGACAAACCAAGTTGGCGATGAGCTGTAGAAGCGTTGTTGACGATCACGGCCGCTAGCCGCCACATGGCATGTAGCGGCGCCGAGTCGTTGCCACAGAGCAAGGCAGTCTCTGGGCCTCCCAAAATCAACTCTTGGACAACCCACATTCGCCGCCAATATTCTCTCTCACAGAAACATGCGAGTGCTGCCCATACCTCGGTGCTCATGGAGCGAATATCTTCGTACAGTTCCTCATCAGATTTGGTGTCGGCTCCAATCTGTTGAAGCTTGACCATGGCTAGCCCATCCCTGTCAAGGGAAGGACCGATCCAAGCCACAACCTCGTAAGCTGTTGAGAAGATGGCTGCCATGTTCTTCAACTCCCTTTGCACTTCATCCTTGTTCTGTTGGTCAAGACAAAGGAAGTCGTTCCAAACTTTCAATCCGCCGCTAGCGATGGCCGGATACTTACTCAGGGCTCTGAGCCCTTGGACGAGATTCTGCGACACTTGGATCACTCGACCGTTGACCGAAACCCGACGAAACAAACTTTTCTCGCCCCATGTATGAGACATGGCCACATAATCACCCCATCGAAATCGAGCAGCGTATGCTTCCTGTGTTGGGTATTTAGAGCTGGAGCTCGAGCCGCGAGAGCCACTGAACATACACGACGCGATGATTTCCAATCCTGCAATTTCTTTGCACCTGAACATTCGCTTTCAATTTGAGCTTCGAACGCAGTGTACTCCTCAGTGTACGCGTCTAATGAATACACATCGACAGAGCAAGAGAATGCGACAGTGTTCGCGGCCTCCGACGTAGTCTCGGGAGATATAATTGGGGTGAATTGGATCAGCCTAATCTCTCGTATATTTGGGTCCAGCGGTTTGTACGGAGGTGGATCTTGAGTCCGGGTCGATACATCCTTGTCCTCCATCAGAACGACCTTTGAGAGTTGAAGCTGTGTCTCCAAGACGACTTTGATCCAAACCAGCCTATTTTGTTTGGCTTCGAAAAGATAGAAAAACGGAGAACAGTAGCAGTTGAGATGGTTCTCGACATTTTTGATCGCTTAGCAGCATCAGGCAGCAGGTGCGAAAGTGCTGTCCATTGGGCTGAGGAGTAGTGTTTAAAAGTGGCGCAGTTCGGGCGTTGTCGCCTGGTCTTTTGCTGCCAAGGCTGTTGTATACATTGCGAGGCTGAGCGAGGCTGAACATCCTGCCCCGACTGACTACCGAGTAGCTAGACAGCGACAGTTGCGTATTCGGCACATAATGGATCCTCTCATGGAGAGTATACAAAGAAAATTCTGACAATCATGTCCTCATTTTCATCATTCTTTTCTACCGGTCCGGATTCTATGAGGGAACATAATAGGCGGCAGATGTGCAGTCTATAGGAAAGATGCCGATCATATCCGGAGGATAGAGATAGGCCATCGCAACCAATCTTCTTTCTATCCGAATGTATCCTGACCCTGGTGACTTCTCGGTGTCTAGGATATTTTCGCTTTACCAGCATGGGCCAGCCCAGTCGATGGCAAGGCGCCTTGGTTATCGTCCATAAGCACCTGCTTCCAGGTCCAGTCCCATTCCCCTTCCCACCTTGTTCACCATCCACCGTCGCTTAAACTCTTCCCTAGCCAGTTCTCTGGTCTTCTTTGCCCAGATGTCACTCCCAACGCGTCCCCGCACGAAGCCTTCTTGAAGAGACAGGATTGCGGCTTCAATCCCCCGTTCCTCGCACGCAGCATCGTATAGCTGTTGCGCGACTATGCTCGGGGCCGTGAGCATCTCATCCACGTGCGGAATGTCGTTCTTGGATGCGCGGGTGTGCGCTGACGATATCGTTTGATCGGCCTTGGTCAGAGAGGCCTGAAGAACGGAAATATTGCTAGATACTGTCGCATGTAACGCCTTCAAGTTATTCAATTCGCTGCTTAAAGTGCTCATAGTTGACTGCATAGCAGCATACTGCGAAGCCAACGGCGCCAATGCCGAGTTGTTCTGGGATATCTGTTGGTGGAGGGACGTTGTGATCAAGTGAGACAGATGCGTCAACAGAGCTTCCTTTTCTGGATTGACCGGTATAGGAGGGGCTGGAATGTTGTCGGCCGACTGGGGATTGGGTGCCGGCAGCGGGATATCAAAGGGCGAGTCGAGAAGGTTTGGTGTCGCTGCCTGTTTCGCAACAGCCGGTTGAGGAGCCGGTTGATATTGTTGATGTGGTGTTGGATAAGGCTGATGCGGTATCGATTGTACATGTGGGACTGGATACTGTTGCGAGAAAGGTGGCCCAGGGGGTTGACCATGGGGGAGTGAGGGTGTTGGTGTTTGCATCTGGCCATATTGATCTGTGGGCGGTGGTCTGAAGTGATCGGGGACTTGGCCTAGACCTTGACTAGGTGGAGGATGGTGCTGCGCTGGCAGATATTGCTGCGGTTGACCCGGCAGAGGCGGCTGAGGGGGGTATGAAGATGGCGTGGATTCATACGCAGCTTGTGGATGTTGCTGCTGGTGGTAGGGAGGTTGAGGAGACATAGACTGTCGAAGGCTACTGGACCGTTGAGGAACGAAATTCGCACCGCTGGCAGGTCGTTGGATGTTGCCACTTCCGTGTGGTTGTTGCGCCCTTTGGTCAGGCCCTTGCGCGTGAGGTGGCAGAGGAGGTGGAGCGTCGTAGCGCCCAGGTCGTGAAGTCGCGGGAACCCCTGGGCTTGTTGAATCGGGAGTTTGGACGCCAGAGTGTGCAGGTTGTTTGGGCGGAGGAGGTGGAGGAGCGGATGCGCCTGGTTGCTGCACAATCGGACGAGGGCTTGATCCTGGGACATTTGAAGCCGGCAGTGGGTGTATCTCCCTCGGTAAAGGCGGCACTGGTGGAGGGTTTGGCAGTGCTGGTCTCTGTTGCTGAAGTGGTGACCTGGACATAACTGGTGGTTCTTTGGCAAAAATGTCGGACAAGATGGACATCAAATCGAGTATGTTCGACCTCTATACGCAGCATTCCGTCAGCCAGATCAAAGCTGTCCCAGGAGTCCTTGCTCCCTCCCAGTTCTTCTGTTGTCTCGATTCTGAACCTACCTCCCAATGTTCCCTCCAATGCGCCAGGTATGGATGATATATTCTCCCATCTCCGCCGACATGTTGACCAGGCCGAATCATCATTTCTTCCGTCGGAGTGACATAGCACATGGGCGCCTCGTAAGGGTAGGCATGCGGTACCCATAACGCTATAGGAAACCGATATGTATTTCCTCTGAAGTTGACGGGGATGGTGCCCTTGAACTGTAGGAGGAGCGCGGGCGTTCCATTCTCAAATGCTGGGCGCCATGTCTATCAGTATCATCCTCCTTTTCTAGGCACAAGCGACGTACTGTAAACATCAGTCCGAGGAGCAAAGCTCGGATTCCGGGCGAGGACGTGGGCAAGGTCTGAGTACGTTCGATTCGGGTCGTGATATTCCTGTCTGCGCTTAGCCAAGTAGACTCGAATGGATAAGCAATGGTGATCTCATACGCGTTTCAATACATCGTAAAGCCAATTGAGTGTCTTCTGGGGCACGCCTGCCATTGACGTAGCAAACCACTCGAAAATGTTTCCTGACAGTTTGGATGGCGAATGCGGTGCGATTCTGGTATTGGGACCTGGTCGTCTTGCTATTGGCCAAGACCTCGACAGCGAGATTACATAATGCGGGGGTTCAGAGAAGAAATGCTTCATGCCGAGCACGATACATAGACCACTGTGGACTGAATCTGAATTTGGGGGTATCATAAAGCTAAGACTAATCATACAAAGGCGTCATTAGGAACGCTCGTGCGTGCACCTTCCTGGCATATCCCATCGCCCCATCAGTCGTCTGCTGCAGCATCCGTATCGGCAACTGCTGTCAGTTCAATCTATTTCTGCTGAGCGGCGGCTTGCTTGTCAAGATCCAACTCGACCCCGCGCTGTCTGGTCTTTCCTTCATCGTGAATCTCGTTATATTTGGCTTGATCGGAGCGGTCACCAGTCAAGGACGCCACGGCACTACCGACAGCTCCTTGGGTGCGATCACTGATGCCCTTTCCGAGGTCGCTCAGTTGACCCTTAGCCTCTTTCCCTTGGCCCTGCAAATTCTGTTCGCGACCTTGTTGCTTCAGATCCTCGCTGCCAACGAGATTGCCAATGGTTTCCTTGGCACTACCAACAGTCTGATCCCATTGGCCTTGAGTGCGTTCAGAATTGTCTTTGGCAGGAACACCCGTAGAGCTGATGGTGAAGGGGCCTGCCTTGGCGGCGGTGTGGGAAAGGTCAGACTCGGCGGCACCTTTGTTCTTGTACTCCTCGGCTTTGGCCTGAAATATCGTGTAAGCAGACTTGCTTGCCTCGACAAGACAATGACAAAAGACTCACCTTGTCGCCAGTGCTACCAGTCACAGCGGCAATACCAGATTGAACGTAGCCAGTGGCAGTGTCCACAACGGACTTGAGGGAGGAGGTGTTGTCGCTGGAAGACATATTGAAGACTGTGTAAACTGTTCTGGTGTTGGAGAGATTGTATCAATAAGAGTGGCTGTTGAATAGCGGTTTGGTGTGAGATGGAGAGTTGGTCAGATGAAAGAAGACTGAACCGGGATCAGAGCACAATTTATAGGCAACCCCTCGGGACCTGCAGTCTGTTTGCCTCGATGGTGAACCTTGCTTCAGCAGGCACGACGCTGAGTGCAGCGCAGTTGGAGGAGGCGCGAGAGGCCATGTGCTTTGTGCCAAGGTGGCTCTGTGGCCCGCCATCGACGTCATCGGCGAACGTTGGGTGGAGCCGAAGATCAAGATGCGCATTTGCACTTCACCAACACGCAATCCCATCTCACCATCTGCGGCCACCCATTACCACTCTGGAATGGTGCCCTCCACAGCTGCCCTATCTCGATGTTTGATTACTCCGATTTCATCCAAGGTTCACGAAGATTCCCCGTGACAAGGAATTGCTCCCACTTCTCATTGGTGTGTTCGGTGTTTTCCGCAGCAGGCATTGCAGGCGTGAAGATCGTCAGGCACTTGCTGCTGCGGCAAGAAATCTCTGAACTGGCTTCGTCGAAGTTGTCGTCATCCTGCGTGTAATGTATGGTTGGGCATGTGCAACAGATTCATCGCTGCTATTGCTCATCCAAACCTCAACTTGGGACACACAAACACTAGCAGAAACGCCACAACCCACATCGCAAAGATCATGCCGTACAGCTTCAGTCGTCCAAACCACCCTTCTTCCTCGCTCATGCGTTTCAGAAATGCCATGTTCTTGCTCGCGGCCTCCATCCCGCTTAGACTGACATCTAGTCCTTCGATTGCCCGTCCTAGAATGCCCTTGTCTTGTTCCAGAGAGAACTGAAGCTTCCTCTGCTCTTGCTTGAGCTGGGCTGCCATGTTTACCAGAGAGGTTGTAATGTCTTCATGCACACGCGAAGAATCCAACAGTGATCGCTCTGTCCCAGCCAGATTTGAGACTCCGCTAGCTTGTGCCTCAGATTTGCTTGTATTGTCTTGTCCCTTGACTCGTCGCCGCAGACTCGAAGGGCCGAGTAGTTCTTCTCTCGTGTCCTTGTCCCTTTGTGCAAGTTCCTCTGGGCGTTCCTCCTCGACACCTGTGACGGGTTTTCCTTCAAGCAGCGGACCATCTTGCGCCCCCTCCTTGGTCGGTTGACCCTCGGCCGCCGACGTCTGTGACCGCGTCTGCACATGCGCCTGCAGAAAGTCGTAGAGGGATTCCCCTTCGTCTTCGACAATGGACGGTTTCCACTCATCCGAGCCCATCATCTCAACCTCCCTCCCAATCTCCTCGATCCGACCCCTCAATTTCTTGATGACCGCTCTCTTCTCCGCCAAGTCTTTAATGGCCTCGTATTTTGTCCGCTGTACACGAATCGCCTGTGCCTTTCGCTCTAGCTGGAGAAGAAGTGTGCGGGCGCCCTCGATATTGTGGAGCCATTTCGTGCGATGGTATGGCAAGGGGGACCACAGTTCGGCTTGAACTTGCTTTTGTAGCGGCGTCAGTTCGCTGGCGTTGTTGTTGGCGTCGGAGGAAGGAGAAGGTGTGAGGAGGATCAATTGTTGGTATCGTGTGAGCGTGCGATGGAGGTTGAGGTAGCTGACTTCGTGACGGAAGGGTCGGCTTTGGGCATTGTTGTCCGCGGAAGCATTATCGCGCCTTTGGCCCGCACCGAAGGGGAGCGCGACGGGTCGAAGTGCCGTGGTCAGAGACATGGAGATGCGGCGATGTAGACGGGTCGATGTTATGGTATTGGTCGCCTGTGAGTAACGACGAGGTCAAGATAGCAGACAACAGGCCTTGGTCGACCTAGTATGTACCGAGTGATCTTCCCTGGTTTCCCCAGATTTGGAGTAACCGTGTTCTGTTCGGAAATCCCGCCGGCGGCAGTCCAAGTCCTCCGTGCGCGCTCCCTTTTTGGTACGCCACCGCAAGATTGATATCTTAACAAGAGACGCTAGCAGTCGCCGAGAAGCTCACAAAGAAACAATACACCAATTTTGTACGTGAGGCGAATTATTTAGCAGAAAAATTAATTGAGATGTCCGAGTTGATTAGGTAGTGTGTTTGTGCTTGGTACGGCGTTAGGCGATCTAGCCTATCAGTTCGTGGGTTTACAGCCTGGTCTCGGCGACCCTGAAGGGTTCTCCTCATCAGCTCTAACAAGGCTCGGCCTCCTGGGTGTGACACGAATAGCTAAGCCTAATCAGGCCGTCAGGCTTCTTGAGGGAACAAGTATCAATTGCCTCTTTCGGTGCGACTGCTCTCTTCCAGTCTCTTTATAGATACGTTCCGGTGGCTCGATTAGCCACCGTTTGTTGAAACTACACCAGCCACATGCTCTGTATCTTGCCGCTTCTAGCATTTCCTCTTCCAATATTCACTCATCACTCACTTCCTTCGTCCTCAGAGATTTCCAACTCCACTTTCTCATTCGCCCTTCTGCTCCAATCTCTCCTGTTTCAATCATATCTATAATTCTGCGGCGCCGTGTCGTAGTAGTCGAGGTAGTGACTCGGCTCCATGGAGAAGTTGTCGCGGTGCTGGTCGAACTCGACGGCGTCATCCGCGATATAGTTGGCCATGATCTCCATGGGGAGTTTGTTGGCCCGGCTCTGGAACCACTCGGACTGAGAGAGGGGGAGGTTGAGACGGGTGATGAAGTTCGGGTACCACGGTGCCTACAGGACGAACAGTGTGTCAGGGAACTGGCAGATCAGACGGTATAACAACGCACGGCAACGGACCAGAGGAAAGCAAAGGGCCTCGTCCAGGCTGCAACCCCAAGGTTGTGATGGGTGAGGAGTGGTATGTTGTGACACTTACCATCCAAATCTGCGCGACCATGATCCTATCCTGTTCCGTCGCGTTGGGCATTCCGGCGTGCCACGTCCGGAAATCTCTCAACATCACATCCCCCTTATCCATGGTCGCCCGCACAGGCGGCCTCACGGCTCGTCGGGCCTCAATAGCCTCCTCGAGCACCGGACACGACGGCGTGCCGATCCTTTGTTTCCCAAAGACCGTCTCCGGCGTGGCGACGGTCTGATCACGCTCGTCGGTGAAGGCGTGTGAACCGAGCCAGAACTCGGTCGCGCCGTTTTCGAGGGTGAAGTCGTTAAGGGCGGTGTTGGCCACGATGACGAACGGACACTTTGGATGGCGGAAGCGCGTGTCCTTGTGGACGGGCTGCCGAAGGCCACCTGTACCGGCGAGAGCGTTGTTGCCCGTGGACATGATCCATTTGGGGTTGGCCCCGAGATATCTATACAAATGTCAGCTCAATTTCTTAATTTGGAGAGTGAGGAAGCGGGATCAGAGTTGAGGTCCACTGATCCCGGTGTGACAAGGAATATGAAAAGGGAAAGACTTACGCGTTCATCACCTGGATCACAAACGGGTTGAAATGGACATCTTCAAACAACAGCTCTGGCTTCGTGAATGGAGGTGCCTGTAATATATTCGCTGGATCCTCGACGCATTCATCAGCATTCTGCAGTTTCTTTCCTAAGATTGACGTTGTAGCATTGTCGCTTTGGACTCACATTTCACCCCCTGATTGTATACTTTAGCCCCGGCATGTCTCTCTCTCAAAATCCGGTCCCTGTCACCGCTCATATGTTTGTGTAGGATGTCACAGTGCATAGGATCCACCACGCCCTTGAGCACAACCATCCCGTCCTGATGTAGGCCTTCAAGGGCCATCTGCAGGGCTGGCGCCGAGTAGGATCCCTTCCTGACATCTTCTTCCGCCAGTGGCACACGTCGTGGCCCGTCGGGCTTGGGTTCTTTGAGAATGGCAGACGGCATGATTATTGAACTTGAGATCTGATTGTAAATTCTTCTGTGTCCTGAATCCTGAGTTCTGGGGTGCCGTGATCCCTCGCTGTGTTTATCCTCCTCGATGTCTAACTCTACGTACTCCTTTTAAGACTGTCCTGACACCAGTGTATTCCACTATGAAGACCGCAACAGGCTATCCGGGACGGTGGTTAGAATCGGACCTCGTATCAATCGACTCTCGCTCTCCGCTCGATCGGGGTTATGGTCGGGTATCCACCGTTGATAAGGACAATTGGTTGTCGAGCCATACTAACAAGATAATGGACGGGCTTGGTTTTGATCGGCTGTGAGAATTAGTGTCTTGTGGGAACCACGGCCTTGACGAGTCTTTGAGCTTATCTTGTTAGACACGAAAAGAGGTGATGAGCGTATGGTGCCGGATACGCGCGATAGGCTCGTACCAGCCTCCAGGTTGATAGGATCTGCTATTCGATCAACGTGACTGCGTTAGTCTAGACTCATTGACTTGCAGTTGAGCCTTTGCGTCGTTGTAAACTTGTTGCCACCGTGGGAGAAGAAGGGGTCGATGTGTTGGGAAGCGATCAGCTTGTGCCACGTTGTGAGGGACCAGTTGTGTAGTATATCAAAAGACGCAGCCTCTCCCACAACACCCCATACTGTGGTCCCTCTGTGTGTCCCCTCCTCTTCATTATTCTGCTCCTGACCCTTTCACTCTAATCTCATCGGGCTCCTCCGGAGAGTGCTGGAAGAGTACCGTGGAACCAGTACCAGAGATCTAGCAATATGGACTCTCCCGTCTTAGACAAACCTCAGATCACCGGCATCAACGCCTTTCGTCCCAAGAACCTGCTTGCCTCGTTCCGCATCAAGAAGGCCAACTTCAAGCGTGGGATTCAGAGCAAGGAGAACTTCAAACAGTACTTGCGGACTCCAGGTTCGAGTGCGGATCCTACAGGCTCATATTCCTGGATCAATGATGGTACGCTCTTCCTCCACTGCGGTATCGAGTTTCTGTGATCCTGACAATGTCGGCGTTAGATCTCCTCCCAACTCCCCCTGAAGCTCGAACGTGGGCTTGGTGGAACTACTTCTTCTTCTACTTCTCCCTGTCCATGGACAACTGGACGCTGGGGTCGGTCATGATCGGCTGCGGTCTGAACTGGTGGCAGTCTATCCTGATCGTCTTCTTCAGCCAGGTGGTGAGTTCGGTCGCCATGGCCATCAACTCGCGGTCTGGGGAGGTTTACCATGTCGGGTATCCCATCATATCCCGCGCGGTCTTTGGTACATGGGGAGCGTACTACGTGGTCTTTGCGCGTGCCGTGTTGGCCATCGTTTACTACGCCATCAAGCTGTACATTGGATCTTCGTTTGTGGTGAACATGCTGACGGCTGGTATGTCGAAGAAAATGTCCATATGGAAGTCTACTGACACTGGATACAGTATTTGGCGACTCATACCGCAACCTGCACAACTCGATTCCCGAATCCGTGGGCATGTCGACAGCCCAATTTATCGCCTTCTTCTTGTACTGGCTCGTCCACATCCCCTTCACCCTTCTCAGACCTTACCAGTTACGCTGGGTCTTCACGCTCAAGATGTGCACAGTGGTGCCGGCTTGCTTTGGCTTGTTCATCTTCTGCATGGCCAACACCAAGGGTAACATTGGCGGCGGAATTCCTGGGGCTCCAGCTTCGACGTCGACCAGTTTTGCTTGGTTTGTGGTCTATGCATTCAACAGTGGTCTAGGCAATACTGTAAGTTCTCTGATCTAAGAGACCTGACAAGGAATGTGGACTCACCCAATACAAGGCCAACATCATTACAAACCAACCCGATTTTAGTCGCTGGGCCAGATACAAATACGCCTCGATCTGGCCGCAGCTGCTCGCCAACCCGATCAGTGTGACCCTTTCGGCGTCATTGGGTATCCTGGCTACGTCGGCCATCAACCACTCGTGGGGTCTTGAGCTATGGAATCCGTGGGATCTCCTCGAAGCCATTATGCAGCGATATGACACCTCGGCCGTGCGGTTTGCCGTGTTTGTGTGTGCGACCTTCTGGGCCCTGTTGATTCTGGGCACGAACATCGCGGCGAACATGATTCCATTTGGCTCGGACAGCACAATGCTTCTGCCACGGTACATCAACATGACCCGAGGGCAGTTCTTGGGGCTCTGCTTGGCCTGGGCGGTCAATCCATGGCAGATTCTTCGATCTGCGACGGGTAAGTGCTCCATGCTTTCGTTATTTCTCCTCCTTGTACAACCATCTCTTACTGACCAAACTCTTTCCAGTCTTCCTCAACTTCCTGGGCGGCTACATCATCTTCATGGCCTCGGCCGTGGGCATCATGGTCGCCGAGTACTTCCTGTTGACCAAGGGCAACATCTTCCTGCAACATCTGTACGACGGCAAGCGCACCAACCCGCACTACTACTACCACCGCGGCTGGAACGTGCAGGCCTACATCGCCTACATTGTCGGCGTGGTGATCCCGTTTCCGGGCTTCTGCGGCTCCCTGGGCGCCAACGTCTCCGAGACGGCCATGAACATTGGCCATCTGGGCTGGTGTCTGTCGTTTGTCGTCTCCATCGCCGTCTACGTGCCCCTGTGCTACATCTGGCCGACCAAGAACCAGAAGATGATCAAGAGCATGGGGCTCAAGTTTGAAGAGACGGCCGCCGAGGAGTTCAACCCGGCCGATCTCCCGAATTACAATTTGGCCGTCATTCACGGCCGCGAGGTCTTGACCTCGACCGCCGGACCTGCAAACAGTGAGGAGGCGGAAATTGAGTCGACGACGGAGAAAGATGTCGGTCGCGAGACCGTGGTGGTGTCGGCGTCGAAGATGGAGTGATGGCATCCTACCTATATATCTAACTATCCAAGCTCATATTCAGTCGTTTACTATATATACCAGATATACTATACCATCAGAAATCTATATGAAAGAGGTGAAGCTGGAGGGATGTGATGACTCGGGAATACGCAATGATATTATTACCCCAGAGAAGCAATACAAGGCTTGACAATAGACTCTGTACCTCGTAGACTGAGATCAGAGTATTACCAAGTGCAATCCACTTTCTATGACTTGATCCTGTGTTCTTTTGCTGATTGTGGATCGAAGTGGTACCTACCCCTAAGGTAACTATAGTGAGGTTGTCAATACCGCAACGACTCCAAACCTTTGACTTACACCACTAGAAAGTCGGTCAAGACGAGGAACCTGCAAGTGTGCAATAAACATAGTGTATCCAGCGTGGAGTGCCACGGGTGCCAGCCTCGTCGGTTTCTCGGTTTCTCAGATGAAACGGGAAAAGGAGACAGAAAAACTTCCTATCCGGCACTTCGCCCATGTCCGAATCTCCTATCTGTCGCCTTTACAGAGGCATTTCCTACCTGGGCGGGTAATTATTATTCGTACTCCCCCTGCACCGTCGCCCGGGGTTCTCCACTCTCTGTCTTTCTCCAAAACACTCTCCCCAGGTTCATTGTTGTCCCCAGGAGTGTTGACTGTTGAGAGGTGATGGAGGGTGATAGGGCGTAGAGGTGAAAAGTTCTGCCCGGATAGCCGATGTTGCCTCTGTGAGGTGGGGGGGTGGTCCGCTTGATTGTTCATACACTTATTCGCAACCATATTGAAGGTGAATGCAGCAAGATGGACGACAGATGCCCAGAGGGTGGTGGTCCCGGTTGCGACCTCGTCGTTATCTGCGTCTCGCTCCCCTTCCTTCGGCTCTCTTTCTGGGGGTGGATCTACGCTCGAGCTCCGTCTTGTCTCGGGCTCTCTCGTTGAGGACTTGAGTCTGCTCTCTATGGCGGTCTCCCTTCGCCTCCTCCTGTTCGACCCGACATCGATTCCGCCTAGCCCGTGCCCTGGTGGCAATGGATTGGGGACCTCAACACCCGCCCTACCTGTGCATAGAGGCAGGTCTATCGTGTGGCAAAGGTCCGCTCTGCTCGATAGGCTTGATCACTATACCGCCATTGGCCGTGTTGTATCCCCCCACCACCTTTTCTGGACCCTGTCGATTCCATCCCATGTACTGCCCCGTACGCTTTGTTCGGGACCTGTGATTTTTGGCTTCGAACATGGAAGGATGGATGGAGAACCAAAGCCCGATGGAACTCGCAGCTCGTATTACTGCGGATCCAATCTCTGAGGGAACAATGCGAGGAGATGGTTCGTGAGAGCCTTGGCCAGACCTGGTCTTTGTAAAAACATGTCATCTCTTTAACACATTACATTCGTGCATCATTTCATTCCCTCGTGGGTGCTCCCCTGACATCGTCGCCATTATCACTCCTGGGGATACCTCCCGCATCGAACAAGAATGGAGTTTGATCTGATTGTGCGGAACGGCAATGTCGTGACGGCGTCGGATATTTGGTACAATTGCGATATTGGGATCAAGGTGAGTGAGAGCAAGTCAAAGTGGCAGAAAAGGGAAGAGATGGGGGGAACCATATGAGGAACAAGAATGTATGCCTGTACTTGGCCTGGGACTTGTGGAGAAAAGGAACAAGAGAGGGAGAGGAAAAGAACACAAAACAACGTTGGGGGAAAATTTCCACGGACAGAATTGCTTTGCCGTCCACAATTCATTGCCTTTACTCATTCCCGAACCTTGACGTATCTTTTGTCATATAACAGTGCAAGACTAATACTGTGTTACCTATTCAGAATGGCACCATCGTCGCCGTGGCCCGCGACCTCCCCATCCGTAACGGCGACCAAGTCTCCATCCTGGACGCCGAGGGCGCCTACATCACCCCAGGCGGCATCGACACGCACGTTCACCTGAGCCAACTCTACGAAGCGTCGGTCGACAGTCTCATGCGCACGCAGATCACCAACGGCAAGATCCCCGACCTGGCAAACTACACCAACGACACGTACGACACGGGCACGCGCAGCGCCGTGGCCGGCGGCACCACCACCGTCATCACCTTTGCGAGCCAGCTGCGCGACGACGAGAGCCTGGTGCCCGTGCTGGAGGAGTACGCGAAGCTCGCCGACGGCCAGTCGTACTGCGACTACGCCTTCCACATGATCCTGTCGAACCCGACCAAACACGTTCTTGACGTCGATCTGCCCATGATGGTCGAGAAATACGGCATCACCAGCGTCAAGATATACATGACCTACAAGGCCTTCCAGCTCCGAGACTACCAGATTCTGGATGTCATGCACGCGGCGCGCCGCCTGGGCATTACGACCATGGTGCACGCCGAGAATGCCGATGTCATTGATTGGATGACGGAGCATCTGGAGGAGCAGGGTATGACGGCGCCTTATCATCACGGGACGTCGAGACCGCCGATTGTCGAGGCCGAGGCCACGGTAAGTCATCTTCCCCAAGACCTTGGAACGTAGAAACCGCAGAACAGAAAACAGGAACCAGACGAACGGAGAGCTGACCCTTTTTGTCTTGGGGCAGAATCGAGCCATTGTCCTTTCTGAGCTCATGGATACGCCCATACTGCTCGTCCACATCTCCGGCGGACATGCCACGCGCGTCATTCGCGACGCCCAAACCCGGCTCCTGCCCGTGCACGGCGAGACCTGTCCGCAATACCTCTTCCTACTTGCCGACAGTATGAGGAAGGAAGGCTTCGAGGGTGCCAAGTGCGTCTGCTCGCCGCCCATCCGCGAAGAGGCGGCTGACCAAGACGCCATCTGGACGGGGATCAAGAACGGCACCTTCACCACCCTGTCATCAGACCACGCACCCATCAAGTTCGATCACCCGCAAGGCAAGCTGCGGGGTCTGGCCCACGGAGGCGGCGAACAGGGCAAGTTCCAATACATTCCCAACGGACTGCCGGGGGTCGAGACGCGAGTGCCACTGCTGTGGTCCGGCGGCGTGCTCACGGGCCGCATCACGCCGCAGAAGTTTGTCGAGGTCACGGCGACAAATCCGGCCAAGCTATACGGTCTGTCCAACAAAGGCACCATCGGCCCGGGCTTCGACGCAGACTTGACCATCTGGTATCCGCAGGACAAGTTCAAGCCGTTCAAATTGACCAACGACATGTTGCACCACGCCATTGACTACACGCCGTTTGAGGGCATCGAGTTCAAGAATTGGCCGAGGTACACGCTGGTCAGAGGCACCGTCGTTTTCAAGGAAGGTGAGGTGGTCGGCAAGTTGGGCTACGGCAAGTATCAGCACAGGACCAAGAGTACCCTGAGCGGCCCGCGGAATCAGTTTCTCAGTGAGTGGCGGCCGGTATATCCTATGAATTAGCGCTAGACCGGCAGAGTAGACATTGTAGGAAGAAACGCACGGTCGGAATTTCCGTATCAGAACCCAACTAATAATCCACAGAGATCCCCAATGGGACCTGTAAAGCTGGTGGTGTCCTGCCGATTTTCCGAGATCGGATTTGACCGTTTCGCCCTTCCCCGGAGGGACTCTTTCCGATCAGGAGTGAGTGAATGTTGCTATCAGGCGCGGGGATGGAGACGGGGGGCTGAAAGGCCCACAGAGAGATGTCCTTCAGATGGACTGACTCTGTTGGGAAAGGTTTAGGACAGCCTTATCCAAAAGCATTTGGGACGGCGTTGGTTGTTCAGTAGTAGTGAGGCCATCTCAGTTATTCCGGACTCGTTCCATCTCAAGACGTAGAGACTTTCACAGGCATCACGAGTCTCGAACATCATTCAATCTCCAGAATTGCTTGCCATCGTTCAGCATGGTTCTCAAATCGTGGCTAGATGTGCCCGAGGATCATGACTTTTCAATCGAAAATCTCCCTTTCGGCATTTTTTCAACAGCCGATGATGTAGGTCCCGCACAATATCAGTGTCTTGATGATGCAGTTCTTTCGTGAGAGGTATGGCGAGGTAACACGGTGCTTAGGTGACGCCGCGGCCTGGTATCGCAATCGGGAGATATATCGTCGACCTGGCAGCATTGGTTGACACAGAGGCATTCTCAATGTATTGCACCTGTCAATTCCCGTACGCGGTGTTGAAGGAGGTATCCATCATGTTCCCCTCATTCCGTCTCGCAAGGAGTGCGAAATGCAAAGACAGACAGAGTGATCTTTCTAACTTGGCCAGACCGTGTTGAACTCCTTTGCAGCTCTTGGTCGCGAAACAGTCAACGCGGTGCGCATGTTTGTGAAATATCTGCTCGTTGAGATGACGCCGATCATGAGAGACAACAAAGACCTGAAGAAGAAGTGCATCGTCGACACGGCCGAGGTCAAGGTCGAGATGCACCTGCCCATGAAGATTGGAGATTTCACCGATTTCCTGAACTCTCGAACGGTGAGTAGTTGACGATCTTCTGATTTCAAGGCAATCAAATGGGCCAATTGGAAGCGAAGCTAACAGTCCAAGCACGCAAAAAACACCCATTCAACAAGCAGCACGCCAGTAAACATGTTAGTGGACAGACCCTGGCTTGACAACACTGCCTCATATTGGATGCAGGTTCAATCCGCCTCGTGCGTTCACTGCTCGCGCATCCAGTCTTGTGGTTTCGGAGACCCCGATCGTGCGTCCGATGGGACATTTGATCGACTCAAATGGTAAGGCATATGTGGGACCGTCACAGCAAATGGACGTCGAGATGGAGTTTGCTTTCTTCCTGGGCGAAGGAATCAAACGCTTCGACCGGGTTTCGATCGATGAGGCCGAGAACCACATATTCGGTGTCGTGCTTCTAAACGACTGGTCAAGTGTGTCTGTCTTCTGTGATCTGTTTGTGTGTAAGACTGACAATGTCAACATCCAGCCCGTGATGTCCAGGCTCCTGAAGACCATCCTTTTGCCGCCTTCAATGCCAAGTCCTTCGCGTCGACCATCAGCCCCTGGGTCGTGTCGATCGACGCGCTGGAGCCCTACCGCACGAAGATCCAGCCCCAAGAGCCGTCAGACCTGTTGCCGTATCTGATTGACAAAAAGCGTCTTGGTACCTTTGACGTCTCTATTCGCATGCAATGGACGCTTTCACCTGAGGGAGAGGTGTTCGACACCTCCACCAGCAACTTGACCAATGCGTACTGGTCCTTTACGCAGATGTTGACCCACCATGCATTCGGGGGTTGCGAAATGAGGACAGGAGACCTGATCGGAACCGGTACACTTACTGGAGAGGTAAGGAGACGAGAAACCCCACTTGAGTCTGTTCGCCAGCCTGACTCATGAATTAGGGGCCAGAATCAATTTGTTCTCTGGTTGAGCGAACACAGAACGGGGCAAAACAGATACAGACTCCTTCGGGGAACAAGAGATTCTATGTTCAAGACGGGGACAAGGTCACGTTTACGGGTTGGGCGGGTGAAACAGGGGATCAATCACTGTCAGGGAAGAGGGTCGGTTTCGGGATCTGCGAGGGTATAATTGTTCCGGCGAGGCCGCTCTAGAGCCTGTGATGGACAGACAAAGCGCAAGAGCGAGGTGTGAGGTGTGTAGAGGTTCGATTTGGGAGGGAAGAGAACAAGAGAAAGTTGATGTTGGATGCCCACCCTCGATATTGAGCTAGCCGTAAAGGGAAATCAAAATCATGTGACTGTATTTTCAAGCTAGTCCTCAATTGAAACAAAGGTCATGTGATATGTCGTCCAGCATTGCTCTTGCGTTGTGATTGGCTGGAGCGACCTCTATCCAATTCCTCGCGATAAGAAACTCCCGCGGCAAAGGAATCTTGACTCTTCCTTCGACACTGCCATTGCTTTGCCTCGTATTGTTCATTTCCCTCATAACTCTACACGGCCTCTCTGCGACTCCTCCAATGGACGATCGCTTTGTTCCGTGCCTATAGTCATGCTGCGGACGGAACAGTCATTGGACATGACTTTCCACCATGTTTTCTACCGCTTTACATCCAGCATCTCCCCAGTTTCAAGAGCTTCCGGCTCCACTCACAGTCCCCACAAGGCTACGTCGACCTCGCACTCGACGGTCGTGTGACTTTTGTCGGTCTCGAAAGAGTGCTTGTCGGCTCGACCAAGGTCCTCCATGTTACGCCTGCCGTCTGTATGCCCGGGAGTGTGTCATCAGTGAGAGACCGCCGCGGAAGAGGCAAAAGTCGACGAGCGAGGCAGGGAAAGCCACCGCAGGTCCAGTTGCCGCCCAAGACAAAGGTGCCGCCAGATCTGTGCATACTGATATACCCAGAGCATCGAATTGGGCACAGGGAGCCCAGGCCGCCGTCTCTGCCAGCAATGATGTGGATCTCGCCGTCTTCTCCCCTCAATCTAACGGCAGCTCGCAGCAGATGTCGCCCACACAGGGGGCAGGCTCTGTGACTTCACAAGTCTCGATCGAGTCAGGTCGGCCGACAACGCGACACAACGTCGTGGGACGAGAATATGATACGCTGACCGAGTCCTTGGACGCATGGCCGACCAAAACCACCTTCCTCCTAGGAGATACAGGCGAGTCGGATCCCTATCTGCTCCGGCACTTTTCGACAGAATACCTTGACTCGTCGGTGGATGACATTGCCAAGGTGACACCCCGACATATGCTACGTGCATCAGACCCAGACGTCATGCACAGTCAAGGAAAGCCCTTGATCATGTCAATTGCCGACCACTCGCTGTACGACCGAGGAGAACCGCGACTGGACCAGTCAGTCCTTGACCAAGCGGCGGATGAGGTTGCCCAGATGGTCTCGGACGAGACAGGTGTCCGACTGGTCAAACTCTTCTTTCGATACATCTACCCGTATTTCCCCATCTTATCAAAGAGCCGTCTTCTGTACCCGCTGGTGGAACTCCCCTCTCGGCTCAAACAGCTCCCACTCTCGCTCAAAGCGGCAATCTACGCATCTGCTCTCGCCTTCTTCACATACGACGATGTTCTAGCCACCACGATTGTCCATTCGCCGCCTTCGAGCCAGCGATTGTACCGCATTGCCTGGGTCGCTGTGACGCACGAAGTCCACACGCCTCACCTTTCCACACTACAATCATGTCTGCTCCTTCTCCAACGAGTCAATGACGACCGATATGTGATGGACACGGTGTTTCGATGGAGTTTGCTCGGCTGGACCGTGGCTCTGGCGCAGACGTTTGGCTTGTCCACCGACTGCCTCGACTGGACGGGGCTTCCAGACTGGGAAAAGCGGCTGCGTCGACGCCTTTGGTGGGCGACTTTTGTCATGGACAAATGGGCATTTATGTCGGCAGGGTTGTCGAGTCACATCCACGACGATAGCTACGATGTTTCGCCCCTGAACGCGGCCGACTTTATCTCTTCTGGCGAGACAGAGTCATCTCAACAGCAGCAAAACAACGGCAACATCGAAGCTGCCGGCTCCACGGCAACCGAACCTCCATTGTCCCACTTTTATCACCTTGCCCGCCTCACCGCAATCCTCAGCGATATCCAGACGGCTTTCTTCACCATTGCCGCGTCCAAACGCACCGAACGCGACTTTAAACTCTCGATCGAGCTAGCGAAGCCGATCCGCCGTCGCTTGAAGGAGTGGAAGACCTCATACGACGCCTATCTCGACACTACGCACCTGCACGGCCATCATAATCACCACAACGCCACTTCTATGCGTTCCCGATCGTCTGGGCTGGATGGTGACGCCTCTCTGGGTCTAAGCTACCTCGTCACGAACATCATGCTCTTCCGCGCGCTGCTCCGGCCCCTCGAATCCAACCTTCCGTCCACCTCGGTCCCATCCTCCTCGTCCGAGGCCGGCCGCGACGCCGTCCGCATCGGCGCAAAGACATGCTGCATCGAAGCCGTCGAGTTTGTCGAGTCCCTGCGCCGCAACGTCTGGGACGCCTTCTGGCACTCGTGGTCGCGCGCCGGGTTCGCCATGATCTCCTCCATGATGATCCGTCTGCTGATCACGAGCGAGGACCCGGGCGAGGTCGACGACATCAACGCGCTCATCAGGCGGTGGCGCTGGGCGTTGCGCACGGGCGGAGGCAGTGCCGGGAACGTCCTGATGAGTCTGGCGCTGCTACGGCTCGATCGGTCGCTGGTCACGCGGGGGATTCACGAGAGTGACGAGGAGTGAATATACTTGATCTGTCCGAAAACAAAATTAAAGAGAAGCGCGCGATATGCGATGTGCGAGGAGCTGGGCAAGGGCGAATTCATCGTGAATACGAATATACGACGATATTGATGGACTTGTTCTCTTTTCCGCGATCCAATACTTGATCTAGTCGTTGTACCGCCTGCACTCACGCAAACGCCAACGCCTTTGACTCCAACTTTTGACCGTTTATGCCGATCAATCAACTGGGTAGCGCTGTTACTTCTATTCGAGGTGCAACTCTGCTTTTACACACCTTTTGCATACATAGATATTAGGTATGCATAGGGGACTCGTGCTTACGCTTCCCAAGACCCCTGAGTCCCAGAGGGGAGAGAATACTCGATACTCCGTAGCGGGGAGCAATTTTTTGGCATCGTTGCTGGTCGCTGGGCGCTGAGACGGATGGCGGCTTGATAGCTGGGCTAGATAATGGTAATCAAGGTGTTCAACAGGTATCACTGTACGAGGCACCCAGCGGATCAAACCTCAACTAGGAGGGAGAACAACTGTCAGTGGAGATTTACTGGGTTTATATCTAACGTAGCAGAGGAGAACTAGAAAGTCACGGCATGCAGCTGCTCTAATGCGGGTGTAGGGTGTGTCTTCCCTCGACGAAATCGATCCAGCCCGGGAATGTCAAAGACTGGAGAGACAAATCTCATTCGTGCTATAGTATACAGGAAGAATTCATTCATACATACATACTTGTATATCCAGCGAGCGCTTTTGGTAGAGACTGAACCACAAGGCGATCTTGTTGGATGTGAGAGAGAGAACAGGCACATGTGTCACTTACTGCCGAACGTACATCCATCTCTTATGGGGTTTCGTGTCGAGACCGTCAGCCTCTGCTGTCTGCCTCTCCGCATATTTGTTTGTACACGCACCACGCATCTTCCGAGTGGTTCTCCACACCCCTTTGAACCAACCCCTAGTATCAGGGGGGTTGCCCTGCTCTTGACATCCGCGTCTGCCATCCATCCAACTCCACCGGTGCCGCATACTGATTGTGCTGAGCACGTGCGAGAGACGTCTCCGTGCTGGGTAGTTCATTGACATAGGGCTTGGATGGCACCGCATGGTCGGTGTAGGCGTTGTCCCGATCGACACTATTGGCGTACGAGGGTGGTTTGGTGGCGAAAAGCTTCCTCCGATACTTTCGAGGCATGAGCGTAAAGCCAAGGAGGAGAAGCAGAGGTATGCCGAGCCCAAGGCCAACCCCGAGCCCGACGCCAGTCGCGTTGTTCGATTTCGACGACGACGACGAGACAGCGGTTTGCGACGGGGATATAATGGGGGTCGGAGCGAATGTGACCGTTGCCGTGGTCGTCGGTACTGAAATTGACGTTGGTGGAGCAGAGGAAGACGGCGTGGATGTCGCCGATGACGACGAGCTTGATGTAGATTCAGATGCAGCCGTCACATTGAAGTAATGGGAGGTGGTCGCGCCGTCCAGATCTTGTTTCCCCGCTGGACTCAGTGCCAAGAAGAAGACATTTGATTGAACCAGGCTAAACTGTTGTGAGGAAACTGTCCAGGAAAACCCTCCTTCTTCATCTGAGCCGGTGATTTTAGCTAGAGGGAAGTCATCAGTAAACACACCTGATAGATATGGCGATGGTGGTAGAGAGTGGTGGACCCGAAGTCCAAAGACGTACTGTATATAGGACTGCTCCCTTCCGCAGCGGACTGGACTGTCAGGCTTTGTTGCCACAGGAATATGTTGTAGGCATCCTCGTCAGTGACCCATTCTACATTGAACGTAGAGCCAACAGCGTAGGCCTGGTTTTCGGCGAAGAACAATTCATCCCCTGCTGCCGGAGGGTTGATGAAATATGTCGAGGGCGTCTGGGAAACAACTCGCGTGATGAGGCACAGCCCAACGGCCAAAAGAAAATAGGACATTGCAGATGAAAAGAAGGAGCGTCAAGGCTACCTTAGCAAGGCATAATCTATTCTGTCAGATGGAAAGAAGAAAACGAACGAGTATACACTTCAGGTGAAGAGCGCAGTGAGAGGCAGAGGCCAGCTCTGCAGCACGTCAAACCGCCTCAAACCGCTATATACAATGCTCATCTGGGGGTCAGACCCCGGCGGCAGCGAGACAAAGGTATCAGTGTCTGCCCGATGGATATTGTGGCGTACCTACTGACCATGCTAGTCTTTACAAGACCTCTGGCTGCTATCGCATAATCTCCCACACAGCCTAGCCGGGGCGTTCCCGCGGTTGTGTGAAATGAAACAAGACATATGCAGGACTAATCTGTGTAGAGTAGCATCGAGCCGGGGACCTGCAGATACCAAGAGACTCAGATTGCAGCATGCCAGGCCTCTGCAGCAGAGACGCGGCAGGGCATTGATCAGCAGTGCTCGCTACCCTGTCTCTACGTCAATACCAGCCCCCGGGATCAACATAACCGAAGCCAGCTATACTCTTCCTCGTAGGGTTTCAGCAGCGAATGCAGAGGCAGGCATGTGTGAAGGGTTTCGATTCCGTTTGACGCGCCCCATGCAGGCGCTTGATGGTGTGAAGAATAGAGTGGAGTGAGGTTGCCATTCTTGCCGAACCGGCGTCGTTTGACTCGCGAGGTTGGCCCCAGATAGCGTCTTCGTAGCCCCAGCGAAGCTCGTGCCTAGAGGGCGCGAGGTTGTTCTAGCCGTAGGATTGGCGGAGAACCTCCATTCTTCAGCACTGGAGACCTACACTTGTTCTGCATTAGGAGCCGGGATTTGCCTGAGGGGGGCGCGTATCGGGGAGAGAGAAAAGCCGGCGCCTGCTCTTCAGTCAGGCATGATGCCCATCCTCGCACAAGTTCGTGCAGGTCATGGACGAGTTTCAGGAGTGGCTCGCTAAGGGCTGTTGAGAGTCGAGAGTCCCATCTTTTGCCTCCATCCCTCTGACCTACCTGTCCGCAGGTTGTTGTGCTCGTCGAGACCAAATGTCATTTATACAGAAGACGTTGGTTGATGGTTCGATGTGAAAAGAGGCTCTCGGTCCAAGCACTGACAACCGCAGTTTGACAGCTCGGCAGCCCTTCCCCGGTGGCTCCGGCGTTCCCCCCACAGCGTTGAATGGCGCGCTCATCGTTTGCCTCTGTCCTCCACAGTTTACCTTCTCAGCCATCTCGCCTTTCTGTGATAGCATTTCTGTCATTTGTGGGATTTATCCTCCTCTTAATCATCCTTCGCTCTTCCTCGTCGCACCTGGGACCGTCTCTATTGCACTCGTCGTCTTCCGTGGACGCTCTGAGTCCTGCGCGCCAGAAGTCCCTTCAATCTATTCAAAATGCCACTCTTGGGGTATGATCTCCAGCCCATGCGCCGACACTACTCTAGGACTGACCAGGTCTCTCTAGTTTGAGAAAATCCTAGCCATCAATCTACCAGAGAGGACCGACCATAGGGATGGTTTGATCCTTGCCGCGGCTGTGTCGAACCTCCACATCGAGCTGGTGGACGGCATCCGGGGGAACACAGTCCTCGACAAAGTCCTCCCACCTGACCACCCAGAACACCTCGACCCTGCTCGCGTTGGGAGTTGGCGTGCGCATATGAACGCTATCAGCCGGTGAGCCCTCCTCCCGCCAGGTTACGTAGATCCCGTACTTATCTAACCCAGTGTCGTGGAAAACAATTGGACTTCAGCGTTGATCCTTGAAGACGACGTGGATTGGGACGTCCGACTGAGATCATTGCTCACAGACTTTGCATTGGCTTCGGACACCGTTCTCTCGCGCCGTGACTCGGTACCGCTCAAATTCCGCGAACTTTCCTTTGCTAGCACGCCGATATACTCTCCTTACGGTGATGGCTGGGATGTCTTGTGGCTCGGGCATTGTGGGATGGAGATATCTGATCGGTCCAGCACGGTGATCATCGAGAATGATGAAACCGTTCCTGAAGTACAGTTCCTCCATTCGTGGAATCGCGACGAGGTCTCCCCTCTGGTGAAGTACCCGGCGCACACAAGAGTGGTGACGGAACAGAAGGAAGGCGTGTGTTCTCTCGCATACGCTGTGTCTCAAGCTGGTGCGCGGGGCCTGTTGAACAGCCTTGGCCTGAAGAGGATGAACAACGCCTTTGACTTGATGCTACGCGAGTGGTGCGAGGGGACACATGAGGCCCACCCCAACCGCTGCATTGGGGTTCTGCCTCAGTTGTTCGACCACTACAGACCCGTCGGCCCGTCCGAGATCGACAGCGACATTTCAACCCCGAACGGCGGGTACCGGCACGAGCCGTTTACGCAAAACATCCGGTGGAGCGTGAGGCTCAACATGGACAAAATCCTCAACGGCGACACGGACTACATCGATCAGTGGCCCGACTCTGGCGCCGCCTAACCCTTTCCATCAGAGACACAAATTCTACAACTAGCCACCACGGATGATATTTCAATATACGGCAAATGGGGGAGTTTGTGGCCAACGAGGATCTAACATACACATATATGATGGGGAGAAATTAGATTGTCAAAATAGATATGCGGGTTTATGTGGGGGGATGACATCTATACATATGTGTGACATTTGTAAATAGGTAGTTAGCGGCGAAGCCATCAGCGCAAGCATGACACATATTGACATAGAGGTTGAAATGTGAAACCCGGTTCAAGATGACAGTCTCTGCTCGTGCGATCATACAGACAACCCTAGACTTTGAGATCGCGATGGTTGCAGTCAGTCTTGCGCCGCCGCGTGTGTTGCGAACAGACTTTTCGTGATCGTCTAGACTCCTGAAGAGCGGTTGTCCCAGACCTTGACAGAGCGAGCCGTTCGAGAAAAGTCACTGACCTTGGGGGAAAAGGTCCTCGTAGCGGGACGTTTCAACTTCTCCTAGTCGGACGCGCCAGACCATCACACATGCATCTGGCCACATCGCACAGCAGAACAGAACTTCCCTGCTTACGTTTGGCGTCGCTTCCTGACGGGCGCTGGCCGCTTGTTGGAGGGCTCCTTACTCCCTGAGCCTAGTCCTCTCTGTGTCGATTTTGGCCATGCTCACGGAACTCTGTGAGACTGACATAGTGATGTCCAATACGTCTGGACTGGACTGTGTCCCGATCATACATACGGCCCGTTCAGCGAGCCGATGTACAGCGACTGTTGGTGATCCCCGACCCACTCCTTCAGCTCCTCGGAGATATCCAAGTGACTCTTCTTGACATTCCAGAAGGACGCGGGCAGGAGTGAGTCATTGCCCGTGTCCACCTCGACGATGGCGGCGCGGAGGACGAGGTCCTGCCGCCGAGCCACAGACCACCGCCGTCCACACATGCTGATGCCGTGCATGAGCGTGTCGAAGATGGGTTCGCGCTGCTGGTGCATCTTGCGATAGATGACCAGCTTGAAGCGCGCTGCCACGAAGAGCATAGTCCCCAGGACGGGCGTGCTGAGTTCGGCGTCTGCGTCGCTTATGCTGCGGAGTGCCAGCACGATGTCCTCGCACGCCTGTAGGCATCTTTGCAACGGGATCTCGTTGCACGAGGTTTCGTCCGCTTCAATGAGACGCGCGTAAAGAATAATGACACTCGCGTGCGACAAGATGCTGGTGAGGACGAGATTGGGATCAAAGTCGATCAATCCATCGGCCAACAGTGTATAGCTGGTTGTGGGCTGCGCACGCACATAGTTCATGAGGTTGTGGTAGATCTCATCACACGTGGCAAATGCCTGGGCCTGGGCTTGGTCATATCTCCCTTGCTCATGGTCGTAGAGGAAGTTATGGAGAGGCTGCAGGCCAATTGCAGCAAGATGCGTGTGGCTGCGGAAGCTGTCCCTGAGGTCCGGCGTGCTCACATACGCCACACTCGACAAGTGGTCCATCACTGCAGCCGACACGTCCCTCCACGAGATACCCAAGGTCGTGACGGCGTCCATGGCAAGCGAAGACCAGGTCAAGGGGATGGCCAGTTCGTCCCCGGTATTGCTGCCGATCGCTGGAGGGCCGACTTGAGCAGGGCTCTGCAACTGCATTTGATTCAACAATTTTCGGAAAAGGCCAATGTTTTCGCACATTCGACGGCACACAGCAAGTAGGCTGAACGTGCTGGGGAGGTTGTCTGACCCATAGTCCAGGATTGCAATGATCAAGAGTGCTTGGAGGGATTTCAATGATGCTTTGGAAAAGGCCTCGTTCACAACCTGCGATCTGAGATACTGTGAAAGTCTGTATCTCCCATTGTATCCCAGACAGATGGCGTGACTCGAGTATGCTATCTGAAGCGCGATCACGGCCTTGAGCACCACGTCGTCTATGTGTGTCAGAGGCAGAGGGAGGTCATCGAGAGAATTCTGGATCTGTTGCCTGCTCAAGATAGGGTACCAAGGCTGGGTTTCCTTGAACCACGAGTCGGCCAATGTACGGAGATATGCATGCGTCAGCGTCGCCAAGTCTGCGGCGGCAGCGTCAGATTCTGCCTGTATACTGCTAGATCTGGGTGGCTCAACATGAGCAACGGATGGAGTATTGGGGATAGAGTGTTGCGGCGGTGATATGTCAATAGGTTGGGTGGAAGATGTCGTTGCTGCTGCGAGGGCAGGGCTGAAGCTGGGATGTGGCGTTGCCGTTGTCGAGGAGGTTGCTCGTTCGTGCTTGAACTTCTCGACCTCTTGCTCCAGAGTGTCTAGCACAGCGTCAGACAATGATTTCTCTTTGACGGGCGGATACAACTACCCAGGCGATTTTCGAGCTGCGTGACATAGCCCGCACGAAGACCTCGTTTTTTCGTCTTGGTCACATACTGGCAGCGGACGTTTGCCTTGACACAAAAGGAACAATCTGGAAGTCGCCTGTCACATTTGGTCTTTCGCTGTCGACAGAGGTGGCACCTGTGTAGAATCGATTAGTCGCTGCAGACAGTGGGAGGGAGGGGCAGGTTGTTCACACTGTGGAACTTCTCTGCTCGGATGCAGAGTTTTCGGGAGATGCGGTGGTCATATTTGCCGCTGGCTGCGTTTTCAGAGGGGAGACTCACGATAGTATGAGAACACAGGAGAAGACAAAGAGAGAAAGCCGTCATCACCATATTGAAGGAAGTATTTTCGACTTGGTGACAGGGTCATCGCCGAGACACGGGCCGATGGGTGGTTGTGGGCGCCAGATTTCTCCGCTGGCAACGGCGACACTTGGCCCGATGCATCGTTCAGTGTCATTTGGTATCCAATCTGCATTCTCGCATATGCATTCTTCTACGTGGCCCAGTAGATGACCATGATTGATTCATCCCTATAAGATCAGGCGACACCCTCTCTGGCCTCTGCACATACTGCCACTCATGCTATCCCACCGCTTCTCAACAAGCACACACCAGTCTCTAGGAGAACCTCGTCTTCCCGTGATGGCTCTCTCTGTGTGTAGCGTCTCCGCCTTCAGAAGGAGCTAGACTCGCATTTGCTGACCTATAAGAATCCTGCAGTGTTTCTCTACGGGCCTGGAAAAGCACAGATTCAGGACAGACCAGAACCAAGAATCACCGATCCCACCGACGCGATAATCCGTATCAAGTTTGTTGGTGTGTGTGGCAGTGATGTATATCATGTCCTCGAATACCATACGAATGAGTCTGACGGCTTTCAGGTGCATTTCTGGAATCATGGCGGTGTCAACGGGAAATTTGTCTCCGAGTCAAATCCACTGGTCATGGGGCACGAGGCATCAGGGAGTCAGTTGCATTTCGTCCCGGGAGATCATCCATTGCTAGAATCAGTCCAGCGTCTACTTCAGTGAACAACAACTAACAGTAGTCTGTAGCGGTTCATGCGGTCGGCCCTGCAGTCACCCATCTGAGACCAGGTGATAATGTCGCCATCGAGCCAGGTCAGCCTTGTCGTTCCTGCGACAGATGCAAGGAAGGGCTGTACAATCTTTGCCCACACATGAAATTCGCCGCCTGCCCCCCAGACACGCCGGGATGCTTGACCAAGTATTTCAAGATCCCCGCGGACTTCTGCTACAAGCTTCCGCCAGGGGTGAGTCTGCAGGAGGGCGTCCTTGCCGAGCCTCTTGCTGTTGCAGCGCATGCTGTGCGAATGATTGGGGTCAAACCAGGTCAGAGCTTGGTCATCTTCGGCGCGGGCACGATTGGGCTTGTTTGTGGTGCCGTAGCCCGACTGTTTGGAGCAAAGAAGATTGTGGCAGTCGACCTGTTGGACCACAAGCTGGAATTTGCAAGGAACCTCAACGCGTCCAATACCTTCAAGCCCGATTTATCTGCTTCGCCCGAAAAGAACGCCGCGCGGCTGATCGAGAAAAATGGGTTGGGACTCGGTGCAGATGCTGTGATAGAGGCCACAGGGGCCGAGAGCTCCATCGTTACAGCCGTGCATGTTCTGCGTCCGGGAGGATCTTGTGTGCAGACAGGCCTGGGGAAGGCCGTCGTCAACTTCCCCATTCTAGCCATGAGCGAAAAGGAATTGCATATGCACGGGGCCTTCCGATACAACCAAGGGGATTTCAAAGTCGCCATGGATGTACTTGAAGCTGGCAAGCTGCCTCTCAAAAGCCTCATCTCCACCATTTTCGATTTCGAGCAAACCACAGACGCATGGGAGGCAACCAAGCAAGGACGGGGTATCAAGAATATGATTCGAGGCTATGGATATAAAGATCCCGCCAGAATTAGCCACTTATAATTTCAACAAAAGTAGTCGTTGGGCGTCCAGCTATTTCCTGTGCTTAGAACTCTGCTCTGAAGAGTCAGAGACAGCTCGCCCTGAAAGAGAGAGGAAGGGCATTCTGCTCATGCAGTCGTCCTATGTAATCCGGTATTGTACAAAATGTCATCAACCATCAAGAGCGGACAATCAGTGCTGACTCCATTCGATGGTATTCAAGTCGATTCCTTCTTGGACCAATTCCCACAAAGGGCTGAGTTCTCTGAGGAAGGTGACACGTTCACGAACAGCTTTCAGAACGTAGTCGATTTCGCTGGTCGTGGTGAAACGTCCAATGCCAAAACGGATACTGCTGTGCGCGCTTTCGTCGCTGTTTCCCAACGCTCGAAGAACATAACTGGGCTCCAAAGACGCAGAGGTGCAAGCACTCCCAGAGGAGAGTGCAATATCCTTGAGGGCCATCAAGAGTGACTCTCCTTCAACGTAGGCAAAGGACACGTTGACACATCCAGGATAACGTCGAGTAGGGTCTCCATTCAAAGAGGTGTGTTCCATCGCAAGCAGTCCATCGACAAGTCGCTTGGAAAGAGAGTTGATGCGTTTGGAATCGTACTGTGGGAACAATTCAAAGTCAGCAGGTATCCTTCCGAACAATAACTCCGAATAGTAAATGGTTGGGCAGTTGAGTATCATAACCCCTGCTATGTTAATCAAGGCTCTGGCATGTGCTTGCAGCCAGACGCTCAGAAAGCCATGCATGTTAAAGAAAGCGTATAATCATCAAACAATTGTCGTCAGAAAAGGGAAATATCTTCTTACCTCCATCTCCTCTTTGGCAATACGACAAGCCTCTCCAAAGCCGACCACCAGATGGGGAGCGAGGGTACCACTGCGGAGACCTCGCTCTTGACCGCCACCACTGATGATGGGGTCCAACCTAACACGAGGCCGTCGTCTAACATAGCATGCCCCAATACCCTTGGGCCCGTAGATTTTGTGGCTCGAAATCGACATCAAGTCGACATTCCAATCATTAACATTAATAGGAATCTTGCCGACGGCCTGGGCGCCGTCGCTGTGGAAATATACCTTCTTTGATCGACACAGCTGTCCGATCTCTTTCATGGGCTGTATAACACCGATCTCGTTGTTGACCGTCATGATACTGACCAATGCAGTTTCTGGCTTAATTGCGTCCTCGAGCTGTTGTAAATTGATCAAGCCGCTTGAGTCGACTGGCAAATATGTAACCTCAAAGCCTTCGTCTTGTAAATGTCGACAGCTGTCCAAGACGCATTTGTGTTCCGTCTGACTCGTGATGATATGCTTCTTCTTGCCCGACCTGCCAAAGAACCTGGCGACACCTTTGATGCTCATGTTGTTACTTTCGGTGGCACCACTCGTAAAAATAATTTCCTTGGGGTCTGCGCCAATCAGTTTCGCAATGTGTTCTCTTGCTTGTTCGGTGGCCTTCTCGCTTTCCCAACCATAGGCGTGCGTTCTAGAATGAGGGTTGCCAAAGAGGCCAGTGAGGAAAGGGAGCATCGCATCCAGAACTCTGGGATCAACTGGAGTTGTCGCCTGCGCATCCAGGTAGATCGGGCGAGTACCCTGATCCATAATGGTTGCGTGCTTTAGAATGCCAGCTTGGGGACTCAGCATGGCATCGGCGGTGATATCAGTCCCAGGCATCTTGACCTGGGAGGGGAGATTGCCACTCTCTTGAATGAATTTCTTCTGGTCTGCCTTGATAGCAGACTCGACATCTGCGACCTGTGCGTTGGCTGGTTTGGACTCGGAGACATAGCTGCGACGACCGATGAAGCGCGAGGAGGCAATGGAAGCAGTTCCGGATCGTGAAGAAAGGCTTGCATTGTTGGAAAATCGGCGAGCGCAGGCACGAGAAGCCTGCCGTATCACTGTGGATGCTGGTCCAGACATGTTGTGGGAAATGAATCAGTCCAGCTGACTATGGGATCGTTGAGAAGCAAGAAAAATCTGGTGGTCCAGATTGATGATGAATCTGCTTGAGTTTGGTTGACGGGATGGTGTGGCTGATGGGGGGATTTATCAGATTAGATTTTTCGCAAGACCTTCCCTCTTTATCTTGCTTACTTTTCAACCTTCGCCTGTACGCAAATGCGTCAGTGGGTGCCAGTGGCACGTTGGCTCCGGCTAAATGACGGACCTGGTCGGTCATGTCGGCGAGATCCTTGTACAGGCAGGACAGGGTGTAAGCACGCCAGTCAGCTTGCAAGACACTACCAGCACCGACCTTGAACTCCATCTCAATGCAGCTAGATATTGTCCAGTGAGTTGACAAGGCACAATCCTACCCATTCTCCTTCGCACACCTCCTGCCGCTGTCGCTGCCATCTCTGCTACAAGATCTCCAACGACAAACCTCTGGAGGGAAGACAGGGAGCTGCTTGTGCGCACAGCCACAGTCTCTTGACTTGGCTGCGTCATTGCGTCTTGTCGCCCCCGGGCTGTTGGTCCAAGCGAATTGTGCCGTCTCCAGCCATCGGTTGCTGCCCACATCCAAACCGCCCCTCCATCTTCCGTCTTTCGCATAATTCCACCTACAAAGTACATTAATACCACCTTTAGGCACCCGGATACACTCCACCCCATTCTTCTGCGACGCCTTTAGCAACACTCCCTCCTTACCTTTCGGCATTGTTGGATAACCCATTCCGAGACCTCTACACCCACCGAAGAAAGCGAAACAGACCTGATCGCCTGTGTGAGAACTACCGCGCAGAATGAGTCTCAAAGGCGTGGGAAAGAGTATAACTCGAGCCCCACAACAGTTTAAGCAGCGCTTCAATATCGGCGACAATACAAAAGATGCAGTCTACATTGATGCCGAGAGACGCTTTCAGGAGCTGGAGAAGGAGACCAAGAAGCTGCACGACGAGTCGAAAAAGTATTTTGAGGCCATCAATGGTATATCCTCGACGACCCTCTGTCCGTTGACGTCTGTTCTCACATCTGTCTTCTCCAGGCATGCTGAACCACCAGATCGAATTCTCGAAAGCCATCCAGGAGATTTACAAGCCTATATCGGGCCGTGTCTCCGACCCCAACTCGCTCATCCCAGAAGGTAACCCGGAAGGAATTCGAGCCTGCGAAGAGTACGAGTCGATTGTGCGCGAACTACAAGCCACACTGCAGCCAGAGTTGGAAATGATCGAGCAGCGAGTAATAGCGCCGGCTGACCAGTTACTCGAAGTCATCAAGGTCATCCGCAAAATCAATACCAAACGCGATCACAAACAGCTCGACTTTGACCGACACCGAGCCACCCTCAAAAAGCTGCAGGACAAGAAAGACAAGACCCTCAAGGACGAAAAGGCTCTTTTCAAGGCAGAAAACGATGTCGAACAAGCTACACAGGACTACGAATATTTCAATAACTTGCTCAAAGACGAACTGCCCAAGCTGTTTGCGCTGGAAGCCGAATTTATCCGGCCTCTTTTCCAGTCCTTCTACTACATGCAGCTCAACGTTTTCTACACTCTCCACGAAAAGATGCAAGCCATCAATATCGGGTACTTCAACCTCAATCTGGACATTGAGGAGGCATTCGAGATGAAACGAGGGGATGTTCAGGAACGCGCAGAGGCGCTCTCGATCGTCCACTTTAAGAGCACAGGTGGAGTAAAACCTCGTGGAGTGTCGAGATACGGACTGGGGCTCTCAAAAGCCAAGGAAGCGGAAGCAGGTAAAAGCTCTTACGCAAGTCGGAGGACAAGTCATCTCGAGGACGGCGTTTCCAACCCGCCCCCGCCTTACTCTCCGACTGGCTCATCAAGTTTGCCCAGCAGCCCTGCAATAGGCAGTCCTTCTCTGAATGCGGCCATCGCTGCAAAGGGCAAGCCTCCACCACCTAAACCCAAACCAAGCCGTCTCAGCGGTGTACCCAACGCCGAGACTTGCACAGCCTTGTATGACTACGAGGCGCAAGCAGAAGGAGATCTCAGTTTCATGACCGGGGACATCATCGAGATCACATCGAGGACACAGAACGAGAATGAGTGGTGGACGGGGCGAGTCAATGGACGAGAAGGGCAATTTCCTGGTATGTGTAGCCTTGAACTTGTTTCAATTTCCAGAAGCCATGACCCGGAAGAGCTGACCACAGAACGCGCAGGAAATTATGTGCGCCTAAATTAGAGAAATGTCCATTTGACAACCTGCATTTCTAAAGCCTCCGCTGTCAAGACTCTGACCCTATTCGTCTATCTCTCGGGCCTTTGACAATGCTTTGTGGAGGAACGTCAAAAGCATTTTCTGGAGGTAACCCGTGGATGTGTCTGATATATTGGATTTCGAGATACCAGCGAAGTCTGGCACAGCATGCAAACGCCGTGGACTGAACTCTCTAATGTAATCGAGAGGTCAATGTCCGGTCCATACCTTGCAGCTTTACCACCACCACCGGGAAGAAGGGCAACTCATGCATGGGCGGGGATGGCTTGTCACAGGGGACGGCGTGTGTATAAACGGGGTCAAGAAGCTGTTATACTCGGGGACTTGTTGTGCAGACCTTTGAATATGCAGGCCTTCCTCAGAGGTATGGCTCGCGTTACAATATACATGTACTTGTCACACGGATCCCATCCATCCATCCACCCATCCACTCATCCACGACTCTGTGAGAGGTTCGCTTCCAATTCATGGGTGTTCCCGTTTCTTTCTCTCTCCCTCGGCCAGCTGTAGTTTTTCAACCGCCTCGTCGCGTCCTGGGTTTCTATTCCTCTCTCTCTCTCTGTGTCTGTTTGTCTGTTTGTCTGTCTGTCTCCCCTGTGCAGCCTCGTAAGCGAGACACCTTTGTTTCAGAGGAACACACACCCCCATCCTAACCCACGGTACCGCATCGCATCATACCTCACACCACCGCACCTCCCCTCTCTCGGGAGTCACTGAGAAAAAGGAGATCACACCGTGAACGTGAGCCAGACTACCAGAAACAGGATGAGATGAGAGACAGAAACTTTTGAAACTCGAATATATGAGAAACCCAAACAGCCAACTAACTAACTAACCGACCAATCGACCAATAAATACGTTTCAAGCCACCGTAGGCTAGAAGACGAAATAAAGATATATGTTGAAAGGAATCCTCCAATCCGATAACAGTTGTCCCTTGTCCCTTGTCCCTTGCGTGTAACTCTACTCGTTCTCACTCCCCGTCCGTGCGTTTACTTTCGGTTCCTTACTTATGTATATATACGTGTGTGTGTGTGTGTGTGTGTGCGCTCGTCTACGTGTGCTATTCATGTATTTGAAAGATCGAGAGTTGAACTCGACGGTTATTCCACCCAGGAGAAGAGCCTCATCCGACTCCTTTATGGTGGTGGTGGTGGAGACCATATTGTGGCGCTGTCTGATAGATAGACAGACAGGCAGACAGATATGCAAAGTGTGTCTACGGTCCTGACCTCAGCGCAGCCAGTATCCCTTGCCAATGGACATGTACATTGCCTTTTCCCGCCACGTCTGGAGACCTGCGGGAGGTGGTGCCGAGGCCTTGCCTTTGCCCTTGGCTTGACCTTGGCCAGTCTGCCGTGGGGGACACGGGCTTTGTAGGGGTTTGGAAAGGCGCGCGGAAAATGCGGATTGTGATGGAGACGGCGAGGGCGAGGGCGACGGAGAGGGCAGAAGCTGTAGCTGCGACTGAGGCACTCTGGAGTCGAGCGTCGGGTTCGGTTTCAGGATCCCGGCCAGCAAGGACGTCTGGGGCTGCACCGTCAATGGTAACTCGACGGGGCCAGAGGGCACTGACGCCGTAGAATAGAACTCCTTGGTGGGCGAGACAGGCACGGGAGTTGGATAGAGGCTCAGGCCCGGTTCGACTATCTGGTCTTGTGGGAGGACAGAAATTTCCTGCTCGTCACTCCGTGATGGAGAAGAAGTCGAGTGTTTCGTCTCCCCTAGCTTGAGCAACGCTTCCAGCTTCAGCCGTTTCGTGTGGTCCGTGAGGTCGCCGTCGAACTTGTGCTGGCTCTGCCCCCTCCCGTCTAAACTGACAGATTCCTGCGTCTCGTTGACCCCGTGGCAGGGCGCCGTCACCTTTCTCTTCCTTTCTGATCTCGGCGAAGCTGGACTGCCATCGAGCCGTAGCATCCCCTCGAAACCAAAGGTCGGGTCGAAGCACACAAAGACGAGAGCCCGCTCGGCTGAGCCCGGCTCACGCGGGGGACCGGCCATGTACACGATGCCCTCGTCTCCCAGCATGGCTTTGACGTCCCCTGCTCGGCCTTCAGGGCAGAGGACGTCGTGCAGTCCCTGGGGCGCGTCGTCTGGGGGCCACAAAGAGATCCTGCTCGGCGTGTAGGCGCGCTCTCCGTCCTCGATCTCCTGGCCCTCGCGATCGCGCCTACGCTTGCGAAGCACGAGAGCCACAGATCCGTTTGTCATGGTTGTCGCGTCTTCGACCAGAGGGCTAATCTCCTGTCTACTGGCCACACGCAACTTGATGCGCTGCCGCGGCCGCCACTCGCCTTCGATGGTCGCCTCGTCCGTCACGAGATCGACAAAGGCCTGCGCGTTGAATGAATACCCATTCCACTTGGTCCTGGCGCGGATGTATTCCTTGGGCGTGGGCTCACTAGTGCCATCGACTCGGTATTCCTCGTGCACGTACCTGTCTATGCGCACCATGGGCTCCTCCCACCGACTGTTGCTGTGCTCGTCGAGCGTGACGCTGAGGCGGTCGTTGGGCGGATGCCGCAACCCGGTCTTCAAGTCCTTGAATTCGGCGCGGCTTATGGGCTGCGTGTAGTAGGTCCGGACGGAGCGGCTGCCGCCGTTGAGCCACTCCTTGCGGCCCTCGACGACCAAAAGCTCGCCTGTCGAGTGGTCGATCTGGAAGCCCAGGTCGTTCCACGCGTCGTTGATAGGACCTTCCAGATGCTGCCGTCTCCAGATGCGCTGGACGGTCAGCTCCGGGTCCGGATCGTCCAGCCGGAACTTGATGACGTTGTAGTAGCTCGTCCAGTCGACCTCCTCGCTCTCGAAGCTCGTCTGGCTCGTGATGGCGTAGAACTCGTCCTGGTGGACCGTGAAGCAGGCCGTCGACCCAATCTCGGACCCGTAAAAGTCCCGCAGCTGCAGTGGCTGCCCCGTCACCGACAAGCCCGTCTCCAGACTGTGGACGTGCAGCAACCACTCGTGATGACTGTGGCTGCCCATCGCCGAGTGCGAGCCCAGCACCACGAAGCGGTCATTATTGCGGACGAACAGCTTGTTGCTGGACCGGATGGGGATACACAGCCGGACACGCGGGTGACGTCCCCCACTGCCGCCACCGCCATTTTCCAAGCGAGTGGACGATGTCTTATTGTCGGCTATATTCAAGGCAAAGATATACTGGCCAAAAGGCCCGAAATCACACAGGAGAACCACCACGCCCGCCGCGTAACTCTGCACCTGGACCGACTTGATCGACTGCAAATCTACAGCCTTGTCCTCTCCCCTGGTCGTGACGCTGATCTCCCGGGCAAAGACGCTGCTGTCGAGCACCTTCTCGGTCGCTCGACGGCTGTTGAAGTTCAGAATCCGCAGGCCGTTCGCCGTCGTGTAGCACAAAATGCCGAAAGAATACGCAAAGCTGCTGGCATATGCTATAATACATGCCGAATAGGGCAACGCCTGCTGCAAGGCCGACTGAGAGTCGATGATCCGGGACAGCGTCTGTCTCGGACCGGGCGCCGCGGGAGACAGGGCGAGCTGTACCCAGAGACAATGTCGCAGACTTGCCTGGTTGCCGGTCAGCCAAGAAGGGGGAAGGGCTCGGTTACCGATGAATAGACGAAAGCCCCTACAGGCAGAGGAGTGGAATTGAGCCTACCTGGATGGCATGCTTTGCGGTATTCTCATCCTGGAGATGTCGCCGCAGAGACTTGCACGTCTTTGCCAACTTGTCAAACGACCGCACGTCGAGCCTGGTTGCGATTTGATGGTGCACATCGAATGGTAACTGGACGAACTGGGAGAACATGCCCTTCGTCGACGACAGCAACGGCAGCCACGCAGAACAAGTGGTGTAGAGATGGGAATCACCTCTGACGTGAGCATGAGGGAACGACGGTAGCAGAGCAAGAGAGGCTGAGAACAGTAGGAACACAAGACCATTATCACATCCAAGGCACCGCGTGGAAGGAGCAGAAGCAGGGCAAAGCAATGAGGCTGAAAATGTGATGTTTCCCTTGTTAGTCGTGGATGTAAATATGAGAAGCCGGAAGCTATGGGGTTAGGGTAGGGGGGGCATCTTTTAGACTAAGACAGAGCCTCACAGTGGCCCACCCTGTCGATGGATCGTCCCGGACATTCGTGGCGAGCAAACAAGGGAACGGTGAGAAGAGACGGAGCCCGATTCCAAAAAGGAACCTGACACATGGTTGTTGTTCGCTCGACTACAAGTAAGCTGCTGTGTAAGACTAGTTTCGGGACAGGCCTAAGGCAGGAAAAGATCCCATTAAGCCCGGTGCTCCTGTCTTTGCATTTCCTGGGTTTCAGGTATATGCGGATGGGGAAAAAAGCTAGAAAACTAGGTTGGGACAATCGAGATGAAGAAGATGGATCATTGGTTGAATTGAGGAGAGAACGAGAGCAGAAGAGAACATTGGAAGGTGGTGAAAAGGGAAAATGAACCTGGGAACAAATCAAAACGAGACACCCATCAGAGTGTCAGGGTGTTACCTAGTTAGGCTGCAGAGCCGCACACGCACGTCCACACATGCGCACATACGATGAAGTGGACTCGGTTGTGGCGGTGTCAAAACATCTCCCCTACTGGTCGATACAATGGTGGGCCGGCCAACCCTGCCTTGCCTGCCTAGCCCCTGCCTGCCTACCTACCTACCTCGCCTATTAAACCCCATCTTGCTACGGTACAAACTAAATAGGATGTTAACATGTAACTATGTAATACTCGGTACCCAGTGCAAACCCATTGTATGGCCAGCCTGATTGCACAATTCCAAGCTAATGTCGTTTGCAGGACCTCCACTGAAAAGACAATACCACTACGAGGTACCGAGTACGCATTACCGACTAGTCCAGTCCACATCCTCTTGGCCTAAGCATGTCCTCGTAAAGTCACGATACGCCGCAGCACCTCCGCAGAGCCGCATACCTTCTCCTTTCCAGGGTGGTACGGTGCCACCCAAGAGTCTGGTCGTCGACGACGTGGACTCATCCAGCTCCGCCACGGTCTCTGTGCAGTGTGACTCTCCCGGTTTTGTTGCTCAAAACCGCTGAGCCTGCAGCAATTTCCCACTCGTCTGGAAAAGCCGGCCGCTGCCCGCTGCCCGCTGCCCGCTGCCGAGCGGCGTGCGAAGCCTAGACCGTGGCCCCAATTGTCCGCAGCTGAAAACAAAAAAGTGAGTTCAGTCGCTCGTGTCGTCCCGTGTGCCAGATCCAAATCCGGGGTACGTCGAGCAATAGATTGTTGAATTCTCTGTTGTTGGGTCTGCGGTATCCCGAAAAGCTCACCGACTTGGAATAGCCCGTTTGGACGGGCCCCCGGCTGTCTCATCATGCATACGTTGTTGCGCTAGAGTCACAAGATTGATGAGCGTGCAGGACTTGCTGCAGTGACTCAGTTGCGCATGACAGAGTTCACGGGTGCCACGCGCGAGGCTGTTCGTCGGCAGGGACGTTCGGGTCTGCGAGACAGCAGGACTCGACAAATCATGGTCGGGATGCCAGAACGAGAACGGCGAAGAGCAGCAGTAAGCTCTTATCCAAATGGAACGAGACACAGGGAGAAGAGAAGCAGAGGTGGTGTGCTGGCATTCAGGTCATGACTAACGTTGTCGTCAGTGCTCCGCCGTCTCGAACAAATTTTGATACACGAGCAGAGAGTCACAGACAGTGGCGAATAGTAAGGTGCAGTGCAGTGTAGTGGCAGTGATGGGCATCAGCTGTCGCAGTATTCAGATTGTGTTTTGTCCCACAGAGCGGGCTGTGCTGCCCTGCGCCCGTCTCGTGTTGCGCCCGACCAACGTGTGCAGAACTCGAGCCGAGAATGTGCGACTCACTGCGCCTTGCGAATGACCTTGTAGTCTGCAACGGACTTGCAGCTCCGGGTGATTCAGAGGAGCATCAAGGAACGGAGAGAAAAGAAAAACAAACGGAAATTCAAATTCATGGCGACTTATAGGAGAGTAGCGCAGTGCGCGGTGGGCGCCACCTTTGCAGCCTTAGTCTCCGTGAACTGGTCATGGGGTGAGAGTCTGCGTATATAATTGGTTCCACGGCCTCATCTCACACTCCAGTACGATAACACCAACATCTATTTGTCCAGCAAGCAGTGGGGTTGAGGTTTTGGAATGCGGGAGGGAAACCATACCGCAGTATTCTAGGTTCGCGAAGCATCCCGGCTGACAACTCGTCCAGCATGGCACCCCGGAATCGATGGCTAGAGATTTAGTCAAGATTCAAGACCTGGGTTGATTGGTTTTCCTTGGTTCCGCAGAGTTTCACATCTGTCGTGTCCAGTGACGCGCACATCGCTCAGCTGGCACGGTGCTTCTTCATCAGGCATCGTCTGCAGAGAGAGAGTTGATCTTATATGGCACACCCCATCTAACCCTTGTCCCATTTGCCGTACCGTACCCAACTGTCATACAGCCCCTTGAATATAGTTCTGCTGCTTGGATCTAGACCTGCATTCATGGCCCTCATGACGTCTCTGTCGAGGGCGTCCATGACTCGATACATCCCTGGCATCAACTGGTCCTTGATTGACGGGTTGATTTGCCCATCAAGGACACATCGACAATACTCCATGACGAGATACTGCATGTGCTGGCCTGCCAATTTCCGGGCTCGATTCACGACATCATTCAGCTCGTTGTGGCCACGCTTATTGGACAATCGTGCAGCCGACACTGTGGGATTCGAGATTGACGACAGGAGACGAGCAAATTGCTCGGCCGAGGACTGCGGCAGGGATTCTGCAGATTCGTGCAGCCACGTGGGCAGTGACCTGCCGAAGCACTTGATCGCATTCGCACTGCTGCCTCGGTGACTTTCCAGCGCTCTCTGACCTGGCCAAAACAGGCATCGCAGAAGGCTTTGTAAGATCGGGAGTAACAGATGATAACGATCGGTGAGGCGTCTGCGGTGTCTTCCAAGTATAGCTCCAATGACTCCACATATCCGTCGATAAATGTTGGCCGGTGTGGGGCCAGTATCTCGATCTCTGATCTGTAGAGATCGGGCTCCGTTGGGTTCCGCAGAGGCGACGGCGTGCAGAGATGCCAGCAGCCGATCCAGGACTGATTGATTCACCACCATTGGATGAAGTTCGAGTGCACTTTTGCAACTTTCCAAAGCAAGAAGGAGGCCGGTGGTGCTGAGTCGCGTGGTTGCGGTGTTCATACACACCACCTGCGCTAGACCCTGAGCCAACGTCGGGTATCGCACTATGTGTTGTGTCTTGATACGCCCTAAGATGCAAACCATAAACACCGCACATGCTGGCTGACATTCCACTTGCTCGCTCCTTTTGAGAAGAAACTCCAGCGTCGCAGGCCAGCTGGCCGGCTCGAGTTGGCAAACGAATATCTCTGCTTCAGCAGCAAGAGCGGCGGCGCTCTCGTTGGTGTAGGTGGCCAGAGGCGTGATTAACGAGGACAGCTCTTGGACGTGTCGTTTCTGTGGCGCAAATGGAGAGTTCGTGCACTGACGTCGCAGAGAGAGCTCCATCCGCCAACTCTGCCTAACAGCATATTCCTGCCCAGTGTATGCTTCGATATGCACGAGGTTTTCCTGGATAGCCGACACAATATCCCGCAACTCGTTGGTTTGACCAGCTTTTTCGAGGGACTGGAGCGCGTCGACAATTGGCTGTAGTCTGAGGAGATTCGCCGAGTTTGCCGCGTCAGGAAGAGCTTTGTCAGATTCTTCTCTGACACGCGCTACAAGGGCTGCTTGTAAGAACTCGACGTCCTTTCGTTGGTGTTCGCCGTCCAGTGCGCTGGCCAACCGATAGGCGAAATCGAAGAAAATCCGCAAGCAGGAGAGTGGAACAGAGCCCTTTCTGCGAGCCTCTTGTTTTTGAACAGTCATTACCAGGTAAGCCAGGGCCTCCGTCGCGGAGGATTTCGAGACGGTCAGATTACGTATCAAGGTTGACTGGAAGACCTGGGCTAAGATGCGTCCGGCCGTCACATACGACGACACGTATGTCTGGCTGTCCGTGAGCTTTACTTGCGAAGACTCTCCATCATCGCATTGGAGGACAACCACAACAAAGTCAGTCCACTTGCGCCATTCTCTGTAGTCAATGAACGCACCAGGGAATGTCGAGTCGAGCCGAGTCAAGAGGTGCAAATCGTCTGAAATGGTCTCGATTTTTGCCTGCTTCGGCTCGTCAAAAAGCCGACGGAGTGTCGAAGCCACGAATTTTTTGATCATTGGCTTGCTCAACTTTTCCATTGACAGGCGATGCAGAAGTCTCATGCAAACCTTTCTGCTTCCACTGGTCGACCACAGGTTCTTATCAATGCACTCGAAAATCAAGCGTCGTAGAGCCGGAGTCCGAGAAATGTCCTCAACTTCCAACACAGCCAGCAGAAGGTCGTGCAAAGCTGGTAGAGCATCGCTTGTGGAATCTTGTTGCAAAAGCTGGAAGACCTTCTCGAGGCAGGCCTGGATGAACGCGCCAAAGCTTTCGGCGTACATTGAGAACAAGTTGGAGCTTTGTAATAGTCTGCCAACGCACGCAGCCACAAGATCATGGACGTTGTTGCACTTGGAGCGACGCCCATCCCACAGGATTACACGATCTTGATTCAAGCGCTGCAACAGATCTGCTAGATGACTCGCCTCTGATTCCAGTCTTGGTTGGTATTGCTTCGATTGCGAAGCCAACTGGACAAGGAGAGAAAAGCATTCGAGACATTCAAGATACCTGGCCACGTGTTTGCCTGTGTCAGCCTCTTGAAAGCTCCGAATGTCCTGCAGAGACACGAAGTGGTTGGCAAAGTCTAGCAACGACTCGAGGTCAGCAGGCAGCGCCTTGCCATCTAACGATTGCACCACAAGTCCAATCAGTCTCCACAGCCTCCAGCGTTGGCCTTGATAGTCCGACCTTCGAGACAGAGCATTCTTTGCCCCGTGTAATAGAACAACCAGTTGGTGTTGGTCGAACCCTGGGTTTCTGACTTCGGATAATGGGCTTTCCAGGATGGCGCAGAAGATAGCCAGCCTTGCAAAGACTTCCGCCGTAGAGCCAACCTTGTCGGCGATTTCGGCGATGGGCTCAATCAAGCCTTCGAGCATCCGCTGACCCATGTTTGGTGGCGCATATACAGCGACGAGAGGTTTAAATTCGTCGAAGACGTCTTCGTCCTCCCAAGCCAACACAGCAGAGCAGTCTTGTTGATCGTGTCTCGACGTGTAACGGACCCTTATTGCTTCAGCGAGCATTCTTTGCCAGCCAATAACGAAACTATCCAGATCTCTGGAGCGGGCAAAGCTTCGGAGCAAGGGCCGAATAATTTGATCTCGCACAAGGTCGTACGCAGTTTCATAGACAGTGCTTGATTCAATCCGGTCCAAGACTTGTTCCAAGAGGGTTGTGGAAGTGGAGAGTCTCGAGTGCGATACTAGGATGTTCACATCCAGCTGAATAGTTGTGGCCAAAAGACTCCAGGGCACCGATTCCGTGTCTGTAGCTAACATAGCCTGAATGACGTAGGTAATTATTTGCAGGCCCAGTTGCAGCTTTCGTTTGTGAGCAACTTCGATCAGACGCTCCGTTGATTGCGCCCACGTATCCTCAACACTAGCAATTGAGCCAGGGGGAGGAGGAGGTGGTTGGAGGACTCCAGTTGATGTGATGTGCGGGATACGTGGCCAGGTGATATGAACAAGCCAAATAAACAAGGAGTCGATATACGGTTGCTCCTGTTGTCGCCTGCGGAAGTCTAAAACGGGCATCGAGCGCACAGCTACGTCGAGGATAATCCAGGAGAATTCCTTGATGCCTAGGACAGAATTCGGCCCGAACTGTTGAGATGTTTCGTTCTCTGCACAAATAATGAGGTTGTTGTATGCTTTTAGCAAAGTTTCCATGTGCTCGAAGAGCAGAATGTCCGTTACGACCCTCCATTTCTTGGTGAATTGTTCGTTGAACAATGCTCGCAGGGGGAAGACGACATGTAGCGCTATCAGGCGCTCAAGCGCCGCTCTGGATTGCGCAAAGGGTCCCTGGCTGAACTTCGGTCTGGCTAGAATGTCGACCAGACGCAGACAGGGGAGAAGGCAGTGCGAGGAGAAAGCCTCGTCCTGCACATCCGCCTTTTTCTGGAAGGTAGGGGCAAGCGCGTCCCAAGAGGACAGTAATGTCTCTAGTATCGTAGAAATGAGAGAAGGATCTAGGGTGCCAATGCTCTGATCAAGGATACATGCCACTAGCTCAAGCAAGCTACCCAGTAAGGCGGAATGATCTGTCCGCGATGCGGTCTTTGTTAAAGGGGTACGAGTTGCGCTTCGGGGAGGAGTGGAAGACGTAGAAGACGAGCCGACACAACGACTACCTGTTTGCAAAGCCAACCATAGCAACTTTTGCTGGGAGAGCACTGCACATGGGTCGTCCACTAACGGGGACAAGCATCTCCGTTTGGCTGGACGGCCACCGTTTTCGAGATCACTGTCCTCCATTGCGATCGGACTGAGTCGAGTCTCTAGGGAAAGAAGCTCTCGATTGAAGCCAACCAGAAATCGCGGGAAGTCTCGCTCGAGAAGAATATCTGAGCACACATCGCCAGGTATTGAGCAAATTAAATTGAGGAGGAGGGACCAGAACTTCGGGGATAGGACGAAACTAGACACCCATTAGATGTGGATCGAATCGATACTGCAAAATGTTTGTCTCATACCTTTTTTGAGAGGCCCCGATCTTGCTTTCTCCATTCTTCGCTTTGTCCAAGGCTCCCAGTCTCTTCAGGAGCCAGCGCAGAACCCATTGCTCTTTAAAACCGTGCGATGCGGGAGACGCTTCAAATATGGGATCTGTGGCGCCTTGTGCAATAGTAGCTTCGAGGTTGAGCCCCAGGATGCTGGCAGCTTCTTCTAATATCTTCTCTGGCTGTCCTTGGGCTTTTTCCAAGCCGGCCATCTGGGCCTCGAACGATTCCTTCGCCATCTTGAGGGTGAGGGACTCTTATCAGCACACATGACGGCAGAAACCTGACTTTGACGGATATGGTTGCATGGTTCGGCAGCGGAAATTTTCACGGGACATATGAATACTATGGAGTACTCTGCGATGAACGAAGCTCGAGTTGAATCTGGAAAATTTGGCCAAGAAATATGGCGGACGGCTAGGGAGATTTTCCCTTTCAGGACTAGACCCTGGCTGCTTTACGGGTATGATTAGGCTGTACATCGCCGTGTCCATCAAGTCTTGAATGGAGCATATCAAATGATGCAGTGTTTTCCTCCAACGACTGTTTGCAGCGGTACAAGACTTAGATCTGCGGAAGCGATCAATCTCGAATCAATCAAGGACTGATCGTAGTAGACGAAGCTGGTATCCTGTCCTTATCCGGGCATGTTGTACATTTCAAAGTGTATACCATCAAGACGATAACGACAAAGAATGGTAGCGTCGTGACCACCGTCTCCGAACCAACCTCGTCAGGGATTTTTAGCGAGAGAATGCTACCTCAAGCCCAGTCACCTGTTCTTGATAAAATACATGCTCGTAGTCTTCCGAGAGGATTGAGAAATGCCAAGCCAGGCTCCGATTGGCTTACCTTTTTTCTGTGAGCTGGTTGCTGTTTCCGCTCCGAACTGCGCAGTTTGCCAAAAGCTCCCCCCAGTTTGAACAACAGCTCGTAAACCTTTTGTTCATCTTTCACGTCCACGAGGCAACACATATCCTTGGATCACCAAAAAGGTACCGTGTGCGTTTTCCCCCTCTCGGGCCATTTGAACTAACAACCCTTGCAGTTCTCCAAGATGCCGGACGACAACGTTTCAGGCCCTCCCTTACCGGTGGCTAAATCGAGACCAGTGAGCGAAGCTCTGTTGAACGAGAAGGTATGTGTACAACAAGGGCTGGTGGTGGTTCGAAGCTCCTCACCCTAGAACATGCTCGCGAAACAACCTGCGGACAGGATACAGCATTCGTCCCGTTCCCGCTCAGCACTCAGAGTACTAAAGAGTAAATTGCTGACACTTTACGCAGTGGGATCGCGCAGTTTCGTCCTTGGTCATCAGATCCGCGCTCGGCTTTTCGTTCGGTGTCATATTCTCAGTACTGTTGTTCAAGAGAAGAGCGTGGCCAGTATGGCTTGGAACCGGCTTCGGCGCCGGAAGAGCTTGGGAAGAAGCTGATGGTGGGTCGATTCTCCAATGGTCGCGAGATAAGTCAAGCAGTGATACTGACGGTAATCTAGCAAACTTCAAGAGAGGCGACACATTCAACACGGACGGGCTACGAAAAGTACGGACCGATAGGTAGTCAGATCACGGAGGCGTCTTCTGTTTTCCCCGAAATCGCATTCGACAGTACAAATGTGTACAACATGTACAGAGCACCTCGTCAAGAGGAACCAATGGTGCCTTTAAGCGGTCTGAATTACTGTATCCCTCCATTTCTGCCTGTCTCCCAGCCTGCACGGGTTTCACCTGCTCGCCTTCTCGTTCTCAATTTCTCTGCGAAGGTTTTCCAGATCTGCCTCCCGCTTCCTCAAGTGCGACTCGAGACCGTCTATTTGCTCCGCTACCAGTGCAAGATCATCCCTCAGCCTCTTCAAATCACTGCCTGATTGATTCCCTTGTTCCGAGTTGAGTTCGACGAATTGTCGTTGCTTGTACTCCAGCAGTTGCTGCGCCTCGCGCTTCACGAGCGTCCAATTCGTTTTCCCTGGTTGTCTAGGGCCTCCGTTCTCTAATCGTTGCTTCCGTCTGCGCTCCGAGGCCGCCATCGCCGCTTCGTGCTGGGATTCTAGCTCGCGCAGCTCGCGTAGAAGTCTGACTTTCTCAAGCTCCTCATCCTCCACCACGTCTGAGAAGTCGGTACCTTTGGGCTGGTAGGAAGAGCCGCCCCTTCCACCAATGCGGCTCAGATAAGCGTCTCCAAATTTGGCTTTTCGCCCTGTAGACGTCTCTTCATCGTATTTGTTCGGTTTGTGTCTGACATTATCGATCTGGTAGTCGATCTTGTTCCCCTCAAAGCTCGCCCTCAAGCTCGGTGGCACAGAACGCGGTATCCGAAAGCCTTCGTGACGGTAGTTTAGGATGTGTAAGAACGCGAGACAGGCATCCTTCGAGATGGTATCTCGACCACTCGTGTTGACGAGGTTCCACGCACTCCGCACATCTGTGTCCGGCACATCCAGGCTGGAGTAGAGCGTGTGCAGGCTCTGGAAGCTGATCTCCCCTCTCCGGTCTTTGTTCGCAGAATAGATCTCCTCGTACTTTCGCTTGTCGCTAGGGTTCATGTACCAATCGAAACCATCCTTTAGTCCAGTGTCTTCTTCATCTTCCTCGATTCTATCGAACTGCGCCTGCTGGTGTCCGGTCAAGGCCCGGTTCGCCTGGACAAGGTGGGCTTTGGACTCGGGAATGAGCCAGTCAGGTAGGCTGGGCGGCACATCCTGGTATTCGCCGTTGACAAGATCGAAGATGAGTCGCATGGCGACACAAAACTCCTCGAAGTCCAGCTCGCCATCCCCATCGACATCCGCAAGATCCCATACACGCTCGAGCTGGTCATCTCGCAGCTGCGAATTCCGGAGGACGTTGGCTGCGGCCTGGTTCGTCAGGCGCGAAGAGGGTGTGGCAGGTTGCTGGACTAGTGAGGAGAAGATCTCCCAGTATCGGTCGATTTCCCATTTCTCGATCCGCTTCGTGCCTGACATAGTGGACAGATGGGTTGCGGAAGAACGACTTGGACAAAGAACAGATACAGCAATAAAGGATAGGAACAGAAACTTTGGGAAGACGCTCAGGAATACAAAAGAAAGTATGAAGTTCTTGCTTTCAATCACAACCCGCCATATAGAATCATCTGAGAAAAGGATATCATGAGCAGCTGTTGGGTTCAGTGCACGCACCTCATCTCCGTGTGAACAGGCAAGCAGTTAGATTGTCAGCGGTCCGCAGGGCGAAACCCTCCGGCCGCTTTACCAAGGGACTGTTGCACCTGCCACATGGAGCCTTGCGACGATCCATGACCACGCCGCTTTTATCAGTGGACATTGTCCATACTCGGCCGTGCAAATACGCCTGACGTCTTATCCATGTGCCCGCTATACAGAGGTCGTTGAGCATGTCCCTATCATGAACTACTGTCCCCCTGTTGCATCAATTATATACCACATGTTGCAGCGGCTCTACACCCCTGACCCGAGTGCTTTGAAAAGTCCATCCTTATTCACGTGATCGACCTGCATACATCCAATAGTTTTGCCAGTGTCGAAATCCCTGAGCATTTCAAGAGATGGACAATCACCGTAGACCAAAAAAAGAAGGAAATATTGAGTTGCAAGCACCCAGTGGGCATCGTCATGCTCGATCCAGTTGTTCCGATACCGCGTTCGCTGCAAGTACCAATCGTGTGTGTACCTGATGGAGACAAAATTAGCCTTGGAAGCATTTCAATCCACACCACTGCTTCATTTGAACCTCAATTCAGAGAAATCGGCTGCCGCCGTACTTTCTTGTGGGCTTTTCCAGGGACTGGCCCTTTGACTTTTATAGATGCACGACGTATCGCTGGTAGCGGTACACAGGGCTAATGAGGCTGTGCTTCTCTGCCGCCCGTGCTGCCGCTGCGGTCCACTCTCTATTACTTCCTTACCTTACACGCCTTGGCTCTCGTGTCTTTTCGACTTCATCTGCAGGCTAATGTTACTCATGTTGGAGTTTAGTGCAGGCATATCTACTCGAGGCAAATTCTGTAAATGGTACGCATTGAGTCCCGTACCACGAACTATCAACAGGCGTAACAGGTGCGGATTTTGCCTTGTTTACCATCCTGGGTTGCTATCACACGACCAACCAACAGCGATACACTTTGTATATGCATGACATCAAGACGGGACCATCACGAACAATGGTCGATAGTTTAATGACAGCCGCAAAGCCATGCAAGATTGCCGTTTGTGAACGGGAAGCTACCGGACGAGGTTAGTGTGATGCCTGGTCCACCCGCTCCGCCCAAATCCACGCCCCGTTGAATTCAGCCTTACCATACGCCTGTGGGCGCTTCAAGGCGTAGCCACCAGAATGCGGCAAAGGATATATATGTCTCTGTCGAGCACACGGCACGGGAGACGATGCAAGTAAACTCTGTACACGCTTTCCAGAATTCCCAAACACTCTCCAAATCCATCACCAGAATGTATATTTCCCTCGACAAACGCGACTTCTCAAGCAGCAACGGTGGCATCACCCTCAGCACCACCGGCATCATCAGCATCTGCATCATCGTCGTCCTTGTCATCACGGCGATAGGTTCTCTCTGTCTAGCTGATGCACGGACGAGAGGACAGCGCAAACCGGACCGCGAGCAACGAAGACAGGGTCCTCGTCGTTCCGCTCAACCTTCGGACAGGAATTCTCAGAGCCTCGCCAACAGCCCAGTCAAATCTCCTCCTCGGGCACATGTGCTCGACAAGGGCTATGCGCCTTTGAATTCGGAGCCACCTCCAGCTTATCAAGCATGAGTGGCGCATACAACAACAGCAACCTGCTACCAAGAGTGCGAGGCACTTCACACCAATGCAATGCATTCTCGGTGAATGCATGTCTTGGAGGCACCACACTGGGGCTCGGAAGAGAGGGATAATGTGTTCATGTCCGGTCAAAATCGCCAGGGGTGGCCGGTCTTTTCAGTCTTGGAGGGTAAAGAGATACTTGCCATTCTTCAATAATGCCATCATGATTCCTCCACCTTTTCATCGATCTCAACCCTCTTACTGCCCCGTACCTCCTTTTTCAAGACCACAGTGCCACCTTCTACGTCTACCTCCACCTTCTCCTTCTTTACTCGCCTCTCCGTTGCCTTCCAACCTCGAATCTCTGCCTTGCACAGACCTGTTCCGGCAAGGTCACACTCACCACACCGCCGCCCCACAGGCAGACACACCGTCTGGCCCAAACCCACCAGCATCTTATTGATCTCATGCCATTTGTCGCGGGGCAGCCATCCTTCCAACCACGCCCTCGTCTCTTCCGGTGTCTTGGTTTTGTGCCATCCCCACAGGTTGGTGATGCGGTGGACGTGGACATCCACACCGATCCCTTCATCAATCCCCCATGCGGCAGACATGCAGAGGTATGCCATCTTCGGGCCCACTCCTGGAAGTCGGACCAACCCTTCAATCGTGTTGGGGATGTCCGAGTGATACTCCGACTTGAGGATCATGGCGACCTGCTTGATGAACTTGGTTTTGTTGTTGTGGAAGCCGACTTTGCCGATGAGGTTGTCGAGGTGCTTTGGGTCACAGGCGATTATGTTCTCGACTGTGAGGGTCGACTGTTGTGCCTCGTCATTCACAATGGGCGGTCGGGGAACTAATTCTGTGTGTAGGCGTTGCATCGCGACTGCTGTCACCGTGTCTTTTGTTTGAGAGGACAGCATTAGACTTGTCAAGATGTGGTAGCGTTTCTCTCGTGGCGGAGCGGCAGGCCAAAAGAGCTCTTCACAACCCATGGTGTCCACCGGAGCAGTTGGGTTTCTTTGGCGCATAGCTTTGACTGTATCATATATCTCGGCCCAGTTGGAGGGAGGATGTATCCGCACTGTCCCTGACGGCGAGGTTGTCCTCCGTGCTGGAAGCTTTGCTTTCGATCTCGCCCGCCCACTAGGAGATGGATCTCGTTTTGCCTCGTCACCGTCACCATCCTCTTCCTCCTTCTTAATTTTGCGTGGCGAGGTCCATTCGTTCGTGCTTGTAACAAGAGTCGAAGAGAACGGTGAGTCAGCGTCAAACTTCCTCTTTCTGCTTGAGCGAGGTGGTGTGCTTAGAGCGTCCTCGATATCTGCTGCCGGGGTGACACCTTTACTCGTCTCATGCACTGAAGCTTCATCTTCTTCTTTTGCCTCAACGTTCGGATCGTAACCCAGCGCAAAGGAAGCCAGTCGTTTGGAACTCCTTGTCGTGCGACCGACGCGAGCATTCGGGGATAGGGCATTGAATATTCGTGTGGTTTCTTGCGAGATCTTGGATGTCCGCATCTTGCGCAGTATTCTTTGCGCAGAGAAATGGGAATGACGGTAAGTGATCAAGGTTGCACACTCCGCAGATCTCGCATGGCCCCTGGACGATCCGAAAAATCTAGGGGCGTGACACGCGCTGCGTCGCGAGTCCACCCCCGCGAAACTGACGCTTAATTGGTGGCGTCGTTAACTCTCCAGGCACAACCTCGGCTGCTTTGAGCTGAGTGATGCGCGGAGCTGTTGTTGGACAAAACAACCAGCCACCTGGACACCACCAGACACCATCTACCTCTTGTGACCATATTCTACGTCGTTGGAATCGTCCATTGCAACAGATTCCTAGCACCACCCACAACCCTCCGGACAGTCCTATTTAATCCGCCGCAATGTCATCCACCCCTCGCAGCGGCAAATCCTCATCAACCAACACCCTCAAACGGCTCACTCATGAACTGCAAGATCTCCAATCCTCGCCCAACGAAGCGGTCCTTCACCTCGGTCCCGTCAACGAGGAAGATTTATTCCAGTGGGAGGCCGTCCTGAAAGGTCCTCGAGACCCCGCCTCGCCGTATCACGGCGGGTTATGGCTTCTGTCCATCACCGTGCCTCCGACCTACCCATTCACCCCTCCCAAAGTCCAATTCATCACGCCCATATGCCACCCGAACGTGCATTTCTCCACGGGAGAGATTTGTCTGACATTGCTGAGCGGCGAACATTGGGCACCCTCGTATACACTGAGCACTACCATGGGCGCTATTCAACAGCTGCTTATTTCTCCGGGTTTGGACAGCCCTTTGAATGTGGATATCGCGAATCTGTACAGAGAAAACGACAACATTGGAGCAGAGAGCCTAGTGAGATTCTGGACAGGTGCTAAGAGATGGGCTGGCGAGGGCAAAGGTGGGTGGTTGAGTGAGAGGAGGAGAGGAACAGGCGGAAAACTGGGAGAGTGAGATGAATACTACGAACAGTCTTACGTCGTTTCTGGTCTTTGACGAAGTTTGAAGTCTGTCCAAGGCATTCTTGAGAGGTGGTGTTGGTCATTGTGTCTTTCAGCAGTTTCAGCACTGAGGATGTCTCCATCCCTTTTCCGAGCGATGGAGTAAAGGAAAGCAAAATACATTGTGGAGTATATCGGTCCAATCTGGAAATTAATTCGACATCTCTGGACGACAGTCGGGTTCACGCTGAATCGAATTTACCTCATCTCGGACAAATTGGGAGGAGCCAAGGTCAGCAAAGGCTCTTGTGATGCACAATGGAAATGTTCTTTAAGAAGAAAGGATTCGTGATTTGTGGGCGCTGGACTCTCAGGTCTAACAGATGCTGAAAGACTTTAGTTCCCTCTGGTCAGCAAGGTAGAGATTGAGAGGCCTGAGACGTTCCCCGAGCGTTTTCCAATGTTGGTGCTTTGGGGATGTAATCTGAAAATCTATCCCGTGGACAAAGTCTCAGGTTGCTTTTGTCCGAGACTGTCTTGTAGAACAGTGCTCACGGGTTACCGAGTACATTACATTTTTGCAGCGTACATCGCAATCACACTAGCTAGAGATCTAGCGAGTTGGTGCAAGTGTTTCTTCGGTGAGGCTGGCATAATTGCGTTATCGCATAGACGCTCTACCGTATACGGTACAGTAAATAACATGATCCGCTGTTCCTACCTGGACGCGCCATTGACCTGCAGCCTCGTCTCTGGTCCTCGTCCGCTTGACCTTTTGTCTCCGTGAATATTGCATAGTCGGCCCTGTTCCTCCTACAATTTGTACTCCTCCTCGAAACCCTCCAACATTCTGTCGAGGGCAACCAAAACGCTTTTCCGAGCTTCCTCTACCTTAACGCCAGAATGGCCGACAGATACTCGTTTTCCCTCACCACATTCTCGCCCAGGTATGCCGCCCGTGTCTATGACTTGCGCAACGAATCTTCCATGCTAACCGAGACAGCGGCAAACTCGTCCAGATAGGTACTTGAATATTGGGAAAAGCGGACTCGATCTGTACTCACTCTTCGCCCAGAATATGCTCTCAACGCAGTAAATCAGGGTGTCACCTCGTTAGGCATAAAAGGTACGGATGCTTTGAACCACACCTCTGCACATGGTACTGATGGACAATCCCAGCCACAAATGGCATCGTTCTCGCGACCGAGAAGAAGTCGTCATCACCTCTAATCGATCCTCCCTCCCTGTCGAAAGTATCCCTCATCACGCCCAACATCGGTATGGTATATAGTGGTATGGGCCCGGATTACCGAGTACTTGTGGACAAAGCTCGCAAAGTCTCACACACGAACTACAAGCGCATCTACAATGAATACCCTCCAACACGGATATTGGTTCAGGATGTGGCTCGAGTGATGCAAGAAGCTACGCAGTCTGGCGGTGTACGGCCCTACGGTGTGAGCTTATTGATAGCTGGATGGGATGACGGGATCGAGCCAGAGACTGCAGCTGCAAAAGAGGGAGAGACCGAAGCAGAGGCCAAGCTAGCGAGCAGGAAAACGGGTGGCATTCTGAAGGGCGGACCCAGTCTTTACCAGGTCGATCCCAGTGGCAGTTATTTCCCGTGGAAGGCCACGGCCATCGGAAAGAGTGCAACAAGTGCAAAGACCTTTTTAGAGAAGCGATACAATGATTCTCTGGAGTTGGAGGTGAGTCGACGTACAGAATCGTGCCGAGGCAGGAACACTGACAGTTTCTCAGGATGCCATTCACATCGCGCTTCTAACACTCAAGGAGACCATCGAGGGAGAAATGAACGGCGACACGGTGGAGATCGGTATTGTGGGCGAGCCTGCAAACCATCTTCTCGGATACGAGGGCGTCGATGGTGCGATCGGCCCAAGGTTCCGCAAACTCAGCAAAGAGGAGATAGAAGACTATCTGACCAACCTGTAAGAATAAAGCTGGACACGGGCGGCGCAAGCAGAGACTTTGAAAATGAAACTTGATGGGAATGCTGTTCTCTCCTGCTCCACGTCCTTTTGATCGCGTTGTGGCCCAACCCAAAGGCAGGGATTGGGTCCATGGCCGATGAGCCAGAAGCACGTCTTCGTTTTTGCCCAGTCCGTCCACCTAGGGCCAAGGGAGGTATGGGTGGCATCGGCGCAGGTCTGACTGGGCTGTCCAGTAAGGAAAAGGAGAGAACTTTTGGCACAACAACCATGACACCGCGCAACTGGTACTGTACTGCTGTGACTATAGCAATAATTGACCCGGCTCTGATCAACCACACCACAGTCGAGATCAGTCCAGTTTCGTTCAAGGCTCTGCATGCTACGCCCTGCAAACTCAGCCAGAGAGGGCATCCCATACCGCCTGGGCTGTGGATTGCCCTTTCTTTTCTTCTGTTGCTCTTCTTCCGAATCTTTTTCTTTGCCCTTCATCTACTACTATCATATGTTCCCATTCTCTCATCTTCGGTTTCTCACCCCCACCCGGGGACTTGTTCAGGGACTTGTACAGGGACTTGTACCTTGTACTTGTACTTAAACAGAACGGACATATCATCACAACAGACCCGAATCTGTCATGCCATGCTTCCCCTCTTGCAAAGTGAACCCGTACCATAGATGCGAGGACGATAATGAATCGTGGATGTGGCAAGGAAGACATAGACATGGCCGGGTCATGTCCCTTCTATATGTTTCCATGTCTCGAGGCCCCCAGACTCACGGGTCTCCAAGGTCTTCAGGTTTACTTCGGGGATACTACATATATCTCGTTAGTTGGCACACCTGCCACGTGGCGGAAATATCCTCAGTCACTACCGGAAACACAGAACGAGTGATCTCGCAGAGGTATCAAGGGCGGTGGGGAGTAGAAGAGAATATACATCTAATATACATGTGGCCAGCGTGGCTCTACATGTCCGGTTCACATATTTGTTTGACAGATACCTGTCTTTAGACGATCCAAGGACGACATTGGCCTGTGGAGGTCCCAACGATGGATACTAGGCAAATAACAAAAGCGTGTTTCACTTGTAACAAAAACTCTGTAACATCCGAAGCAGGAGGAACTTTTCCTCCCTGTTTGGTATTCCTCTAGAGATATCTGACAATGGCGTACCTGAAGCCTTGGAACGTCCTGGACAGGACCATATACGTACCCTAGTAATGTCCCATAACGCCATTCGCTGATCTTGAAAAAGAACAGAAGCCACACGAGATAACCGATAGGCACACGCCTATACCCGACCATACACTCCATAAATCAAACCTCAAAAAAGTCCAAGAGGTAACGCGGGGTAGCTCGGATCAGAGCGGCCAAAGCTGGAGCCTCAGTCAAGGGAAATGATGCAGCACCACACCTTGTGAAATTTCGCCAGCAGCATGGAAGCTGATCGGCTGCACGATGCTCTTCAAGCCTCTTGACTTTCGAGCAAAAGCCCCGGTTTGATCCACCAAGGTGAAACATTCCCGATTTCTATGCAATCCCAGAAGACGCCAATATGCAGGGGTGACATGCGCCCTTTTGAAGGATAAACAACAAACAATAGCCATCTGATCGTGCCTTCGTAACAGTCGGATTCCAATACAGCAGGTAAGACTTTATTTGCGTATAGCAACAAGGAGACACTTCTCCCACCAATCCCTCAACAGGAGCACCGAGGCGCGCCCGTCATCGCGTTTCTCGGTTCCATCTGGGTTCCCCATGATGATGGCAAAGACCCAGAATACAGCCATGATCCAGGCCGCAATGGCGTTCCCAACACTGAGGAGAGGAGACGCAATGTGTACGAGGACTAGGCACACCGGACTGAACTCAAAGGTATGAGCGGCGTCCAGAGACTTGGCAAAGATCATTTGCAGGTGATTCCGGAAGACTGGCGCAATAATTCGGACGAGAGATATACTGGGCGAGCATTCTTTGCGACATAGTTTGAGGGGGGCGAAGACTATGATGACCAGAGCGACGAATATTGAGAATATACAGCTGAATAAACAGTGAAATGGGTCGAGGAACGACATCCACATCTGAGACAAGTCAATAAAGGCGGGGGGAAATCGACAGAATGAGGAGGGTATCTTACCAGAATCCATAGCGCATGGTCATCCTTTGTCTCAACCTCCTCTGCTTCAATGGACTTTTCTTGGATGTAGCGGAATACGGCCGAATTGTCTTCAATCACCGGTGGTTCACCCAGATTGCTTCTCTTAGCACCACTTTCCGAGTGTTGTGAGCCCGCGGGCGAGTATCTGTTGATCGTCTCTTGAGGCAAGCCCCTCTCTGCTATCGGCCCGTATTGGTACTGGTTATAGGGTAGGTATGGCTTGTATTCCGCTCCCAGCGTCGACCCCGACTCCGCACTAGAGATAGAGGTCTGTAATCGGAGAGGATCCTTCGGATGAGGTGTGGTCGGCGTTCGAAGAGTAGGAGAGACGTAGGCAATCGGAGGTTGTTGCAATCGTGGAGGACCAGCTGGGTAGTGATGGTGTTCCGACTGTGGGAAGCTTGGACTGCTTCTGGCTGGGTTATGCGCAGACGTCTGTCTCATGGTCCCGGGATCCGGCTCGAATGGCATTCTGGTCGGCAGAAGAGACTCTGGTGGGACAGGTCCTGTTCATCACCGAAGCGGCGAAAGGAGCAGCAGCTGGTGAAGCGATGGACGAGTTGCGAGGGCAGGTGCAGATTGACCAGATCTAGCGGAAGGGACATGGGGAGCAAGGATATAATGAAATACCAACATGATTCCAGAGAGCGGGAATCGCCCAAGAACACAAGAGACACGATCTTCTTGGTCCTGATCATCCTGCTCGCTCAATCCGGCTCAAATCCTCCACTTCCGCTGCTCGAGCCCCGGCCAAGATCTGGGCACTTGGCTCTTTCTCTAGGCACATCTTGGCCTTTGATGCATGGGACCAGAGGACGGTTGACAGCGTCTGCATGGGACGAGTGCCGGCGTCATTGAGACCGGTGGGCGTCGCTGGCTGCTTCTTCCGTTGCATGTTGCCGGTTTGCTACACTGTGTATTTGATATATTTTGTTCCAGGGCGAGGAGAATTGAAGAACTTCACCCTGCCTCCCTGCGTTCTTGGCATCCGGCTTGCTGCGTGACCTGCCCTTTGATGATAGGGCGTGATTACGGCTGCCACTGTGGAACCCTGCCTCTGCCTGGCCAGCCACACAACGCGAGGCCCGGAGGAAACCACCGCCTCTCCAGTCCACCACAGAACGACGTTGAGGAGCCTCGTCACCACCAAGATCCCCATGCTTGTGGGAAAAATACAGAGCTGGCTGAATGAGCCCAAAAAAACTATTCCCTGAAGAAGATCACGTGCATATCCGCAATTGCCGAGCTCGGACTTAACTATTGACGCAAAGGGGGTTTCGAATTGCTACCAAGCACGGCACAACGTGCGAGGGGGATATGAAAAATTATTCTTGACTGCTCAATGGATCACACTCTTCTGAAGAATTTTCACCTATACAAAATGTTTGCTTCTGCAGCATGAGTTTCTCCCAACCCTAAGACATTCCCATCTCATAGACAACCGTCCATCTAGCAGCCATGGCAGCCTACCTTTGCTGTCGAGAGTTTCCCCCCCCTGAACATCACTTACAAGAGCATCTTCCCTCTCTAGTCTCATGATTTGTTACAACGTCCAAGTGCTGACATACTCGGCATCGCCTTGTTCACCGGCTTGTTTGCGTCGAGGGTGCGTCATCAGTCTCTGTAAGGCTCAGCAACCAGCCTGGAATTCTCCTGGCACTGCTGGGCATCCTGCTTGGCCAATCTGTGCAAGGATAATGCAAAGTCTGTACTAATAGGAGAGATGAAATCCCCCTCCCTCTGAGGGCATCTTGGTCCGTCCACTGGTGGACAAATCATTGGCCTTCAAATGTATGGGTCTCCTCTTGGACAAAAAGCTTGTACAGCTGCGGTTGCATCTACCATGACACTATGATATTATGGCCACAGAGTCACACACATCCTCAAAACGTCCTAGCGGCTTATCTGTTCATCTGCTGCAGGGACCTGTTGGCCATGTTTTATGCTCGGCCTTGATTGATTTCGGGAGCGTCGGACGCAAATTTCGGTATAGGAATGTGCCATGCCTGGGCAAGTCCCGTATCCCACGATGATCCGTGGACAGCCAAGGACAGGTGGACGATAGTGTCTTCAAAGACTCCTGTCTTGGATCTTCGTCTGGCATTCAAAACCTTGCTATGACGACCACTGGTACAGGCCAAGTCGCTGGACGAAGTACAAGCGTCTTGCTCTCAAGGATTCTCTTCGGAGTGAACACGAGCTCCTGGTGTCTATTGCTCTTGTCGTGATATGTAATAAAACAAGGCAAATGCACACTCGACAGCGACATTTGGGCAATGTTCATCATTTGTACTTGAGTTTGAGTAGAGTACCCAATCTGATTGTTATAGAGGAATGTAAAAATCAAGCTACCGATGTGACGCAGTCACAACGAGTATGACCCAGATCAAGATTCAGTGCTCTCGCCGAGGTCTTGTATAACTCACTTGATGTAGAATTCTGTCCGAATGAAATCAATATCTTCTTCATGAAGGCCAATGTGTTGGTGCGCAGGGAAGGACCGTCTGCATTCGGACATCCGTTCCAAGAGAGCTACTAATAATAATTGATAGCTGTTCAAGTCCTCTTCGAGCCAAGCCCAAGGACGTCGAAATGCATCAATTTCAGCCATTCCAGCCCCCAACCCCGGAGACATACCTCCGACTCTTGAGAGACTGCACTGTCTTCCGGTGCTGTGCCGAGAAGAAGGCGGTCAAACACCGTCAATATATCCGGGTGTGGACTCCAGAACGATTGCTCTCAAAATAAGAGTCTGTGCAACTATACCAAGGACTCCGCGGTGAGTGGTGATCGCCCGTGCAATGGCCAGATAGGTGGCAACATGCGATAGGCTCCTGCCTAAACATTCAAATTAACCAGCTGTTGTCAGCTCAGAACAACAGCGACGTCCGCTTTTCGAGGTAGATTGCTACGGCGTAGTCAATCTCCTACTCGCGAGAGCCAGTGATGCTGGTCAAGGAGTGTCGTTAGGCGATGTCAGCGACATATCTTACATGGATATCCTATGATGGACGAACTGAGTTATCTGTGGGTTGCCGCCCGGAGGGGCAGAGACCTGGGTACACCAAGTTATTGTGTTGGAAAAGACAGGTGGTGGTGGTGGTCAGGTCAATAACCTCACCGAAGACAAATAGGCGAGTGGGTGCTACCCGGGACAGGTTGTTTCAAAAGTTGCTGTCGTACTACCGAGAACATGTCTAGGATCTCGTGCATGAGGTTGATGTTTGGTAAACGATGCAGTCGACCGTCCGATCTCCTGTGTAACTGCTGCTCGGGAAGCCCGCCTGGGTCTAACCTGGCGGTGCTGCCTTTCAAGCACCAAGTACCTCGTAAGGGCTTTTGTACGCAAAACTCCTGCGTCACGTGTACGCGTACGAGGCTCGGTTGCTGGCCTTTTGTTGGCAGCACGCAACCCAAATTTGGGGACCTCCAAAGGGGCAAGCTCGTAAGCACTCCCGTTTCCACATGGTCGGCGATTTGGACCCGATACAGGCGCAATGATGGCAGCATATCCGAAGACAGATAGGCTCACCTAAGCACTGCGTCTATTGCCTGTGGGTGCCTGGCAGCCTGGCACGCCTTGCACCACCACTGGCGGGCTTGGGAGTCTGGGATTCTGTCAAGTGCCGTTACTGGGGTCCTATTTGACGTCGTCTCGTGGGACCGTGTGTCATGCCCATGGGAGTTGTACGAGTAGAAGAGTTGACGTTGTGTCAGGTTGTGTGCCGTACTCGTGGAACGTGTGACTTGCCAAACCACCATCCCTACCCGTTGTTCTGCACACTCGCACTGCGTGGTTGTGCTGCGTCGGGGTTTCGGGGAAAAGGGCAGTCAGTGCATGGTCAAGAAGATTACCAGCCCTCTGCAATGGCAAAGACCTTGACGCAAGGACCAGCCCGAGATGCAGGGGGGTTGATCGACTTTCGAGGATTGTGTAACTGTTGCCAGAGAAGCTCTGGTGCAGATCGCAGGGACAAACTCTGAGGAAGTTGTTTTGGTTTGGGATTGCATCGGCCGATCGTCTGCGATTTTGGGCGCAAGGAGGAAATGCTCCACTGACCGAATTCTAGCGTTGTTCGTCAAGCACGTACTCGAGTAGCCGCTCGTCATTTTGACAGCTCGATGGTCAGGGCCATGATTCGAGGAGATGATGAACGAATAATAGAAGTGCAGCTTGCTTATCGGGACTTAGGAGAGCATACGATGAGTACGACTACGAGGAGAGACAAAGTCACGTTTTCTGGTGGGTTCTGAATACTGAGAAAAGGCACCTACTCCGTACAAGGAAAGCAAGATACATACATTGCTACTCACATGGTAGGGGGAGTGCTTGGGCACGTTTGCCGCTTATTTACGAAACCGCCTAGTACAGGAAAGCCTACTCGGTAGAGGTACCTACTTAGGAACTCGTAAGGCTTGATCTCCAGGCACGAAGCTAGCACCTAAGCCATGCGAGCAAGCCCCAAAGCCACATTCCCCAAGCCCACAAATTCCAGCTAGCCACCCCTAACCTTCTCCGGGTCACTGGCCACACCAGCCCTAGTGAAGGCGCAAAGGCGCAAAAACATGCTTCGCGCCAAGTGCCAGGCCCCTTGACAGCAGCACTGAAATAGTCCACGGAAAAGAAAAGCCTCGTCTCGAAGCAGTACCTACCTGGTACTTGTCCACGCTCCATCGGGACGAACACAGGAAGTACGAATAGACAATCATGACCCACCAGAACATTGTCTCCTTTTCGGCGTTGACCAGCTGTGTGGCGACTGCAGAGATACATCGCCTCTTGTACTCGCACGCACTCATAGGTCCTCGTGAAGAATCAGTCTCGTATTTTTTTATTCGTGTCTGTCCGGGTACACGAGGTTGGCTCTCAGTTCGAAGGGATACTGTCCACATAATGTCAAGATTTGAGACGCAAAGCTGATGATGGGCGGGAACCGGAAAGTTGTTGGACTGGGGCTGTCAGAGAGAGGGGTGACAACAGCAGGCGGTTGGCTGGCATTTGGTTCCTCTTCGGAATGTCCAAAATATTCGCGGTCGGTAGGTTGATGCCGTTTCTCGAAACAGGTCAAAGATTGACAGGCTGCTCGTGGAGAGCAGAAATGAGCTAAGACACTAGACGAGGCGTGTGGAGAAAAACGGAGCAGCTGTCGACCTGATGGATCCTGGAGGAGTTGAGCGGCGAGAGTGCAAGCGAGGGAGGGGAGGACCCCGGGTAGGTAAGAAAAGAAGCAAAGCCATGCGTGCAAGAGGTACTTAGGTACCTGCCGCCTGTCCCGTGGCTTTCCTCTTCCACCCCTTGCCCACCCTTCTAGCTAGCGGCCCCAGTGGCACCAGTGGAACGGGAAAAGAGAATGAGAATGGGAATGGGGTGGCTGGCCGACCCAAACTCAGGCCTAGTGAGTCTCTCCTGGCCCCCCATCCTTCCCCCCTTCAAGCCTAACCCCTGGCACCCCCGGCTACAACAGAGCCACTCAAAAGTGCCCCAAGAAGCCAATCGAGCGGTGCACAACCCATCCAAGGCACGGCCCACAGAACCTGTTCGCTCTATTCATCCTGTTCGTCATATGCCGTACGCTTCCCGCAGAAAGCCTGACATTTCTCCATCGCCGCCCCTGGTCTCGCCTGATTGCTTTTCTGGTTTAGTCTCTCCAAATACCGAGACGACCCCAAGTCAGCCACCCACTACCAATTTTCCCTTTGGGATGTGCCGGCCGTTTTCGTAAGGAAGGTTGCCGGTAGGCGGATGTGTGATGACGATCCTGACGGTGGAAGACCATGATTGACTGATGATGGGCAAAGAGTGTGGTCATAGTTGAGAATAAGGTGGTCAGGTATGAGATAATGATCCTGCTGCTGCCTTGCCACGCGCAATTATTCTCCAGGAAAAGAGCTGGATCAGAAGCAGAAGTAGGATCAAGGCTCAGGCTGAGGGTCAGGCTCGCAGCCACAGACCCCTTCTTTTGTCCTCGTTGTTTTTTTACCCGTGGTTATTTGGCGAATCGTATGGCCCAGAGGATGGTACTACCATTCATCTTGCCTGTCTTTGCCACGTCAAATTGAAGCGCCACCCGTAACCCATCTCCGTGATGGGGGAAGACCTGGTACCACTCAACAGTCACGGACCAGCCTAAGAGCCCTAGAAGGTCTTAGTCAGGAAGCCTTTTTGACAAGACGTGCCAGGCGGAGGTTTTTTTTCGAGTGTCAGACAAAGAGGGGGAGGGGGCGCAACAGACCCACTGGTACAAAGCGCTACTGGGACGTGCGCACGCTATGCGTTCCTTAACCTGGATCGCCCAGCCAAACCCCATCCCGTTGCATCCAGCGGCCCTGGGCATCCCCACTGTCTGGATGCTTCATCTCGACGCCCAAAGGAACCCATGGACACCCAGTGGCCCCTCTCCACCGCCCATCAACAGCCACCAACCGCCCATCCACCGCCCATGCCACTTTATCCGAGCACTATCGGGTCCCGCCATGTCCACACCCAATCACCCAGGGCTCCATGGCTAACTCCACTTATGCCCTTCCTGTTGCTTTGCTTGGTTGGGGACCCCCCGGTCCTAGTTTAAGCCAGCCAGCCAGCTAGAAAACTAAGAACTGTCAGAGCCCGTGCACCGCGCACCGCAGCCTCCTACCTAGTAGTACCTACTGATGGCAACCTGATGTGCCCGGCTCTGCTCCTCGCCGCCGACAACTGATCCAGCATGAGATCTATAACCCTACCTCTAGCGTGGTTTCCCGTGACTTTGCTTCAGAACGAGAGCCCTCTTTCCTCTTTCCTGTCTTCCCACCGTCATCCTCCACCAGCTTCTTCTCCAGTATCGCCCTACTCACTTGGTTGACCCCTTTGTCTTGTTTTACCACACAACTCGTGTTCATTTCAAACTGACGCTCCCATTATCTCCTGCCTTATGCCCTCCTGTCATCTTCCAAGGAGATAGCATTGTCATTTTCGCGCTCCCTATTATTCTTGTCGCCCTCATCCCGTTTTCTCCCTTCGTCTCCAAGCAGGCAGACAATTCTGACCTAGCCCGCTTCTCCTTCTTCAGACGCCATTCACCGCGTCGATCACACACTCTCACTCTCGCTCACCTGCTGTGAGCTTGACAAGAGGTGTTGTACCTTGCCTGTGGCCAAACCCTGCCGACGCCTCTGCACAAGTGCGCCGAACCTGGCTTGCTGAAAATTCATCGAAGAGCTCTCTTCTTCTTGTTCTCCTCCCTTTGCCCCAGAACTTCTCTACTTCACACCACATACGGGATTGAAGATGGCTTTGGTGCCTCATCCATCACCGCCGGGTGTCATTGGTCTGCAGCCTGGTGCACCTCATTTTGGACAGATCAATGGGGCTGCGCCGGTCGATGCGCATATGCAACGCCAACGCCTTCTAGCGCAGTTGAATGAATCAACATGGCAGAGAATAGGTGTGCCTTTGGACCCATCCTCTCCCTAAATTAGTATGCTGATCGCGCTCAATGTTAGCGTCGTTGAACGAATTACTTGGGGACCACGAGGGGGCACTGTTTGCATATGAACAAGCTCTCAGACACAACCAGTGGTCTACCCAAACCTTGAATGCTATTTCACATATTCTCCGGACAAAGGAGAAGTACCCTGAAGCTATGGAATATCTTAAAAACATCTTGAAGGTCGAGCCTGCCAATGGCGACGCGTGGGGGAATCTAGGTAAGCGCTGCGCACGCCGCGTGGAGGATGAGAGGCTGACAGTTGCAGGCCACTGCTATTTGATGATGGACAACCTGCAAGAGGCATACACTGCCTATCAACAAGCCCTTTACTACCTACCAAAACCCAATGTAAGCTATTCGACCTGCGCGCCATCTTCTCCATAGAACTAACATGGCGGTCAGGAGCCCAAGCTCTGGTACGGCATCGGCATCCTCTACGATCGATATGGTTCCTTGGAACACGCCGAGGAGGCCTTCTCTCAGGTCATGCGCATGCAACCAGATTTCGAGAAGGCCAATGAAATCTATTTTCGGTTGGGAATAATTTACAAACAGCAACAGAAGTTCTCCCAAAGTCTCGAGGTAAGTCGACTCACATCGCACAGGCGCTGGTTGCCTCTTGCTGACGCTTCCTCAGTGCTTCAAGTACATCGTCAACGATCCTCCACGCCCTTTAAACGAGGAAGACATCTGGTTCCAGATTGGCCACGTGTATGAGCAGCAGAAAGATGTAAGTCGATATTGTCCCTCAAGCAAGCGCCCCGGCTGACTTGTGTGTGCAGTTTGAAGCCGCAAAACAGGCGTACAGGCGTGTCTTGGACCGAGATCCGAAACATGCCAAAGTGCTACAACAGCTCGGCTGGCTGCATCATCAACAGAGTAACAGTTATGCCAGTCAAGATCAAGCCATTGAGTACCTAGAACAGTCGGTCAGCTCAGGTATGTGTCACTCTCAATCTTTTCCCAAATCTTCTTATTGACCTAGTTGAAGACAACTCCGATGCGCAGAGCTGGTATCTACTCGGCAGATGTTACATGGCACAGCAGAAGTTTCCCAAGGCATACGAAGCTTACCAACAAGCCGTTTACCGTGATGGACGCAATCCCACATTTTGGTGCTCCATCGGTGTGCTGTACTATCAAATAAATCAGTACCGAGACGCACTCGATGCGTACTCGCGCGCCATTCGGTTGAATCCGTACATCTCGGAGGTGTGGTATGACCTGGGAACACTGGTGAGCGGCCCCCCGCAGGTAAACCGTAATCTTTTCTTTGCTGACGATTAGTATAGTATGAATCTTGTAACAACCAAACCTCTGATGCTCTTGACGCATATGCCAGAGCAGCTGAGCTTGATCCCACAAACAATCACATCAAAGCCCGTCTTGCCCTTCTGAGAAGCGGAGCAGCAACGGGGCCTAATCAGCATAATGCGCCTGTCCCGCAAGATGTCCATCCTCAGGCATATCAGAACGGTGTTGGCGTTCCTCCTGGTCCTCAATGGGGCGGACCTTCTTCCTCAAACCAGCAGCCTCAACAACCTCCAGTCGATCCAGCTCGCGTCAATGACTGGGCGCGAGGCATTGCAGGCATTAACCCGCCGCCGGGACAACAGTCGCAGACGCAATCGCAGCCTCAACAACAGCCCCAACCACAGCCGCCGCTGCCGCCGTCGCAGCAACCACCGAACGGCTATGAAGGACGCGATTCTATGAGAGCACCGCCCCCACGGGCTTCTAGTCCACGTCAGGACGGACCACGCCCGTATGATACATCGCGCCAAACGCCGGTTCGCAAGTTGCAATCGCCGTCGCCTAAGATGCAACCAGCTAACCCAGGGATGTTCCCGCCTGGGCCGCAGACTCTGCCGCAAATCTCAATGCAGGACCGTCCTCCAGCTTTCGGTAGTGGAATCCGTCCGTCTCCAACGATGAATGGAGCACCGGCACCTCATGCCAATGGCAGCGCCTCGGGCTCAACCCTTCCACCATATGGCAGGCCTTTCAGTCCACCTAGTGAGCTGCGGCCACTTAGAGATGAACGACCACAATCCCCCGGTAGCGGTTATCGCCAACAGCCATTCCAGTCTAGCCAACCTTTTCCTAGCATCACTAACGGCGTGGCGTCCGCCGCACCACCTCTTCCTGCTGTGGAGGGACCTCCTCGGGATGATCGCCCTCCCTCCGCTATGAAACGGACGCGTGAATGGGAGTCCGATGGAGGACCTTCCAAGAAAATTGCAAATGAAGAGACTCGTGCACGTTTGGAAGATCCGTCTCGTCGCAATAGCCCTCCAGGGCGTTTACCTACTCCGAAGGACCACTACAGGCGGAGTTCATCCGAGTCTCGTCGTGAGACTGAACGGCGAGCAAATGAAAACTACCACCCCTCAGAGGCTGCGCACCATCCTTATACACATCCCCAGCAGATCCCGTCGATGCAGTCAATCTTGGATACTCAAAAAGAAGACCGAAAAGAGCAGGTGGAGCAGGCAGCTCGTAAAGTCGACGTGGATGAGGATTATGATAATAACAGTGAGGATGATAAGCGGGCTCCTCCCTCGGCAGCTCTGAGCAGCCCTCAGGTGGCAGCGCCTCCATCAGTGACGCCAAAGCAAGAGAATGCACCGTGATAGATTTGGCGTTGGTCGAGGGTTTTTGTTATTTTGATTTCGCTGTTGTCATGGGTTTGGCTGGATTTGTGCAGCGGTGAGGTTGTGCCGGAAGAATCAGTATTGGAAAAAGATCCACAGTCGCATTGTTACTTGATTCTGTAAAATGAGTACATGTATCTTCTCAGAAGAATACGAAATTACGACATTCTAGTAAGCTGTGGCCACGATGTTTTTCAGAGGATTCCTGTTCGGTAGCTACTCGATAAGTAGCAACTGGTCGAAGGAGGCGGAGAAGTTTTTGCGGAACCGGTTAAGTCACGTGACTTTGAAAATCTTGGCGACTCGAGCCGCACTTTATCGAAATATGAATTTCTGTGTTGCACATTGACCACTCTAACTTCAGCTTGACAAGCCCCGATACCTTGACCCTCGTTCAAACAGGATGTGAGTGCTGTTCAACTTCAATAAAGACTTCTGCTAATAGCTGGTATAGGTCTCACCGAAAGTTCGAGGCGCCGCGACACGGTACAATTCCTCCCACCTGAAAATCACTGGGAAAAAAAGATCTCTGAACTAACACATTTCTCTCGCAATAGGCTCGCTTGCTTTCCTACCCAGAAAGCGAGCTGCAAGACACCGAGGCAAGGTCAAGAGGTAGGATACTCTGGTTCTCTAGAAGTCATGACTCGTCTTTCAAGGAGTCGAAGCTGAAACATTTGGTCCAGCTTTCCAAAGGATGACCCAAAGAAACCAGTCCATCTCACCGCTGCTATGGGATACAAGGCCGGGATGACCACCATTGTCCGCGACCTTGATAGACCTGGCGCGAAGATGCACAAAAAAGAGATTGTCGAGGCTGTAACTGTGATCGAGACGCCCCCGGTTAGTCCCACAATGTCGACATTGGCGTTTACGTTGTTGCGGCTGACAGCTTGCCAGATGATCGTCGTCGGCCTCGTCGGCTACATCGAGACACCCCGCGGCCTGCGGTCCCTTACCACCGTGTGGGCAGAGCATCTGTCTGACGAAGTCAAGCGCCGCTTCTACAAGAACTGGTACCGGTCGAAGAAGAAGGCATTCACTAAATACGCAAAGAAACACTCGGAGAACAAAGGTTCCTCAATCACTCGGGAACTCGAGCGCATCAAGAAATACTGCACAGTCGTCCGCGTACTTGCTCATACTCAAATCCGTCAGACACCCCTCAAGCAAAAGAAGGCGCACTTGATGGAGATTCAGATCAACGGTGGCAGCGTGGCAGACAAGGTCGAATTTGGCCACGGCCTGTTCGAGAAGCCGGTTGAGATCGACACCATCTTCGAGCAAGACGAAATGATTGACTGCATCGCTGTCACCAAGGGTCATGGTTTCCAGGGCGTCACCAGCAGATGGGGTACCAAGAAGCTTCCCAGAAAGACGCACAAGGGTCTGAGAAAGGTTGCCTGTATTGGTGCCTGGCATCCTTCGCACGTCCAATGGACTGTTGCCCGCGCCGGTCAAATGGGTTACCATCATCGTACCTCTGTCAACCACAAAGTCTACCGCATTGGCAAGGGCAAGGATGAGAAGAATGCGGCCACCGAGTTCGACGTCGTGAACAAGCAGATCACCCCGTAAGTTTTGTCCCGTTTACCTCTGTTTGTCTTGAAAAATATTAATATGGTTGTATAGCTTGGGTGGTTTCGTCCGTTACGGCGAGGTCAAGAACGACTTTGTCCTCCTCAAGGGCTCTGTCCCCGGTGTCAAGAAGCGAGTCATGACCCTCCGCAAGTCCATGTTCCCTCACACCTCTCGCAAGGCTCTGGAGAAGGTCGAACTCAAATGGATCGACACGTCGTCCGAGTTCGGTCACGGTGCGTACCAGACCCCTCAGGAGAAGAGGCAGTTCTTGGGTACGCTCAAGAAGGATCTTGTTGCTGCTTCATGAGGATGACGACGGTTTGTTGGAGGCGGTGTTGGCTTCAGCAAAAGGATATGCTCATCTTTATGCTCGCCCGTCAAGAAGACAAGAGCCGTGCATGCACGAGATACCAAAAGACTTTCCTGTTCTCCTTTGATTTACGAGCGGGATGAATGGCATGGCTTGTCTTGCCATGCATGGGAGTAGGAAGACAAATACAAAACTTCAGGCAGATGACTTGATTTCTAGTTTTTGTTGCCTTCTGTTTTATTTTTTTTTGGTGCACTTGCGCGACTTTGGTTGAAGCTCTGCTCAAATAAGTCATGAAAGTCGTGATAATCTGTCCATATCATTTTACTCTGCGACGCCGTTTGCAATAAATGCCCTCGAAGGAAGCCTTGCTCCTAGGCCACAGGCTTTTTCTACCTGGAACTTCGAGTCTTACAATGGAACCATTACCATTTGCAGGCCCCGAAATTTCCATATATTGTGACAGTCTATGAGCCCAGCATCCTACACAGCCTTTTGCGATTGCAACGAGCATCGTCCGTCCATGGGCCACACAGCTGTCAGTTTACAAAGTGCTCGATTGACCTCGATTGGATCGGCCGGAGATGTATTATTGTTGGTTTCCTCCAGCCGGTAGCCAGCCATGCGTCGGCGGTGGAAGCGGACTGTGTGTAGAGAAACTTCAGTAGTTTCCACGAATATGTCTTGTGGGAATTCCAGTCGCAACAATACCGTTTCCACACATACCCTGCAGACTCATCCCATCGGCTTCGGACACAGTCTGATCCCGTTTCTTGCCACAACCACGTCTGCTCCGTGTGGGAAGGATTACTCACCTACTCGTACGTACCACCTTCGTTGAGTACCTGGTATTAACAAAACTGGACCTGTGTCAGCCTGCGGCTTAGCATTTGTGGTCCCGAACCATTTCGTGGCGACATGCAAGTATGAGCATGTTAAGGTGTACCTCTCACGGGAGGTGTTAAGGTCACGAGGTTCGTGGCACCAGAGGTCGTTTCTAGGAGTCTTGTGGGCAAGGCCAAACCCACATTCTTCACCCTCTATTTGTAGATGTAGCCAGTCGCTGGTGTTCATACAGGATGAAGTGGTATGTTCACGTCGAGACTCTGGAGAAGCAGTCGTGCGCGCCTGATGGCCACTTAATCACCTAGTGGTAGGCATGGAAAGGTGACGTCATTGTTGAATCTGGGCTGGGCCATCTTTTTCACACAACCGGCATGTATCATATTGACCATTCGGAGTCACATCCATAGTCAAATGCTGCAGTACCGGGCGTTGATACATTGTCGCAGTCAACAAATTATTACACAGTCTCCTCGCTTCGCCTCACAGCAAGATCAACAGCAGAAGATACTTGGTGCTCGTTGGCGAGTTTTGCGATACAGCTTGAGGGCAGCAGCGTGGACGCACCCGGGAAAATCTAGAGCAATCAGGACTCCAAGATCCTTTGATCATCGTCCCTATTCCGTTGTCATCAAAGCACCAGGGTCATCGACACCTTCCTCAAACATCGCTTCCCATCACACCAACAAAATGTCCGACGACAGTTCCTACCTGTCGTTCCTCGAAAAGGCCAATGCGAACCCCAAAGCCGGCCAGACCCTCGCCGAGTCCGAGTCGACGTCTCAGCGGCGGTCGCGACTGGACCCGACCAGCTCGTCGTCAGACGCCTTGCCGGCTTCCCTGAAGGCGCTGCCGGACGTCACCTACACGTCGGAGACGGACTCGCCGTTTGAGCCTGTACTGTTCAACTACTCCGGCTCCGAGCTCCCCAAACCAGAAGAATTCGCCAACCTCCTCCTGCCCACCAAGTCGGGCGACGGCGGCCCCGTTGTCGAGGAGTTGAGTGTTGGGGACTTTGACCCCAGAGGGCAGTACGGCGAAGTCGTCCAGAGGGTGGAACAGGCGGGGAAGGGGAAGGCGGGGGTCAAGGTTTATAGAGTGGAAATGAGCAAGACGAGAGTCGAGTATTATATCTTGACCGTGGGGGAGAGGATGTTGGTCGGTGTTGTGACCAAGGCGGTGGAGAGCTAGAGAAGAGACAGAAAGGACAGGATAACCGAATAAGACCTCTACCCAGGGATGCCAGGAAATGAATGGCCACTGGATACTACCCTAATATCTTGAATGTCGTCGATACCAGTCCTTCATGCGGTGCTCTATACGTGGAAAAGAAAAGAAAAATTCTATGCATGGCGTATACCTAAGGAGATACATCCAAAATCAATCCTCAAGGTCGCTCGCTAGGGCGTCACGTCAAGTAGATCGTGGCCCGACCAAGAGTTCAATTACTGTCAAATCAAGAACCGAGTCAGTACGCCGATCTTCGAATCTGTGTGTTTGGAGGACCGACAAAAGCATGCAACATGCACGCGCACGCATTACTGTACCGAGTACTCTTCTGGAAATATCTCCTCCAAGGGCAATTGGTGCTCCGTATGTACAGTAGTACGGTAGTCCGAAGTCCAACCCCCATATGGCCCATATAGAACCCACGAAACGGGCCATGAAGCCCATCCGGAGTCGTCAACGTGTATCCACCACAGGCCGGAAGAATTTCCAAGCGTTGAGAACAGGAACCATTCGGGATAGATACAAGCAGATAATTGTTGAGGCAATGGATAGCAAACAGGGGATATACTGGAGCCCAAAGTTCGGATATTCAGGGCAGGTATTTCACACGACGATCCAGTGCCGAATCAAAAGGGGATAATATACGGGGTAATAATAATACTTGTACGAGTTTCCGAGTACAGGATTGCAGCATACATGTGGGGATTCCAGCCCCTGGGACAATATCCGAAGTTGCATCGATAAGAAACAGGGGAAAACCTCGTTGAGACTCGAGACGCTGTACTTACTCGGTACAAAGTACGAGGTACCTCGTAGTAAACCTACTCGGTACTTGGTACTTGGTGCCTACCAGCAACGCGTCACCGTTGACTGGCCGCGTCAACGCCTTGTAGCAACCCTCGCAGCGGTGTCCAAGTCGAAGCTGAAACAAAAATGGACGATGGTCGCTGACCAAGGGCAGGGATGCACCGTTATAACACAGAGGACAAGATTCTTGAGAGGTACCGAGCATCCA